ATACATTGGACGCTGTGTGGCACAGATTATAAATTAATATAATAATCCATCATCCGGCCGTCGGTGCGCCGCGCCGCGACTGTAATTAAGGCGTCGGTATTAAATCATTAATATAATTAATAAGCCTCGGCCGCTCGAGTCGCGCGCGCGCTCGCTTAGTGATTAATGAATTTCGGCAAATTGCTGATACATTTCCGGTCGCAGGCGTTTCGAAATCTGACTCGCAACTAATCCAGCTGCTAGGCAACTCTAATAACACGATAAGAAGTTTCGCTAGAGGGCGGCACTCACTACACTTCGTAATTAACACTTTATTTATTATTATTTATGACTTTACTTTACTTATACAGCTTATAAGTTAAGTTAAAAGCGGATTTTGTGTTTAATTTTTATTTTCCACTGCGTCTTGTTGTTGTTGACACATTTTAAGTCTTTGTAAGCGTGCAGAATCATCAAACGCTCAACATCTCAACGCTGTTCTAATTTATTATTATTATTAGTGTTATTATGAAGGCATAAAACATGAGAGGAGCACAACGCCAACACCGTTTACGACCGTCATGTTGTTTTGCTTGTCATTCCGCTTCCGGTCTCGTGGCGTACTTGTCGTAGGTCTTTACGTGCGCGTTTTTAGTATCATTTTAGCATTTTCTCATTAAATGCGCGGAGATTTATTTATTCTTCGCGAGGACAAACACTTTGTGTTTGGCGTTTGTAATCTGCGCGGATTTGTTCGTGACTTCTCCGTGAAAATATTGCCAAAAATTGTTTAATTAAAACGAGCGCGCGCGAAAGCTCAAGTCTCATTAAGTTTATCGCTATTAAAATTAATTACTGCATTCCCAAGCGAAAGAAATGAGCAAGAAGCGCGAAGAAACCGAAAATTTACGCGAGCTCTGACTTGTGGGGGTGGATGTGATGTCCTGAACTCGCCAAGTATCAAAATGAATGAGGATGATGAGGAGTAAAGCACCAGAGGGTAGATTAAAGCAAAAAGCTAGCTAATAGAGTGGTGCATGAAGTTTAAAACAAAAATTTTGCCGGAAATCCTTTAAAAGCAGATTTTCACCAAGAAATTCTTTCCGAAAATTGTTTATAGAAATATTTCAATCAAATATTGTGTGAAATCATCCCTGGGATAAGTACTTTACATGTCCATATTGCCCAGACCCTTTTCCTACCCCTTCCCCTCTTGGAGTACTACTCGTATTCATGTTGCGTACCAGTCCAAGCTGCTTGTAACTCGTTGAGGGACATTGAGGACATTCACATTAAAGCGGCTTATTGTCGCTTATTGTGCTGGTAACAGTGCGAGCAGCAGTATTATACTCCCAACTGACCTTAGGGGAATACTCCACAACTAAAACTGGAGTGGTGCACATAGTGAGCAAGTAGGGTTTATGTCGCTGATGGTGCTTACACCTTGGAGCAGTGAATATGTAGAATTGTATGTTAGCGGGTTACGCCAACCGCAAGTACGAGAGTACGCGATACTGGTGACACTGCTGGTGATGTCGTCGAAGGGAAGGGTGCGTAATCAAGATGTAGCTGGTGCCGAAACATTGCTATCTTAACACCCTATTTGCTTGCGCGCCCAACGAAATTGCTCGGGTGGCGGTGGAAGCGTCGCGGGCGATTACATTTATTTGCTGGTTCCTCCCTTTCGCAACCTCTTCGACATCACCAGGAACCCCTAGAGGAGTGAATTGAGTATGGGGGTGGGGGTAGGGAGTGTGGGTGTCGATGACGAAAGTGTAGAATGTGTAGATTTAGATTTCGACCCGAAATTCGTTCGCTTTTCGCTTTTCCACTTTCACATCAGGGTTAAGGGATTAGGGGATGTTTAGTTCGAGTGTAGGTGTTGTAGGCAGGGTAAAAAAGGGACTGACACCCTTCTGCAGTATTCAAGATGTTGCTTATTTGTTTCCCAAGCCCGAAAACGTGGAAAATGCTATTGGTAGACGCATCGTGGGTAGACTATATTAAATTTTTTAGAAATCTCATGCTGATCATGTCATTATCTCCCAGACCTTTATTTTTAACCTTTTTATAGGTTAAATTTTTAGGTTAGGGAACATTTTTTATTAAAAAATATACAGAGATTATCAATTTGTTTTCTACATCAGTTATTCCTCTGACATTTGTCGGTTTTCTGCAGCCTACCTTAGAAAATCCATCTTCATCGTTCGTGGCTGGTGGCAAATTATTTCCGGGCGGCGTCGACCGCTTGTTAATCATGCGCCGAAAGCGAAATCTAATTAACTCGGCTGATGTTTTGCATGTACGCGCCGCTTCGTCTTCTTCAACGCCAAAACAATAAGCAACATTTTAAACATTCATCAGATAAATTGCTAATTTTCTATGTACGCGCGCATGTATACTATACTCTAATGATAGGTGGCGCTGGTGGTTGTGATTTTAACATGTCGGAGGCGTTTACGATAACTTGCACAAAAGTTGATTGCAAAATCAATTTAATGCCTACTTTGGCAAAGTTGGCGCGTCAACTTTAACGCGCAGCGGACGTTTTAGCCGCCACTGCCGCCGCCACCGTCATTGCGGCGGGGTTGTAATGCCTCGTTAGGACAGCGTGCGAAAACAACGACACAACACTCCCTCTCTCGTGGTGCTTGTCGACGTCGCACTCTCGTAATTAACGCAAAGTGATAACATTTTCCACGCGGAACTAATAACCGTGTAAAACCAGGCGAGAGACGATAAAAGCAACATTGGCACCATTCAAGCCACTATCAAGTGTCAACAACAACTTGAATACGAAAACTTAAGCTGCGGTTGTAAGTCGAACACTTTAGCGCAAATTTCATCTCCAAGGGTTTGGCGTGATATTGATTGATTAATTACATTATTGATAAGTGTTGACAGCGGATACCACATAACCTTATAAATTTGATCAACATGTTAACTCTTGTAAAGTTTAATATTTCATGACTTTTGTGCGTTGGAAAATTCTTCCTCCACCTGACAGAGATGATTGAATACGTAAGTAATTGCGTACAACTTGCCGCCACAAAGTTTACATGCCCGTTGGCACCCTTTGAGAAGCTCTAATGTCTTCAGCGTCGTCTTCACGATGAACGTTTTCATCTGGATATTGTTGTTGTTTGCGTTTAGATTTACGGCAAGGAGGATTGTTGAACAGAGAAAACGTTTTGGTGGCTTTGTTGTCTTCGACAACACAATATCCAGAAGGTGAGCGAAGGCGTAGGGGTGCTGTTGTTGGTGCAGTAAGTGTGCAAGCATTGAAGAAGTCAGACTATTTATAATAACATCGAAACTTTCCTAATTAACGAAATTATTCCACGGTGTTATAATTTTATTACTTGGCCGACGCCGAAGCGCGGTGAGACGGTCGTCGTATACTGTTTGGTGGGGGCAGGGGGTGAAGGGAGGCGCACATTGTGTCTAATTTTAATTAAAACTCGAAGCGAGGCGGCGGCAGGACGACGTCATCGTTTTGCGCTCGTATTTACGCTTAAACTGGGACACACTGCAATGGTGAATAACATTGTGGTTTGGGAAGTTTTCGGAAATTAAAAAATTGTTTTATGTTTATAAACAATTTTAAAAGTGATTAATTAATTTGTATTTTGTATTACTTATTAAGGAATGCATGTTAGGGGACTTTTGTTTTGATTTCATATTTTTTCTTCTTTCACCTTTAATGTGGCTGTTTTTTATGGTTTTAGACACAAAAAGTGTTAATTTAAACACGTATGGTCAAGGCGGTGACTAAAGTACTTTAGTCACAGGTTTTAGTCACGCGCCTGCGCACTTTGAATGTACATTTAGTGGAAATTGAGTGAATGTAGTAAATATAGCAAAAATAGACAGAAACTCGCGTTTAGCCACTTGATACTTTATATACCACTAGCTTTAATCCGCGGCTTCGCTCGCGAATATCTAAAATAATGAAGTTGCATCCGTACGCGTCTGTAGTCACAGAAGAAGTAACAATGAAGTAGAATGGCGGGAAGTTTAAAATGGCTGAAAGTATAGTCTATGGAAGTATAGTGTACAGTCTCCATAGTGTAGTCAATTGGATTTGATGTTGACGTAGCAGTCGGTAATACAGTGTGATAATTCAGTGTGATGGTACTATAGTACTTAGGTTTGAGCTTCATTGCTGGAATGCTAGATGGCGTTAAAGTAGTCAAATAGCCAGATGCACAGGTATTATTGGCTAAACAATTTCTTTATTTTATTTAAAAAATCATTTTTTTTATTAAATAAAAATTAGCCTATAACCATTCGGGGACCACTAAGAATATGTGTACAAATTTTCATGATGATCGGTTAAGTAGTTTTTGCGTGAAAGTGTAACAAACATCAGGACTTTCGCATTTATAATATTAGTAGGGATGTATTAAACACATAAAAAATTATGTCAAGTAAATATCCTTTGATTGATTGTAGAATAATTCGTTTACTTTTGAATTTCTTCCAAATTCGTTTAATTTTACCCGAAATAATATTCTTGCAATTCAAGAGGAAATTAGCTTCACAGTTAATCTCCTTCGCGGCGAAACCAAAATCTCTTAGTCTTCTTAAACTCGCCGAAACGCGATTCGCACGTCGTCGAAGCGCAAACAAGTCATCTTATTTTAAGGATTACGCGATGAATGAGCGCGCGCCAAACTGCTCGCTTTCGCAGTAGCAACAGCAGCAGCAACAGCATCATCGGCGCAAACTAATTAATTTTTGCGTTTCCAATTTATTTAATTAATGAACCATTTCGACTCTGGCGGCCTCCTCCGTAAGCGTATGTCTTGTTGCTCAAATTTCCGTGTTCCGTGTTTTAACTCTATTTGTTTCGTGATTAGAACGCCGCGCGTGCTTTTTGTATCAGAAGCGCGCGGCGCGCGTCTCGTTTATCATCTTGCTGCTGAAATTTCGGTTTTGTTTGGAAAATTGGGATTTTCTTGTCGGAATTAATCTTGGAAATTCAATTAAATCTCGCAACTTTTGATTTCTCTTTTCAGTGGCTCCGCAAAGACCGAGGATCGAATACAACGCATCGCAGGTCCTGCCCGGGCATAATTTGACAGCTCTGCATGGCGAAGTTGGTGTGATTAAATGTATGTCGCATTATGGAAATCCACCGCCGGTTTTAAAATGGTTTCTTGGTAAGTTTTTTGATATTTTATTTTAATTTTATGCGATTTTGTGATTTTTGATTGTTTAATGGCTCATAAAAGTCTAGTAAAATAATGGAGCGAGGTTAAGTAGATTTTCATTTGTTTTCTTCGAAAATACAAAGTATCACGCTATAAAAACAAGAAAAAACGCGAAAAACTCATGAAATTCACAAAAAAAAACACAAATTTTCTTTATTTTTTAATTAATTTTATTTTGTGTATAAATTTACACAAAACACTAATAATTTTATCGTCTGCTTGTTCTTCTGTTATGATATTTATTCAATCAAGCTCAATTTGTTGTTTATTTAACGAAAGTTTTTCAATTACATATTTTTACCGTTTGAACACATGCAAAATACCACATGGAAAACGTCTAGTTTTTGAAGCAAGGAAAACGCTCACCACGCGCTCCTCCACTGTTTGTTTTTCATTAGTTCGATTCCAGCAGGTTGCCGGTTGTAGGTTTCAACAGTTCAACACAGTTTCCTCCCTGTGCCACTTTTTGCCCGCGCGTAAAAACTAGGAATAAATTTCGCCCCCGTTCAAATCTAGAACATTGCTACGTGCTACACATTTATATATTTTCTTGTGGCATGATAAAAACTCGTATAAATAAAATAAAACACACGAAATACGGGATTTATGTTTTTTGATAATAAACACGGGTTGCATACGGTTTAATTCATGATTTATGTTTATGATGGACGTCAAAAGTCACTTTAAAGTTTTAGATTATCAAAAGCAGTCAACCAAAGCATTAAAATGCGTTTATATTGTGTGAAATGTGCAATGCTTTTAAATTTTAACTCTTTCTGTAATAAAATGAAATTTTGTCGTTTTTGGCATATTGACTTGCTTTGCAATGCGTTTTTCCGGTTTGTCGCGCTTGCCAGACTCGTAATTCCAATTGCATTACGCGATTTGTTTAGTTTACATACTCTACTCGCGACTGTCAAAAGAATAATAAATTATTTATACAAAGAAACACAGAAAATCATGTTTTGGTTTTGTTGGCAGCCATTTTAATCCACAAAACTCAATTGCACACACCAGACGCCAAGAAAATAATACACAAGTTGATTTATATATTTATTAACACTTTTTGCCACTTAAAACGTCATATTGTACTCGGTATCATGATTGAACATGCATTTAATTTTTTTTGCATTTGTCTCGCCTTTGATGTTTCTGATTTATTAATCCCCCCGGCTGCTTATTACACTTGTCTAACGTCTAACCTCATTTCATCTTGTGCGCTTCTTCGGCTGTATCATGTACGAGTAGCTATTTAATAATAGAAAATTGCCGGCGTCTGTCTGTTGTCTGTCTGGCCGGCTCCGTTTTCTTCACTTTGTGTTGCGGCAAGGCTGTCGGCTCGCATCTGCCCCAGACCTATCTCATGCTCCCTCGTGTTTTGTCTGCACATCTCTTCAATTGTTATCAAAACCACATACTGATGAATTGTGCTAATGACACCTTTGTATCTGCTATTCCATTCAATGCTCCATTGACTTGACCAAATAGTCTCGCATTCTCTGCTTGTCTAATGTAACATAACCTAACTTATCAGCCATATATTTTAGGTTATGTTGTGTTTCATTGAAGCATAAACATGAATAGCTATTATTTGAAGTTCAGGTTACATGAATAACTTACATAATCTTAATAATTAGATTTTGATAGAATATTATTTTTACTAGCTTTAACCCGCGGCTTCGCGTACGCGTCTGTAGTCACAGAAGAAGTAACAATGAAGTAGAATGGCGGGAAGTTTAAAATAGTTGAAAGTATAGTCTATGGAAGTATAGTGTACAGTCTCCATAGTGTAGTCAAATGGATTTGATGTTGACGTAGCTGTCGGTAATACAGTGTGATAATACAATGTGATGGTACTATAGTACTTAGGTTTGAGCTTCATTGCTGGAATGCTAGATGGCGTAAAAGTAGTCAAATAGCCAGATGCAGGGGTATTATTGGCTAAACAATTTCTTTATTTTATTTAAAAAATATTTTTTTTTATTAAATAAAAAGTAGCCTATAAACATTCGAGGACCACTAAGAATATGTGTACAAATTTTCATGATGATTGGTTAAGTAGTTTTTGCGTGAAAGTGTAACAAACATCAGGACTTTCGCATTTATAATATTAGTAGGGATTTTAAGTCTTGCGGTTGTTTTTGTTGTTTTGCGTCCCCGCTGGGAAGAAAAGCGAGACGAGGAGGACAGGTCCAGTCCCTCTGGGTGCCTCGGCGTTGAAATATTCACGCGCACGCCGATGTGACACCTTCATCTCGTTTTCAACTTTCCATGAATAATATTATCCGGATTAAAAGAGCTGAAATCATTTTCGAAGCCATCAAAAACTCATAAATATAAATTCCGATTAAATTAAAGGAATAAATATTTGCGATATTTATGTGCCTTTCGCGCACCGTTAGATGTCACTTTGGAGATTATTTATTTAAGCGTATACAATGTGAGATTTTACGCGAAATGAATTGAAGCTTTTCTACTCCTCTCCGAGAGTTTTCTTTATCTTTATTTTCTGCATGAGGAGAAGAAGGGATGCCTGAGGTGTCGGCAGTCTGTTGTTTCCGGAGTTTGCTCTTGTTCCTGGTCTGCATTATGCATGCGTGATTTATGCAATCTTGGCCACCTTTAACACCCTAAACTCTAGCTTAGAATCTTTGAACAATACCTTTGCAACATGATTTTGCATTTTGAATTACAACATAAAAACTATTTAGTTAAGGAAGAAAACACTATAGGCAACCATATTATCACCAATGTATTGTTATTGCCGTAATGGTTGTTTATATATTTTGTTGGTGAGTTGAAAATTTAAGACAAAACTTTAACCGCCGCCGCCGAAAACAGGCGAAAAAGAAGCCGAACATCCGGTTTCGGTAGGGAATTGTTCACTTTCAGCTTTCCAAGACGCTGGGAAACGAAGTTTTTCGCTCCTGCTCTCCGAGGGGGCTGAATTTTATTATTTTACAACTTATAAAGTACAGCGTTATGCGAAATTTATAACTCGGGCGCCGTGCGGCGTACGCCGCCGCCTCAGCAGCCGGCACTTGTTGTAAAACTTGGCCGTAAAAGTACGGCCATATTTTAAAAACATCATAATGAGCATCGTCGCCGACGCGCGACGCAACTTTTAATCAAACATTACGCCCGCGGCGTGTCGTAAAAACGTGCGCGCTAATTTTAATCGTTATGATCACAATGCAATAGAAAACAACATGGCCGCAGTGGCATCATGCTGGTACATTATAAACACCACGCACGTTTTTCCACGTAGGATGTTTTCAGCGATGCGTAACTCGTGCCGGATAATTGGATTCTCCTTTGTTATTTCATGCCTTCTCTTCTAACCTCAAATTAGACTCTTGGCTTCCTTTCATTTCTGACTTTTTGTCTTCTTTGGATGTGTATCATCACTGTATCAGCCTGTGGCGCTGTAAATATCGCCGTGAGTGGAAATGTTTATGCGTTAATCGAATTTATAGCTATTTTTGTTAGTATGGTTGCCTATATACTAACAAATGTTGCTTGTGTTGCTTACAGATCAGAACGAGATAACGCCGACGCGAAGGCAGAGCAACTCGACGGAATTGGATAATCCGCGCACGTGGCTCGCAATCTCGATCCTCGAGCTGACCATCTCCAAGGAGAATAACGGCAAGACGCTGCGCTGCGTCGCCGTCCACGAGTCCTACTCGACTAAATCCAGCAGTATTGAAGTTCGCTTGGATGTTATGTGTAAGTAAAGTAGATTTATTTCCTTAAAAAATACTATTAAGAATGAATTATGGCTGGAAAGTGCCTCAAAGTAGATGATTCAGTTTTTGAGGTTAATTATCGCACGCTATTCGCGTAGTTGTCTATAATCGAGGTGCGCTTGCGGAAATTTTACGGGGAATATATGCAAATTTGCGAAACGTTGCATTATTAGGTACGTTAATTAACGGTTTACGATGGCGCGTTGAGTTGCAGGATAGCGCAGGAGGAGCGGTAAATAATGTTTGTTCATTAGAGACTTTTCGACGTTTTTTTGTTTATTTTCACAGTTTTACTTTATAATTTACTAGCTTTTACCTGATAATTTTTTTATTGCTTGACTGGGATAGGATCAGCTGCATTTTAAAATTTAATATTTAAATTTGTGCAAAATTATTAAAACGTTGATACATTGAAATATATTTTTTGGTTTTGCACACCCTGTAAGTTATATTTTTGCGACAAAAAGTAGCCTATGTTATTGTCCAAGGTCCAAACTATCTCGAAACCAAAATTTATCAAAATTGGTTGAATAGTTTTTGAGTTATCGCGACACAAACATACAAAAACGTTGCATTCGCGTATATAATACTAGTTTCGATTCCAATCATGATTTAATATATTTAATATGCTCTGCTTTGTCCTGCGGCAGGACTTTTCTCGTTTTACATGCACCGCTAGGATTCGAAACGCGCAAATTACTCCGCCGTGTGCTGCAGCGTTTTCGTTTCATGTCGGCTGATTGAATAATCGAATATCGAGCAGCTCCGCATCGCAGGATTACGCACTCCGGCGATGTTGCGTCCCTGCGCTTTCATAAATCCTCTTACGGGATCGCGCGCGCGGGACACGTTGGTGTGTGTGGGGGCGGCGCGGGCCATGTCCCTCATCGTCAAGTCGAGAGCATTATGTGTGTGCATCTGCGCGCGGCTAAATTCATTTCCGGTGAAATTTCCAATTCGGAATTCATAGTATCGCGGAGGGCTAATTCACAAAGACACATGCTAATCATTTCAGCTGTGTAATTTTTTGGCATTATCTAAACATTGCGCGCGTTTGAAAATTTTTGCCAATTTTGGAAATTCGCCAGACCGTAAACTAAACGCCAATACGAAAATGCAAATCTCATTTGCGTTGGTAATATTTTTTTAACACACGCATCAAATTGGTGTATGCCCAGAGGGAAAACTAACAATTATTGCAATTGGTGAATACGTTGCAATATTGATGGCGCGATTTAATTGCCAAAGCGAATATTTCATATTTTTGCGTTCGTGTGAATCCGTCACGTTGCCAAACGAGGCTATCGATGGTTTTTTGTTGTTGTCAACGATAAAACTGCGTTTATTGTAGCCGAACCGACAAAAAACACTTCGCGCATCCCGAGTGAAGCAATTAAAACAATCCATGGAATAAAAAAAAATGCGCACTCGATGACAATTTACACCACAAACACAATCAAATAATAGTCGATGGTTTTTTTTGTTTGTTTGTTCATTTCACACTTGTCTACACGTGTTAATAATATCAAGTTACTTAACTTTATAAACCAATTTGTTGTTTTTTTTTTCAGTTGTTCCTGAAACCAGACTGATTGGCATTCCAACGACTGACATCGAAGAATTAAAGGATTCTGTAGCTATCCGATGTAGTGTGACGGCGAACCCCAAAGCCGCGGTGGTTTGGAAGCGCGAGGGACAAACGCAACCCGCAAGTCTACAAGAACAACTGCAGTTCAGCCCGGCAGTGCGGCAACACGCCGGACTCTACACCTGCCACGCACGGAACAAAGCCGGGGAATCCCAACCCGTGCGAGTTCACGTCGATGTCAAATGTGAGTATTTATTTATCTCTTTTTTATTCATTTATTTGAGGTTATAACCTCAAAACTGTAGCTATAAAGTAGTTTTCTGTAGTAACATATATATTATATTGCGATGGGAATGAATTTGTCTTATTTTGCATTTGCAAAATGGTCGTAATTTAAACGAATGCAAGTTGCGCGCATTTCACAGCGTTTCGTCGCGTTTATCATGCAGCGACGCGTAAAATAACGACGTGAGCGGCCTGTGCTCGCACCTGCTGTCGCAATAATTCAAAATATTTCCACCAGCCCAGCCGCAGGACGCCGCCACAAAATGTCCGCTATTTTATGACGTATCAATAACTACCAATTTCCTGTCACGGTATATTAATAACCTCAAATTGAATGTGTATTCGGAATAAAATTGATTTAATTCATGCGGCGCGGTTTTTTTTTCCGGTGGCAACTTTCGAAATTAATTTTTACCGGCTTAAAACTTTTTTCAAGGCTTATATCGCGATTTGAGTGGCAAAACAGCGCGCCGGGATTAAAGCTTCGCGCTCCCTCGGACAGGTGAGGTTATGCGCGAGGTGGAGTAATAAAATATTTGCGTTTACTTTATGAAAAGTGTATGCAAATGAGGCAATTAAAACAAATGTATGCACGGCGCCGTCCCCAGGCCTCTTCGCTGGGAAATAAAGTGTACTAAAAGTAAAGAATGGCGTCGTGCTCTCTCCACGAGACGCCATCTTGAGTCAAGCGCTCAAGTCATAGATCGTACCGCGCGCGCACGGGGAGAGGTCGAATTCTTGTGCAAATAAATTATGGTAATGCACGTTCTCATTTCGACAAATAAATGAGATTAAAATTTAAAGTGCATTTACGTAATTCACTCGCCCGCGGTGTAGTGGTGGGACATTCTCAGTTATTGCAATTTAAATTTTGACATTGTGAGCTTTAACGCTACACTGCGTTTGTTTGCTGCGCTGGATGACGACGGAAAAATGGTTGCGGATCTTGAGGGGATTAGGAATAAACATTCGCAACGGTACACAACTCTTCGATGCGTGCGCGCGACGATGCCATCCTATTATCTGCAACGGCACTCTGGAGACTCGCCGGCGCTCGGAAAGTGAAAAAAGTCGCGTCGCCGTCTCTTCGAGTGCACTTGTAGACCTAAAATAAAAGAAAAGCGCCCGAGGAGAGTGTAGAAATCGGGTTAATTCGATTTCCCCAGTGCGTTCTTCCACACCGGATCGCATAAATGGTTGCCTAACATAAAAATTTAGCTTTATAATCATTTCCTGTACGCGCCGATTTAAATTTTAATACGATACAAATAAAATAACAATAAAAATAAAATCCGGCTGTATAATAAGTTGCCTAGGTTGAAGGGTCGTGTAGCCTAGGTCGTAAAACGACGAGATTTCAATTAGGAATAATTTGATACATCAGCGTATGCAAATTTGCGCACAATTTGTATAAAATCGCTCTAACGCCCACGTGGCGCGCGCGCCCGGATGGAAACAGGAGTGCTCAGGTATTAAAGTTTGATTATTTCCAGATTTTGCGCTCTCAGCCGGTGCAAGATGGCGCTGTGAGGGCGCTATTAGTAGTAAAAGTCAGCAGGCAGGCCTCTTATACCTTTTGAGGAGTTTCAGGGGACCTTCGTCACCTTCCGTGCAGATTGCCTTCATCAAGGTGGCACATTGTGCATAACGTTAATTTGCACTTGAAATTTATTCAAAATGGCCGCGATTTTAATCTAAATTAAACTTGATTGTTTAATTTTTGAGTTTTTCTGTTGGTTTGCTTGCGATTAAACGGTTTCCGCGCGAGTTTTAGCAAATGGTCATCAAAATACCACATTGTACATTAGGGCAACCTCTAAATGACCCCCGAATAAAGGTAGCGCACTGACTCCAGTGAAATATCACGGCTGCAAGCACTCTGGACCAGTGGAGTTTGCAGACAAATTGCGCCGAGCTCGCACACAAATTCGATACCGCAGGCATTACTCTTGCACACCACATTAAACCCCCCTACAAGCATCTAGCCTACTTGTAATCCTTTCAAATTGTTTAGTAGACTGTGGTGATTTTTTGTTGAGTATGATAATTGTTTACAGATGCTCCGAAGATTCTTTCCGTGGGTCCTGATCGTTTGACAACTGCTGTTTTGTTTTCGTCTACGACTTTTGAGTGCATTGCTGAAGGCAACCCGCAACCCACGTATCAATGGTTGCAGCGCATTCCTTCACCGTCAAATCGCATTGTGGAACGCGGCCGGGAAGCAAAATTGCATATTTCGAATGTTACCTATGATTATCAGGGGGAGTATGTGTGTAAAGTGACAAATATCATCGGGGGAGCAGAGAGGACCATTCAGAGTGAAGCTATTGCTCTACAAGTAGTTGGTAAGACATAACCTATAACTTAATTTCATATATACTTGTTTTTCGTAATATAGGCAACCAGTTATACACGTTTCCTTTAATTTTCAGGTGCACCGCAAGTTTTAAGACATTCTGCAACACCGGAAACCGTCGTAGAAAAAGGTGAAGACGTCGAAATGTCCATGGTAGTCTGCGCGGATCCACGCCCGAGGGTTGTAGCTTGGGAATGGGGTTCGTTACGATTGGAAGCAGGTTCTGAAATGGGTATGTTTTCTTCTAATAACTTGAAATTTCAAATAAATGACACGAGTGCATTACAACTTTTTAAAAATGAAAATACGAAAAAAATATATAATGTGTTTGGGGGTGTAACACCGTCAACAAACAAGAAAAAACTCATTAAAAAGTTTTTTCGGCTGCATGAAAAAAATATCTGAGGGTGGAGAAGCCTGCTATTCTTTGCGCATTTCCTTTTCCGGGTGTGTGGGTGGGCCAACATAACCTAAACCGGTAATGGATACATTTACCCCAGACGCCAGCATAATAATGCACGAGGTTAATGTTCATAGTATACTAAATAATAATTTGGGATGAATTTATTCGTAAAATGGTTATACTTTGCACCGGGGTTAATGAAATTTGCGTTAAAACGCCACTAATTAAATTCTTCATCGAAAAAGACTCAAAGTTTACGGAATTTTAACTTTTTTGTTTAATTTTGTGTTTGTTTTGAGTTGTCATAGGCCCACAGAGTTACAAATTAATTTTTTAAGCCTTGAGTTTAATTTTTTCGTGGATTTTTCATGGAAAAACCATGAAAATTCAAATTTTTATGATTTTTCTTGGTTTTTTTCAAAGATTTCTTTATTTTTTTATTGTTTTGGCTCGACATATGTCTACGAAGTGACAAATTAATTCTTTTATCTTTTCAGTTCAAATTTTTCTTCAATTTTTCATAGAAAAACCAAAAAAATCTAATTTTTTACATTTTCTCAAAATGTATTCACAAAAAACAATTTTTATTGTATTTACAGGTAGATACAGTGTCGATGAAGTGATCCAAGAAGAACGAGAAGATTGTTACCTCGCCACACTAAAAATCAAAGACGCCGAAGCGACAGATTCACGCGCTTACTACTTGGCGGTAGAAAACGATCGAGGAACAGATCGTCACGCAGTCAAACTCTACGTAAATGGTAAGTTTACTTTTTCCTACTACGACTTCTATAATAAACTTGTTTGATTTGTGCGCTTGTGCGGTTTGTGTTTGTTGTGTGTTCACTTTGAAAACGTCTGTCGGAATATTCTCCCCGCCCGTAATGCAATAACACGACGATTGTTGTTGTCGTCTCGAGTGCGCGCGTTCAAAGCGTCCCGGAAAACATTCGGCCATTCGGCAAACCGCTCGAAGGGATTTCGATAAGTTATGCGCATAAGTTTTTCGCCGCTCTCCTGGGAGGGGTTTGCGACAGTAAAAACAGCAATTTGCGGATGGCTCGCGCGTCCCCGGACATTCTCAACAGTGATAAATTTCGAAGACAAACAATTTTATATTTTTGCTGCGCGAAAAGTTGAAAAAACTTTTATGCAACTGCATGAACCCAGCGAATGGAGGAGAGTTGAGTTTTTCAGCGAGTGCTGATATTCGGGAAAAACTTATAAGAAACTTAACGAAAATCCCTTTATCAGCAACTACTTTCCGTAGTAGTCGTTGTTCATCTTTCATTTTTCTACGCGTACGATTTTCTTCTCCATACCTTTTTTTTGTCCTGCTCGGGGAGATGGAAAATGGCGCGCGCGCCGAGTTTATTGATACGGATGTGGATCGTAAACTCCTCGGGAGCGGAAAAACTAAGCGGCGTCAAAATTGTGATGAGCAGACGTTCCGCATGTAAAAAGTGCTGATGTCACAAGTCATCTTTCTCGTCTCCAAAAACGCGCCCTCGAATGAATTGAACGCTTTACCATCCGAAAACATCAAATCGAATATTTCGGATGGTTCCTCTCCGTCGTCACCCGTCGGTGTCGAACATGCATGTAAACTTTGTCGAGTACATTTTTATAGTGATGCCGAAAAGCCGGGGATGCACATTTCGCGCGTTTTCACTCACACAGGGTTACGTTTCGAGGGCGGCATCTGTCCGGATGGTGTCGAACAAGCACTTGCGCTCAGACACGTTTTACACCGAAAATGTCAAGGCGTTCGACATCTCGACAAATAGAACGAAAAAAATCGATCGCTGGCATAAATAATTCATTCGCTGTGAGTGAGAATGGCTAGGAATGTCTTGACGAGGGATTGAGAAACGATTTTCGTAATGAAAATTCAAATAAAATTTTTCAATTTTTTTCTGTGTTTTCTTTACAGAACCGTTGCAGATGAGTACGTTGGTAACCCTGGCGGGTGCATCACTTGCTATCTTCATCGTGCTGCTCTGTATGTTTATCTACACCATCAAGGCGGAAAAATGTTGTTTTGCGAGTGAGTAACTGATGATATTATTACGGAGACGCTCTGTATGTGGGTGCTAGGTTTGCACGCATAAATTATGTTTGCTTTCCGCGTGTTCACAGGAAAAGGCGACTTCAAGCCGTCCGACCTGGAAAGGTAAGCTTTTCATGAATTTCTATCTCTCGTCCTCTTTCCTTACCCTCTCTTATTCTATCATCTATCATATATAAATTTTGCCTGTGCCAAAATCCTGGATTTCCACCAACATCTCTATAATTCTATATTTGTGTGCATCCCGAAAATGTGATGATTTACTAATTACTTCCTGCAATCCGTCCCGTATTTATTACTTCCGATATCGCCGCCGTCGACACGCGTGTGTGATTGTGCATGATTGATCCGCGCCCAAATCCGTCGATTTCGCCGTTGAATATTCATTATCCGCGTCGATTTGAATCACATTCACACCGCAACCGAGCATTTCCTTGATTTTGCCGAATCTATGATGATGGCGGGTTTAACTTCCTTCAAACGCGAGCAAGTTTTTGTAAAAGCGTCGGAATAATAACGATAAAAACACGATTACAAGCCGAAATGACTGCGAACGGCCTGCGCGCGGTGCTCAATTAGCGCACGACTTAATTAGCTTTTAATGAGGCGCTCAATTAACTGCGTTTGGGTCATAATTAGTCCTGGAGATGCTTTGAATGTGTTTTTATGGGGCGACCCTTGGTGGAACAAACTTTTCTTGTGGAAATTTACGAAAAACATGATTTTTTGTCATTAAACTCATTAAATTTGATATTTTTTTGAGGTTAGTTTATAAATATTTGATGTATTTTTATCAAAAACTATTTTTAACAATATTTGAATATAAAAATTGTTTCCAAAGTCAATGTAAAGACCATGTGAAGTGTTTATGCGTGGATATTTCACATGAAATACGCTGCCCGGAAGTGTGTACACAATGTCGCTGGGCGTCTTATCGCGCTTTGGCAATTGCGCCCCCACCGATAAGCGGAAGTGCGTCTGGGCGCCCGCCTCGTAAATCAACTTTAAACAATTCCGGCCGAGCGCGCCCCGTACTCACCGGGGAACAGCGCTGTGACTCAACCCGCTTTTCAAAACGCCGCGAGTTTAGTGTCATCCATTTTATGACGCGCCGCGCCATCTTGAATACACACATATGTTACTCCGGCGCGCGTTTTGTTCGCGACAGATAAGACAATTCGTGTCAACATAAACGAAAATTTAGTAACGCAAAAAAGTTCAGTAATCTTCGTGGGTTTAAGGGCGCGGAGTGTGGGAATAGAAATAGAAAAGTTGAAATTTATAAAATAACAATATCATTAAATAGCGAACGAGCGAAGTTTTTTATCTGCCTCCGAGGTTCGGGGGGCATGAACACGATAGCGAACGGCCGGAACACGCGCCGGATGGTAATTCAGAGCTTTCGCAAAGCTTTCCCAAACAATTCCGGCGCCATCTTTGCTTCTGCCCTTTCGGCCTTTTTTTCCTCCACCACGCTGCTAACGGACCATAAGCTCACCGACCATAAAAATACCTCCATTCCGCTGGACGGTCAAGGGAGCACGTTGTTTTCTGCTTGTTTTTTTACGTACACGTCGAGCGGTAAAACAGTAATTTCGATAGGAAACAATTCCACCCACGCTGCACCCCACAGCCATTTAGTTGTTGTGCCGCTTGGGTCCCGAAAGTCTTAAAGTTTGTTTTATCTGCGCGGCCAATATAGACCAAGTTTGCGTCTTGTAACATTTCATCTAAATATTGCTCTTGCAGCGAAAAGTTGGACCTGGAGAAGACCGCCACCGGTCCCGGTGGTATTCCTGCTGACGCCATCTATACGACGACGCCGCGCGGTGGCCGATCCCCGGAGGCAATGAAGGTACGTCTCGCCGCCATGGTGCTCCAGCCACCAACTAGAGTGTAGCACTGCACCTCCGTCGTTCCCGTTCTGTTTGCCGAGCATTCGCGGCGAACTATTTTTTAAAATACACAAAACCAACCACGTAATCATGAAAATCATAAACATAACCTGTAATAACATATCTATATTATACCATAGATGGCGCTAGTTGTTGAATGTTTTTTGTGTATTTTAAAAAGTTGTTTATGCCGCGCGTACTTAAAAATTTTATTAATTTGTGAACCACGTTTTGGTACTGTGTCACACTGTGTGAATTTACTGACGTTTGATTTTTAGTTGTGTTTTACTACTGCGTTTTTGTGTTGTTGGTTTATTATGTTTTTGTTGTGTTGTTTGTATACTCTTCATCACTCTTTGGTTCCTGTCGCCATGCCAGTTTGATGGTTTTACGAAGCACCAGAAACAGTAACAACCACCAAATCTCTCATGTTTGTGTACGTTTCTTATTCATAACCGAAATAGTTTAACGTAAAAGTGAGTAACACACACGCTAGCGAAATACCAAAAACTAAGTAAACTTGATATGTGACTAACTGATTCCAAAGACTAGTTTTCATGCGATAATCAATACTCTATCATTATTAATAATTAGCAATTAATTTACGATAAAGTGATTTGCATTTACATCCACTTGAAATTGATTCGATTGATTGATTTGGACGAAAATTAGTTTGTAAATTTAATCCTCCCTAACCTCATCTATAAGCTCTGTCTCTTTGTGGAGGTGGAGGGGATGTGTACATTTTGTAAATAACGCCTCTGTGTGACTCTATGCTATAAATTATTCATTTACTGGATTCACGTTAGCGCGCGCTGCGTGATTGTTTTTTGGCGGATGTTGACATGACGTGTGTTGTGCTTGCACCACTCTCACTCACCCCGTAACACCTCACTCTCACCTGACTTGACTTGCACCAGCGTGTTGATATTCACCGAATTGATTGCACTCCACTTATCACATGCACATGCAATTTTGCAAATGATACTCACACCGGAATCGTGCGTGCACGCTTAGCGAATGCATTCCGAAATTGTGAATGCTAGTTTTTCTTTTTCGTTTTTTGCCCCTGCTAACAGCAGAATTTTCATGAAAAGGCGAAGATAAAAACTTGTGCCAAAAATGTTCAAAATTTATCTTCGCAATTTGTGAAAATTGAAATTTTGGGCTACAATTTACACTCGTTCAAATTATCAATGAATTTTTTCACATAAAAATCATTTTTGTGTAATAAATTGACAATTTGTACGAGTTGATTAACATTTTTAACACTTTGTATAAATATTACTTGTCGACACTGTACATATCCACACTGATGCGACACGAATTGTTTCCCACACAGACTCCCGTTTTGAGCACATTCTCAAACCACCATCTCACTTGATTTTAAACGTGCGAGGGGGCGCGCCGGCCGCTAACGCCCTCTTTCGTTCGATCGCCGTGCGCGTGCCGTGGTTGTCTATCTCACCGCCAGGGGAGCGCAAATTCGACGCACACGTTCGATCACGTTTTTCTATATCTGTAACGATAACCAAAACGCCAGTACCGCTAAACTAACCAACTCTCTCATTCATTCGTTCATTCATTCACGCATTTAGCTATGATGTATATAAAAACAAGCAAGGGAACTCATCGCTCATCGTTGCTAACCTAACATATTCAACGTTAATTTTAACTTATGTATACCATTTTTTACATCTGTAGCTTTGTACGCAATTTTTGATATTGATATTATCACTCCGTTTGTTTATTATCTACTATTTTTGGGTCTATGGGTGTATGTTATAATTGTGTGTATACAGTGTGTTCAAAGTTTTAAAGTTTTTTGATTTGAACACGCTGTATGTGCTTCAAAACTTGTTTGTTCATCATTTTATAATTGTATTTCATATTTCACGCCTAGTTGTAAGCCGAACAGCAAACTAACCCGTAACCTAACCTAAAAATGTGCATATATACACTATGAATTGCAAGCTATTAGCTACGATTGCAATTTATGATTAAAATTTTGAAAAAAAAAATGCTAAAATTAACACACGAATGAATGAATATATCTAACAAGATTGTAAATATATATGTAGCCGACGACCACACTGACATTCAATGGCAGGAGTAGCGTCTGCGGCGGTGGCGGCGGCGGCGGCGACAACGTCTACGCCGGCATCGGGGGCGCGCGCCGCCTCACGCTGCCGTCGCCGAACGCGTGCGAGTCGGATGACGACGGCGTCGCCGAGACGGCTGTCCGCGGGGGCAGCAGTGGCGGCGGCGGGTATGCACGCAAATCGCGCAGCTATAACAAGTACAACGCGATCGACGCGCCGCGCGAGTCACGCGCGCGCGCATCACTGCCTTCTGGCGGCGGGGGCAGGCGACACGGGAGGCGCACGGACGCCAACCATGTGACGGCGCGCCCTAAGCCGCTGCAGGCCGACTGCGAGAAGTATTACGAACACATTTTTCCCAGCCGCCAGCCGAGAGCGCGGCAGTCGTACAACGACGTCTACTACCAGCCGAACAGCATGGATCATGCCGAACTGTAAATATTTGACACTTTTACATTTTCGTTTGAAGATGATATGCGTTTCACTGCCTAAATGTTATCCTAAATATCGAATTTACCATGACGGAACTTTTCCATAACCATACAATAATTTACGAGCAGTTACCAGTTTATAAACTTGCTTTTAACCATGTTCCGAAATATTGCCGGAGGAATGTGATCAACTTTCGCTGGCTTGGCTATAGCTTCACTTTAATTTTCCGTGCAGGAATTTATCGTAGGCAACCCACAATACACCGAAACTTTGCGCAATATTTCGGAACCAAAAATTTCAAATTAAAATATAAAACTGTACATATTGGACCCGTTTTATTCTCGATCGGTGTCTGCATACGAAATTCGTGTAAATGTAAACTTCATCATCTCACGATACAAATTAATTTATCAAATCACTTCATCACGTATCCACGTCGCATGACACACACTGACAACCTATAATTTTAATTTCGCAATAATCATCAATCATTTGTGTTTTAATTTATTGATCATTCACAACATGGCATTATTCAATATTCCATCTACAATTCGATGACTTCAACATCTAATTAAACGTTCAAATCGTTCAAACCCTTAAGCGAACCGTTGACAGGACGTTAAATTGGAATCATACGTTTTGTACGTTTCTGTGCTCTTGCAGAACGCAAATGATCGAGTAAAACTTTTCGAAAACTTAACGCAAAATACGTCACTGAGGCTAGCAACCAACCAACGCTATCTACTTTAAAATAAAGACATAATTATTGATAAATTAATAATGAAATGAATGTGATGTTACAATAATAACTAAACTAATTATACTATATGAAATTAAATTGCAGATGTGCGCGTTTGATGGCGAACTGTGTTTTGCTTTCAAGCGCCGTGCATTAAACGCGAATGTATTATTCGATTTACAAACATTAAATTAAACCAAATAAAAAAAAAACACATTTGAAATATACAAATTATAATAAATCGTAATATAAATTAATTGAGGGGCGTTTCGCTGCGAATATGTTGAATGATATAGAATATTTATGTGTCATAGATTATATTATATTATTATATTTGTTAACGAATACCATTGGGGCGTAATCAGGCGAGAAGAGATGTGTGAAACTTTGGTATTTAGTTTGAATATGTATAAAAAATGCGGAGTGAAAGTGAAATGAAACGAATGGTATATCTGATTGGTTAACTTAACACTTGCATGTACGAATAAACAATGAATCAAGATGTTAAAACAAGAAAAATCCGTAAATTGAAGGGAAATATTTATATTCTTAACGTTTAACAGTTAATTAACGCATTATAATCAAGGAATATTTTACTGTTTTGTTTATATTTCCTTAAATGTAAAATATATAATATAAAAGTAGAACATTTCTTGTTAATTAAGTTTATTATAGATGAATTAATTCCGATAAAAAGAAAATAATTTCAAAGTTATGTTTTATGGTAGGCAACCCAACATACACGTTTCGAATGTTCAAATCCTTAACCGGTGGAGACGGTTGTGTCGTTATAGTACTCGTGCATATTTGTCAATTAAACTAGTTATTTTAGTATTTATTATATCATCTGCAACTGCCATGGATAAAATTCACGTGGAAATACTTCTTGAAAAAGAAAAGTAAGCTATCTACTTTCATTTTATCAATTTTTAAACATGTTTGTAATACTAACCTATAAATATTATTTTTCAACTTCTTATTGTAATACAATCTACTTTCTAGTGTTTTTACCGACGCAGAACTGATAGAAATATGCGGCAGTCATTTATCAGAACATCATGCTCAGCCAGGTTCAAGGATGACAAACTTTCCAGATAATTCTATGGTTGCAATTGCTGGTGCCCAGGAATTAATTGTGAATGAATGTTGTGGGATTACTGTAAGTACAATTTATTAAATTTCATAACTGAAAAGTTTAACTATACATATGAACTTTCAGGGCCCTGTTGATTTCGAAAGCAAATCAATTCAATGGTACATCTACAGCTTGAATTCACTTGGACCTCAAGCTGAAAATTTCAATGATTCGAATGGAGACTATGTGAATGTAGCATCTGATTATATTCTACCTTGTGCAGATCTGCATTTGTTATGGGAGAATTTAATCTATGACCATAATGTGAAGGATGATGTAAGTAAATAAATATATAATTCATTTTAATCATTTAATAATTGGAACTTTTATTCTCAGCTTTTGAATTATGCTCATGCTATAATGTCGTTCTCACAACGTGGTGTTAATTTTAACATCATAAGTTGCAATAAAGTAATATTGTTGCACGGACCACCGGGAACCGGAAAAACATCACTTTGCAAGGCATTAGCTCAGAAGTTATCCATAAGAATGGTGCAAACTTATCCAAAAGCTATTTTGATTGAAATCAATAGCCATAACTTATTCTCCAAGTGGTTTTCAGAGGCATGACATTAAAATTACTACTTATGACTTGAAATTATATTAATTCTGTTATTTTTAATTCTAGAGTGGAAAATTAGTCACGAAAATGTTTGACCACATTCGCGACGTGTGCGAAATGACCAATACCCTTGTCTGTGTCCTCATCGATGAAGTGGAGTCCCTCGCACATGCTCGTGAGCAGTGTTTGAATGGTAATGAACCATCCGACGCGTTCAAAGTCGTCAATGCGGTCTTAACACAAATCGATAATTTGAAACGTTATCCAAACGTGTTGGTGCTTAGCACGTCTAATATCATGTGTGCGATAGACCTTGCATTTGTTGACCGCGCTGATTTTAAACAATATATCGGCCCGCCGAGTGTGCCAGCAATTAAGAAAATTTACACGAGTTGCATTAACGAGTTGATACGTACAGGTGTAATTTGTTTGGATGAAAATAAGTCTGAGGGTCTTGATAGCCAAGAGTTTGATGTTGCTCTGACTAAAATTAGTGAAGCAAGTCAGAAACTTAGTGGTAGAATGTTGCGCAAGTTGCCGTTATTGGCTTGTGCTTCTCATTTGCGGCATTCAGAACTCGGGTTGATGGATTTTATGGAAGCTATGGGTAAGAGTATTGAAAATGAATTTTGCCAGAGGGATAAATTGTTGAATGGAAAATTGACAAACGGGTACAAAGAGTAATTTAGTAAAATCGGATTTTATAGTAGTAATAATTTTTATCGCCATTATTTTATCATATTTATCGTAAGTCTTAATTCAATTATCAAGTAAATGTTATAATATTTTATCATGTAGGAAGTTTAGTAAAATCTGTCATAAATTGTTTATAAATTGAGGCTGATGGAGCTAAATATTAGAAGCAATATATAATATCTAGGTGGTGTCCCCAACTAGATGTTTGCGTCGGCTGTCAATTTGGTTTCCTGTTTAGTCGGTCGTGCGCGATGGTGTCGTGAGCACGTGTTTTGTTCGTGAGTCTATCTTTATAGTTATTAATCGCTTTTCTTGAGATTTTAATTTGTTGGTGACATGGTAAATCTTAAATGTTCAGAGAGTGTGGTCTACAGTTAAGTAATAATCTATGGTTCCCGATATAGACTGATTTAATCGTAGTATGTGTGCCGGCCGTCGGAAACTTTACCGTCGCATTGGATTTATCATTTATTTATTAACTTTAAATCGTTCATATAAACAACATTTCTCCTCAATGTGAAAAACTAAATAAAGGGAAAATATTCGAGTAACGTGAATTATTCTTATAACTAACGTATTAATTCATTTTAATATTTCTGTTTTTTACGTGCAGTGAAACTACAAAGTACTTGGTTGTATGAGCTCCAATAAAAGACAATTTAATACTGTATTTGTAAGTTGATTTATTTTCGTATCCTCTTTACGGTTTTCAGAAATACATAGTTAAAAAAAATTTACATGTGATTTCATATTTGTATCTGCATGACGGAACAGGTGTTGTTGTTTTTAAAAATATGAATAAAGGTGCAACATTTATACCTGAAACAAATGGAGTATGATAAGAGAGCTCGATGGCTCAGGTGCATGTGCCTATACTTGCAAATTCGAACGTCATGGTTCGAACCCCAATAAAGCAAGAATGTTTTCTTAAATATCAAAATAAATCCGAGTTATGTGGGTTGCCTATACAAGAGAGTTGAAATTCAAAAGAAATTCCGAATAACAGCGAAGAATGAGGAACGGAATACGGAGAAGGAGAAGTTGGGAATAATAAGAGTACGGAAAAGAGTAAGAGTAGTAGGAGAACAAGAACGAGAGAGCAGGAAAGAGCCACTCCGAAACAGGGGTGGCCGGATTTTTAAATTTTTTGGCACGTGTCGTTATAACAGTCTACGGTCGATCTCCCTGAGCGCCTCCGGCGCTCTGGTCGATCGCCCACTATTTCAGATTTTTCCATTGCTCCCGGCCCATCCTACAGCTGCGATGTCTCTGCGCTTCATCCCCGAAATTATCAGGCATATCAACAATTTTTATGGTGGGGGATCACCCCCAGAGAGAGGGAACTCCTTATAAGGACAATCCTTATAAGGTCTTGTTCAAATATTTCTAAGTTTTAAGTCGCCTCAAGAGAGGGGACACTTAAAAATATTCTTACAAGTTCTGACCTTTAACTGAAATGAAAGATGGAGTACACAAATCATATAGAATACCTTAACAATTTTTATAGAGGGGATCATCCCCTGAGAGAGGGAACTCTCTCTTAGAGACCTCTACCTGAAATGATAGAAGGCGAACACATAAATGAAAGTAGTCAATATATCTTACTATTTCTTTATTAACAATAGAATACAAGTTTTGATTTTACAAGTCAACGGAATTCGTGCCGCCATATTGGAACAGGACTTACGACCTTCTTAGCCGCGCACGCCTGCTAAAATGTAGCAAGTACCACTTCATAAAGTAAGTGGGATAAACAAATTAGCAAATAGCCCATTTTCTACGTCAGTGGAAACAAATATACAGTGTGTTACAAAATGAAAATTTTAAAATTGAAACAGAAAAACATTTAAGCACAACAAATATCGCTGGTTTTTCACCCAATGTCTGGAAAACTAATATACAGGGTGTTACAAAAAGAAAATTACAATATTTAAAAACAAAACTCAAACTACAAGGGGGAAAACATATATTAGGACCATTTTCGTATAACTCAACGGAAAACTAATGTACAGGGTGTTAGAAAAAGAAAATTATGATTATAGTTGAACAGCAAATGTACAGTACAAACCTGAAAACACAGATCTTGATGACTTTTTGAAAAACACCACGGGAAACTAATATACTGGGTGTTACTGAAAGAAAATCAAAAGTTCAAGGAGGAAGACAAAGGAAACATTACAGGGTGAATCAAAAGGAAAAACTAATATTTATTTAGAACAACGGCTAAAAACAATACGAAAAGGATAATGCAAGATGATGATAAGAAAACAATTACATTTTTAAAACGAATTTTTACAAGAAAAACATTACAAAAAACAGAACAATTAAGATGAAATCATTTTCCCTTTGGATAATAAGAAAAAGTAAATGGTTAAATGATATAAAAATTAGTAAATCAGTGAGCGAGCAGCACCGTTACAAGTCGTAGGTTGCAGCGAGGGCACAGAAACGCATTCGACGGCACGCGACAAATTTCAACAATTAATGTGTTAACCGGGATGAAAAAATAATTTATAGAGCAATCTATAAATCGATTGCAAATTTCAAATATGAATATGAGATGCCACATACGAGTATGAGATATAAACAACACGTACTCGCACATGTTGCATCCTGCAGCGAGAGCCGAAGTAAGCAGCCGACGGCAGACTACAATCTTGAACAACGAGTATTCTAATGTTTACATTCAACGCGATAAAAGACAAAATTAATACAGCAATCTATCAATCAATTTTAAATGTAAATATGAAACTATTATAAACAAAATAAATTATTAATTGGTCAATGATTAGAATAATACATTGTGATAAATGTTGAAGTAAAGAAAACATTTATTTTTGTAGTTAAAATCAAGCGTTTGTCAAGTGTTTCATGAAATTAATCAAAAATCTTTACAAAAATATGAAAACATACCTTGATGCAAAATAAATTTTTCGCTTTTGAAGTATCCAATACTTATAGGTATATTAATTACGCACATTACAGCAAACACGCGTTAATACTAGAGCACGAAACTGATTAAATTCAAAATGTAGTAGATAACGACTTTTTACATTAAATAAATATAATCGAAGAGTATCCGACGGCCGACGGTACATCATTCACACGTAATCTTTGCAAATATACTACCCGCGTTTAACAAAAACCGCACATCACCCTCGTGCAATCGAACAGATCAATTACAGAACAATTAGGAATATTACATAATAACGCAAAGAAAAGTTAAGAAATTTAAAGGTTCGCGAAGCGCACAGTTCACCGGACGATCAAAATTAGACTAACACCGTTTACAAGCCAACCGCGTGTGCCGAGAATGTGGCGACGGCACAAATGTTGAAAAAGATAACAAAAACTTGTTTATAAACACAGATAGTAACAGTGTAAAATGCTAGAACAATTCTACATAGTATGCATTGAATATTTACGTATATTATAAGGAACATAGACTGCAAATGCATCACGGCTGAAATACGTCTAAAATAGTTACTCTACTCGATAAAGAAATGCAACTAACAACACAATAAATAATGAATAATATAACTAAATTCCGCTTCTAGCAATAAATTTTGATACAGGGAGATACAACATTAAATTCCGCATCTAATAAAATTATTTCAAACTTATAATAAGACCGCGTTCGCGTGATATAATAAAAAAACTACAATTCCTAGCGCAACGAGTACAATTGCGTATACACACAACTATCAATATAACTCGCGTTAAAAAAATTTCTAGCAATAAATTTCAATACAGAGAGATACAGAATTAAATTCCGCATCTAATAAAATTATTCCGGACTTAGAATTAGACCGCGTTCACGTGTTATAACAAAAATACTACATACCCTAGCGCAACCAGTACTAGTGCGTATACACACAACTATCAATATAACTCGCGTTAAAAAATTTTCTAGCAATAAATTTCGATACAGGGAGATACAGATTTAAATTCCGCATCTAATAAAATTATTCCGGACTTAGAATTAGACCGCGTTCACGTGTTATAACAAAAATACTACATACCCTAGCGCAACGAGTACAAGTGCGTATACACACAACTATCAATATAACTCGCGTAAAAAAATTTTCTGGCAATAAATTTTGAAACAGGGAGATACAACATTAAATTCCGCATCTAATAAAATTATTTCAAACTTATAATAAGACCGCGTTCGCGTGATATAATAAAAAAACTACAATTCCTAGCGCAACGAGTACAATTGCGTATACACACAACTATCAATATAACTCGCGTTAAAAAAATTTCTAGCAATAAATTTCAATACAGAGAGATACAGAATTAAATTCCGCATCTAATAAAATTATTCCTGACTTAGAATTAGACCGCGTTCACGTGTTATAACAAAAATACTACATACCCTAGCGCAACGAGTACAAGTGCGTATACACACAACTATCAATATAACTCGCGTAAAAAATTTTCTAGCAATAAATTTCGATACAGGGAGATACAGATTTAAATTCCGCATCTAATATAATTATTCCAGACTTAGAATTAGACCGCGTTCACGTGTTATAACAAAAAAACTACATACCCTAGCGCAACGAGTACAATTGCGTATACACACAACTATCAATATAACTCGCGTAAAAAAATTTTCTAGCAATAAATTTCAATACAGGGAGATACAAAATTAAATTACGCATCTAATAAAATTATTCCCGACTTAGAATTAGACCGCGTTCACGTGTTATAACAAAAACTACATACCCTAGCGCAACGAGTACAATTGCGTATACACACAACTATCAATATAACTCGCGTAAAAAAATTTTCTAGCAATAAATTTCAATACAGGGAGATACAAAATTAAATTACGCATCTAATAAAATTATTCCCGACTTAGAATTAGACCGCGTTCACGTGTTATAACAAAAACTACATACCCTAGCGCAACGAGTACAAGTGCGTATACACACAACTATCAATATAACTCGCGTAAAAAAATTTTCTAGCAATAAATTTAAATACAGGGAGATACAGAATTAAATTCCGCATCTAATAAAATTATTCCCGACTTAGAATTAGACCGCGTTCACGTGTTATAACAAAAAAACTACATACCCTAGCGCAACGAGTACAAGTGCGTATACACACAACTATCAATATAACTCGCGTAAAAAAATTTTCTAGCAATAAATTTCAATACAGGGAGATACAGAATTAAATTCCGCATCTAATAAAATTATTCCCGACTTAGAATTAGACCGCGTTCACGTGTTATAACAAAAAAACTACATACCCTAGCGCAACGAGTACAATTGCGTATACACACAACTATCAATATAACTCGCGTAAAAAAATTTTCTAGCAATAAATTTCAATACAGGGAGATACAAAATTAAATTACGCATCTAATAAAATTATTCCCGACTTAGAATTAGACCGCGTTCACGTGTTATAACAAAAAAACTACATACCCTAGCGCAACGAGTACAATTGCGTATACACACAACTATCAATATAACTCGCGTAAAAAAATTTTCTGGCAATAAATTTTAATACAGGGAGATACAGAATTAAATTCCGCATCTAATAAAATTATTCCCGACTTAGAATTAGACCGCGTTCACGTGTTATAACAAAAAAACTACATACCCTAGCGCAACGAGTACAATTGCGTATACACACAACTATCAATATAACTCGCGTAAAAAAATTTTCTGGCAATAAATTTTAATACAGGGAGATACAGAATTAAATTCCGCATCTAATAAAATTATTCCCGACTTAGAATTAGACCGCGTTCACGTGTTATAACAAAAAAACTACATACCCTAGCGCAACGAGTACAATTGCGTATACACACAACTATCAATATAACTCGCGTAAAAAAATTTTCTAGCAATAAATTTTAATACAGGGAGATACAGAATTAAATTCCGCATCTAATAAAATTATTCCCGACTTAGAATTAGACCGCGTTCACGTGTTATAACAAAAAAACTACATACCCTAGCGCAACGAGTACAATTGGTATACACACAACTATTAATATAACTCGCGTAAAATAAATTTCAAGCAATAAATTTCGATACAGGGAGATACAAAATTAAATTACGCATCTAATAAAATTATTCCCGACCTAGGATTAGACCGCGTTCACGTGTTATAACAAGAAAACTACATACCCTAGCGCAACGAGTACAATTGCGTATACACACAACTATCAATATAACTCGCGTAAAAAAATTTTCTAGCAATAAATTTCGATACAGGGAGATACAAAATTAAATTACGCATCTAATAAAATTATTCCCGACTTAGAATTAGACCGCGTTCACGTGTTATAACAAAAAAACTACATACCCTAGCGCAACGAGTACAATTGCGTATACACACAACTATCAATATAACTCGCGTAAAAAAATTTTCTAGCAATAAATTTCAATACAGGGAGATACAAAATTAAATTACGCATCTAATAAAATTATTCCCGACTTAGAATTAGACCGCGTTCACGTGTTATAACAAAAAAACTACATACCCTAGCGCAACGAGTACAATTGCGTATACACACAACTATCAATATAACTCGCGTAAAAAAATTTTCTGGCAATAAATTTTAATACAGGAAGATACAGAATTAAATTCCGCATCTAATAAAATTATTCCCGACTTAGAATTAGACCGCGTTCACGTGTTATAACAAAAAAACTACATACCCTAGCGCAACGAGTACAATTGCGTATACACACAACTATCAATATAACTCGCGTAAAAAAATTTTCAAGCAATAAATTTCGATACAGGGAGATACAAAATTAAATTACGCATCTAATAAAATTATTCCCGACTTAGAATTAAACCGCGTTCACGTGTTATAACAAAAAAACTACATACCCTAGCGCAACGAGTACAATTGCGTATACACACAACTATCAATATAACCCGCGTAAAAAAATTTTCTAACAATAAATTTCGATACAGGGAGATACAAAATTAAATTACGCATCTAATAAAATTATTCCCGACTTAGAATTAGACCTAGTTCGCGTGTTCTAACAAAAAAACTACATACCCTAGCGCAACGAGTACAATTGCGTATACACACAACTATCAATATATCTCGCGCAAAAAAATTTTCTAGCAATAAATTTCGATACAGGGAGATACAGAATTAAATTCCAAATCTAATAAAAATTTTTCCAGGAAATGCAAAGTTTGAGCAAGGTAACATAAATTTAAAGTAGGTTTCACAGGACATCACAGGAAATAAATATACAGGGTGTAGCAAAAGAAAATGACATTTTCAGTGAATAAAGCGAAATTCTAGTAGAACACATATATCTAGATTACTTTTCACAATACACTACGGAAAATTTATATACAGGGTGTTGTAAAAAGAAACTGAGATTATTTTAAAAGAAAATTGAAATGGAATTACATATATTTTCTTCTTATTGACGTGGTATTACAAACTTGACACGGGAAATTAACATACAAAGTGTTGCAAGAAAAATCATAAGTTTAAAAGAAAAAGATCCACACACAAATAAATATAATGCATTTTTAACTTGAAACTAAGAAAAATGTATATACCGGGTGATACCAAAAGAAAAATTAGGATTTAAGAAGGAAAACGGCTGGAAATAATAAACAAGATAATATAAGACGAAAACAAGGTACAATAAAATACGCAACTGTAGATGAAAAAACAAAGTAATTTAAAAAAACACACTTTTGCAGCAGAAATCAAAGTAGAGTGAAGAAAGACTGACACCACGTAGAACATGGAAAGGAGATGGGTTGGGTATTACAAAAATAAAGCATTACATCTAATTATATTTTAAACCATGCAAAACAACTAGCAAGGAGTAGGGAAAAAGCCATAAACTGAAGCGAAGGCCGAGAACGCTGCCGACGGCACGCGACAATCTTAAATTGTAATTCATTTGACATCAAACGCGATTATTGGGAAAATTGATAAATGCCAATGTATCGAATAATGCAAATCATAGAAAAGTATTGTAATAAAGAACATTTTAATTAATGTGATGTAAAGACCACGCGGTTGAAGTGAAAATCAGTACGTTACAAAGCAGATTTGGTTATATATAGCTGAAAAAATACGAGAACATACCTGGATGCAAAATGATTTATTTGCTTTCGGGATATCCAATAAGTTGTATGGACCTTAATTATGCACATTGTTGCAACGATGAAACACGCGTGTAATACTAAAAGAGTATCCGACGGCCTACGGAACATCACGCTCGCTTAACGAACACCGCACAACGCACGCACAATCGAACAGAGCAATTAGAAATATTACGTATTAACGCGAAGAAAAATTAAGGAACGCAAATGATTCTGAAGAAAATCTGCGCGTGCAGATCACCTGACGACAAAAATGAGACTAACAGCGTACGCAAGCCAACCGCGTGGCGACTGCACAAAAATTGCTAGAGATAAGAAAAACTGGTTTGTTTGTGAACACTGATACTACCAGTGTGGTAGTATAGAACACGAAAACTATTCAACTATGCATGGAATATCACGGACGAAACATGTTTATCTCACCAAAAATTGTTTTATTACATTATAAAGAAGATAAATCAATATAAATTTACGAATAAACTAATAATACCTCAAAAACTATTAAAATTATTATTTTACTTTCAAGTATCGCATTGGATTAATTTACTATCTAATAAAGAAATCTGTTTTTAATCACGACATATATAAATTACAAGAAATTAATTATTGACGGGAAAACAAATCGATTTTATGATATCAGATTAACGAAATCAGATTAATCAAATTTCGAAAAAAAAAATTAAATACACGTAGATTCACAAACCGTTGACGAAAGTTTAGGTGAACTCTGTGATTCTTTGTTAAATAAGATGCAACAAAGTAATAACTAAACTGTTAATCACATTTTTTATTTACAATTTTTCTACCATTTTCATAACAAATTTATCTACACCCTAGTTTTTCTAGAAATTGTGTCACGTTTAAGATAAATCCGATTTAAATGATCCCGAAAAACTGACTACAATTGCATAAAACACAATTAAAATCAACTAGCTGTTCGCATTCCCAGTATAGTTGCCTTAAAACCATTGACACGCGAAAAAAAAACACTAATTGGATACACGGCTTTATGCAATCCGTAGCAACGATTGAAACGATTAAAACCCTTCACAAATTTTTCACAAATAAAAAAAAAACAACTCAAAGCACATGACATAAGCAAAACACGCTATTATTTTCACCAACATAACAGAATTCATCAAACAACTAATAAAATAACATAAAAAAATATCCGTTGCGCAATCACAGTTTTCCTCACAGTTTCACTCACACTCACCTAACGAGTTTTTGTCTGCAACTACCTTCCGACTATGAGTAAATTAATGTAACACGATAGTGCCACCTGAGGACTCGTCTTCGACAGCGCTGCGAAAAGCGATGATTTCTAAGAAATCTCGCTGCGTTACAATCGCAATCTACAAAGCAACGTTCGCAATGAGCGCGATGACACGGCGCGTCGAAGGGTCCACCTGGGTCCGGCGACTTGATCTCGCACCCCCGTCGATAACGAAGGGTTGCTACTAGCGACACGCTACGCTGTGACAATTACACAATCGCATTTTTTTTTTAAACTATAGACTATTAATTGCATTTTAGCATGCAGGTTAAGAATGAAAAGAAAACATCATGAAAATATTGATTAAATATTGAAACAGCTGAAAAGAATGTTTTACTTTTTTTAAAGTGAAATGGACATCCCTTAAATTAGTGATATACACATCTGTGTTTGATACATGTATAGAAATTGAACTACAATTAGGGTTGTAAATGTCTTGCGTAGGTAATTGTGCAATTGGCATAATTGTTATGAATATGACTGGTTGTGGCGTTACGTTATGAAGTAACAATGCAATGAATATAATATGAAATAGGGTGGGCACGTTGCTAATAACTGTCGGTTGCACAGATTCATTCAAGCGTACGGCATAATCCTATGCGCAAATAATCTGTACATGTGAAAATAAAATAAAATTTGACATCGTTTAGATTTTCTCATCAACTAAACCCCTTATAAAAATTTTCATAACAAAAAAAAATTAAATTTACAAATAAATATTTAAATACCTATCTCAAATTCTCACTCTTTGGTATATAAAATGTTTAATTAAGTTATTAAAATTAAGAATTATGAATAAATATATCAGTTTATTAAATAAACTTATTGCAACCGTTGGTATTTTATTTATTTCTCACAATTTCCCTCCCGATTGGCAGATTTTCCACCAATGAAATAGTTGCAAACTGTGCGCGTCATACCGCTCTCCAGGGTGACTCCGACGCCGGCGTGTGCCCGCAGAAGGAATAAACGCGCGCGCGATTTCGCGACGATAAGGTCAACAGGTACACCGCTCTCGAGGCGCACATTTTATTACAAGATATTCATCGATGTGTTCCACATAGAAAGCATAGCGTATCGGCGAGCGCACCCATAATAGCATTAGAGTATTAGATAGCTGTTGATTGTCTCGCGGAGGAAAAACGCGCGATGGTGGCGCGCAACTTCTCAGTTCAGGAGTTGCCGTACTCGCGATTGCTGCAGGTGAACGCCGACGAGCGCAGGGACTACATGACGCTCGAAGAACTCAAGCCTGTCACCGTACAGAATATTCAACCGCATCAGCCGAGCTATCAAGCGAGTTATTATGAATTATCAAGTATGGTCGAGTAAGTAATGTTTTTAATTTTAATTTCAAAACTATTGTAATACAGATGGCGTTGGTTGTGTTTTTATTTAATTTTGGATAATTTACAGACATCCTTGTTCTTCAAGTTTGTATCAGAATGATCAACAAGCCACGGACTTGGATACAATTGAAAGCACAATTTCCGATGTGCATAATCTTCAAAATCCCGTGAGCAGGAAAAGAAAATCATCTTACAAGTAAGTAATTTTTAAAAATATTAAAATTAATCAAATATTGAGAAAAATATGATGTAATAATTGAATCTATGATGTTTGTTGCGTTAATTGCTTCGAGACTTGCGACTCCTTAGAGCAACGCAGATGTAATCTTAGAAACTAAGAAGCCCCGTGCTTCAAACGCGTCAAAGGTGCGAAACGCCGAAGTAATTACCGCCACAAACGTAACATTCAACCCTTTCGATACGCGTAACTTGTCAAGATGGACATTTGTACGAATTCCAAATAAATTTTCTGCATTGACAAAGAAACATACAATTTGTACTACAATAAAACATGAATTCTATATAAATATTATTTATAGTGATCCGAATGATTTTGAAGACGACGCCAGTGGTAACATGAAAACCAGCAAAAGTGTTGACGAAAACAAAAAGTAAGTTGAATCAATTATTCTGCGCCGAGACATTTTCAAATAAGGCATGCATAAAATTACGCCATAGATAATAATATTACGGTAATACTTTCGAATGTGTGTGTTGGGAACTCCGCGCGTGAAGTAATAGTAATAGATTTAGAAGCCCTGCATAATTCGCAGTCAAGCGCCAAGGTCGCGTAGAGAAAATAAATTCGCGAATGCATTAACTCGAGAATGAAATATTTCTAGGTCATTTCACGACACATTCGAACGGGATTAATCGTAATATGAATTAGAACAACATTTTTTCATAAAAAAAAACGAAAGTATATCGTTTAATAATAATTTTTATGATTTTTCATAAACCGTTAGTTTTTATTGATAAATGTTTAATTTTTAACCAGGCAGAATCACAGTGAGATTGAAAAACGTCGTCGGGATAAAATGAACACCTATATCACGGAATTATCTTCAATTGTACCAATGTGTCATGCAATGTCACGAAAATTAGATAAATTGACAGTTTTGCGGATGGCTGTGCAACACCTCAAGACTATTAGGGGTGCTGTTAATTCCTACACTGAAGGACATTACAAACCTTCGTTTTTATCCGATCAAGAATTGAAACATTTGATTTTACAGGTAAATAAACACATTATACTTAAGTAAATTACGCCTTGGTAAAAAGTACCGTTATTTCAATTGATTTCCATGACGTAATGTTTATAAATCGATTGAATTTATAAATGTTGTTTATTTTACGCGTAGTACAACTGCATTTTTTCATATAGGCTGCAGATGGATTCCTGTTTGTTGTTGGCTGTGATCGCGGACGAATTTTATACGTTTCTGAATCAGTTTCGAAAGTTTTAAACTACTCACAGGTAGAATATTGCAATAAAATTAAATATAATGTGTTAAAATAATATATGATGAGTTTATTTCTAGGGTGACCTTTTAGGACAAAGCATGTTCGACATTCTGCATCCGAAGGACGTCGCCAAAGTGAAAGAACAACTTTCTTCGTCCGATTTAAATCCGCGCGAGCGTTTAATCGACGCTAAAAGTAAGCTATAATTACGAGTGTAATAAAACTCAATTAAGCATTCTATTCTATTCATGGTTTTTATTGTGTATAGCTATGTTGCCAGTAAAAACTGATTTACCACCGGGTGTGTCGCGAATGTGTCCCGGCGCAAGACGTTCGTTTTTCTGTCGTATGAAATGTAAGATATCAGCGCAGGTAAAAGAAGAAGCTGATACCACTACGGGTTGTCATCGACGTAAAAACAAACAAAGTTCAGGTAAATACACAAATATACTTTTACTAAATAATAAAACTTACTTGTAATGTGTTTTAACGTGTTGATTACCCAGATAAAAAGTTCAACGTAATCCAATGCACTGGTTACTTAAAGTCTTGGGCACCAGCAAAAATCGGCGTAGAAGAACACGAAGGTGAAGGCGACTCGTTTAATCTATCGTGTCTTGTGGCTGTCGGTCGTATACTACCAAAAATATCAACTGTTGCACCGTCGACTCAAGTACGCCCGAATGTTAAAAACGTACAATTTATCTCTCGTCATGCGCTCGACGGCAAGTTTCTATTTGTTGATCAACGCGCTACTTTGGTACTGGGATTCCTGCCTCAGGAACTCCTCGGAACCAGTATGTATGAATATTATCACAATGATGACATTCAGACTTTATCCGAATATCACAAAACTGCGCTGCAAAATAACGAACGGGTTAATACAAAAATATATCGGTTTAGAACTAAAGACGATGGTTTTGTGCGCCTACAAAGTGAATGGAAAGCGTTTAAAAATCCATGGACGAAAGAAATTGAATGTGTTATTGCTAAGAATAGTTTGATTCTGACTGATTTGCGAACTGTGGAGAGTACCGGTGAGAGAACGGAGAATATCCGCGAGAATTTTGAATTTTTCACGCAGAATTCGGGAAAAGAGATACAGAGGATTATTCATGATCATGTGGAAGCTAGTAATATTGGCAGGCATGTTGCGGAACAAGTTTTGGATACACAGAGTTCACAAAGGCAGGAAGGTGATACTCCAGAGGAAAGTTCACCAAATTCCGAACCGGAATCGAGTTTACAGAATTTACAAGCTAACGAGGTAAATTTTTACAATTAAATCACAATAAATAGTTTATATGTTTGTGTTATTGTTTCAGTCGCAAATATCTACAAGTGTCCCATGTCCAGGAATGTCCACATCTGATCAAAATCAAATGATATCAAATTATCAACCGCAAGATTCACAATTTAACAACCACCACGTTCAAAACAACATTTCTTTGACAAATCTTTCCGAACCAGGTAAACACCGCTGTATATTAAATTATTTGCTTTTATATTATAAACTATTTATACAAATTGTCAAATTTCTTCAATTGTAACAAAGGTGGAAGTGTGGTGACCTTACCAGCGTCCGAAAGTCGTGTTATTGGTATGATGGAAGACGCCGTACGCGAATCACCAACCAACAACCCTTCGTCAGATGGTAATGATGAAGCAGCAATGGCGGTCATCATGAGTCTCCTCGAAGCGGATGCTGGACTTGGTGGCCCGGTGGATTTTTCCGGCCTACCTTGGCCGTTACCATAAAGAATCAAATCATTTAAAGTAAACAACATGTTTACTTCTATACACAATTAAAGTAACATATTATAATGATGAATGTGATCACAAATTAACTTAAATGTCTACAGAACCAAAATCAACGTACAAAATACAAAGCAGGTAATTGCAATAAGGGTACCTATGAGTTAGGTACTGTGTTTTTTCTTCTTTTTCCTTATTGATGAGTCTGTCACTTGTTCATCATCAACTTCCTCCAATTTCCTCTTCTTGGATGGTGACTTTTTATCCTTTTTCGCTTTTTTCTTTGGAATATCTTTCAGAATTTCATCCATGTCAGGATCGGCGGGTAGTATAATACTCTGGCTGAATTTGGTGTCATTGTCAGTGTCTTTCTGCATACTAATTGAACCATCTTCAAACAATGCATCCAAATTAAGATCAGGTAATGATTCATCTAATAAATCTCGTTCTTTCACTTCTGTTTTCTCTTTTATTTTCTTCTCCTTCTTCGATTTTTTCTCTTTTTTCTTTGGTTTAGTCTCATTTTCATCTTGTTCAACTAATCCTTCATCATTTTCAGGTTTTGTTTTGTTCTTTTTGATTTTTTCTGTTTAGGTTGAGCTGTTACATTTGTTTCATCAATGTGAGTAAGTTCTTTTAAGATATTTAATTGTTCTAGGTATTTACCTTTCAGGTCTTCAATCTGGTCTATGTTATTCTGATCTTCTGGAACTTCTGATTTTGATTTCTTGTCTTTTTTGGACTTCTTTTTCTTTTCTGGTGCATCAAAGATAATGTTTAGTATATCTTCTTCTGGAAGTGTTTTCTTCTTTTTCAGTTTCTTCTTTTTTACTGATTCAGCTTCTGGTTGTGAGCCATCTACTTTATCTTTAGTGGATTTTTTCGATTTCTTCTTTTTAGGGTGAGCTGTTTCATCACTTGTGCTTATTCCACTATCTTCTGATATTATTGTTCTAAAAATATTGTTATTTATTAAGTTAAACTTTTATTATTCTTTAATACTTACAATAATACTCCTTTAATATAGGGTAATCTTGCATCCAAATTCATAAAACTGACTTGAAACTGCACTTCCTGACCAATTTGTGCCTTGAAACCCAACCAATTGTCATCACCCTCTGGTTTTGGCAAAGAAATATTAAACAACTTATGCACCAAACAACCAATATGATCCTGACTCTTCTTAATGATCACACCATTTAATCTACATCCAATTGTTGGCTTGAATATATAGAAATCAGCTTCAATTTTCTGATGCATAAAGCACATGTCATCATACATTGGTGCTTTAGATCCAAATATTTTGATGTTTTCAAAACCAAGCAAAATACCGCCGAATCTGAATTAGAAATAATCAGTCAATATTAGAAACTATGCCAATATAAAAATAGTAAATAGGTGACTTACTCAGCCGAATATTTAGCCACTCTTTCATTTAGAATCTCTTTGATTGAGTTGGCTATATTTGAGAGGTGAAACGGATGAAGTGTGATATGATGCGCACATGTTTTCACTTCCACGCAAGAACCAGCGTCGGTGCGTAACTTCTGGAGCTCAGAATGATTCAGTAGCACAGGAAGATTCGATTTTTTCTTGTGATCCATGATTACGCACATGAGATTAGAGTATTTTAGGCACACGGCAGGCAACACGTGAGATCACAACACTGTGAACACTAACCTTAAACAAGTAGGCTTAGAAATTTAAAAGTAGTTGCTCGGATTTACCACATAAATGGTTGAACACATAAACCACGATAACTCACACCGTCACGAACTGTGCTCACTGACACTGATTGAAAGTAACAAACACGTGTTGATAAATTCACGAAGAATCATCAGCGAGAAATTTATTGCAAATAGTGCATTGTAGCGCCATCTAGGTTAAATTTTTGAACTAATGCAGTTTTTACATTCATCTCAATGTGCATTATGATTGTAACAAACAACTTTTCTGAATTGCACAAACAATCCAACGCACAAATAAGTGAGAGCACTAAAACAAATATCTTACATTTCATTGTCAATTCGCGTACTGATCCTAACCAACTAGGTCGTTTCGATTGAAATTTGATTGTTTCATGAAGAAATACTGAATAAGAAAGTAAATAACAATTAGTTTGACCACGTTCAGACGTGCCTGAGTCCCTTTTCACACTTTTGCTCTTGTTCGTGCACAAAAAATAAGCATGTTTCTAGGTGCCTCTCTTTTAAAGATCAGTCTTTATTTATAATCATTATCCGTAACAATTCACAATAAAAACAGTTTCATTGTCTTTCCTAGCATTTACATCATTAATTTTCTAGTATGTACTTCAAACTTGATTTACAAGCATTTACATTTGTACACAAATTCTGAATATCATAACAAATGAGAAAATAAACGCTAGCTATCCATGCAATCAAAAATATTTACTAAAACGTATCCAAACAATGCAATCACCACAATATAAAAATGTGCTGTTTATAAACTACCAGATACTAATCATCGACGTTTTGTAGAAGCGTCCGCCTTCCTACGCATTTTTCTGAAAAGAAATATTAAAAACAATAATTTATATTCATAAACACAAAAACACAAATAGTGTTGTATATACCCTTTCAAATTTTTCTCCTTCAAGTTAGTGGGTTTCGCCTTTCTTTTCGGACGTCCTTTAGGCCTGAAATCAACGAACAAATAAATAAATAAATTAATGTCAACATAACCTTGAATTAATTACGAAACTTACGATGATAAATTTTCAAGTGTTGAAGGACTCATACTATTCAAATTAGTATTGCAGGTTGTAGCCAGCGTATCAGTCTCAATTGGACTCTTCCTTGGACTCAACGATTTTCTCTTCGGTGCCGCAATACGTTTCAACACAACTGAACACCGCTTCATTTGTGAACCCCTGAATCATATTCAAATTATAACATCAAACACACAATATTTATTGATTATTATTTAATTTAAAAATTACCCCAAGCGAGCCAACGAATCACCATCGTTATGATTCTCAACTCCTGAAATTCTCCGCCTGGTGCGTTGCCGTTTCACCACAGGCACCTCATTCGCCGGCGTTGAAGTTGAAGCACCGAGACCAGTAACAAACACTGTATTTGAAAGCTCTACATTCAATGTAGCCTCAATCGTTTCGTCCGGGGCAGTGTCGTCCGCTTCGGGGACAAAGGTAACATTCGGTCGCTTTCGCGGTCTACCGCGACTCACCGTTACGTGTCCCTGGCTGACTGTATTTGATATATCAGTAAGCAAACTGTCTTCAAGTACAAGCGACGACTGCGAGGTGCTGGGGTCAGCTCTGGATGTGCTGGGAACCTGTGGCGCTATCGTTGATAAACTATTTGAATTGGATACCACTGATCTTGTCTAAAATTAATAAAAATGTAAATATTTATATAATTTTAAAGATTAAAACTCACCACTTGTGGTATTGTTGCATCTATCAGTGTGTCTGTACCTGTTTCCTCCATGATAATATCAAGTCTTGCATTAGTTTGTGCATAATTGGTTGAATCAATCTCCTCTGGTGAAATATTAGCCTCTGGTTCAGACAAATCTCCATTTTCTTCATTTTGAACTTCTTCTGCTTCATCATCCTGTGCAATTTCCTCTAAATTTTCATTTTCGTTAGCATAATCATCGACATTTTCGTCCTCTTCAGTTTCTGGAAGTTCTTCAGTTGTTCCCAGTCTTACTTGATTACTCAAACGCTCTAATTGTTCCGGAGAAACTCGTGGTAAGTTTATAACTGGGTTGTGAATCGTGTGACCGCTAATCATCGGCTTGACAGCGCGAGTTTGTTGGACATTTGGTGTGTTAAAAGAAACTGATCTGTCTACAGGTGTTTCTTTTGGTACAAGATACTCCACATCAAAGTGACCTATTCAATTAAATTAATATAAAAATAATAAAAGAGGAATAAAATTATTCATACCTGGCATAGTACTCTGAACAACAATGTTCACAAAATCCTCAGATAACATCACATATTTTGCATGCAAGGCTTTCACAGCTACAGTACACTCATTGCTGCGATTTTTCCACCATTGTAATTCCAATGTGAGTTTGTTAATCATGTTTATGTTATCATGTATTTCCTTCATTTTCTGGCCAAGCAGAATTGTCTTCTTTCTGTTGTCTTCTGTCAGTTGAGAGTTTGCACTTCGAAGTCCTTTAATTAATTTCTCCTGACTGCTCTCTTCATCATCTGCAATATTTTCACAATTATCACAACTATCGAGGAACATTTTCAATTGTTTTGAGCATTTAAAACGAACGGCACTAGTAAAAAACGTTAAAAGTAGCGCGCAGACTAACCTAGATTCTCTGTTGACGTTGTTTGCGCTGCCTTTTTCAGCGATTTGGCTGTTTTAAACCTCGGTATGTTCATTTTCGAGTGGTGTAAAGACTTTGTTTAAAACACAATCACTCTGTTATCGCGTTACTACAGTTAATTAGTAATTATAAGTAAATTTGAGTTGAGGGCTTCCGAAGCTGTTGCAGTGACGGTTGCGATTCGTTGCACTTCGCTGTGATTGGTTGATGTTCAAGAAATAATGACATTTAGTGTTTATGTATATGATCACATAAACTTAAGCATGAATATTATTAATTAATGTAAAATCCCACAAATGTTTTAGTAGCTATTAGATAAAACCATTAAATTAACCAATTCAACAGATACTTTTACCCAATTTACGTTTTTGTGTGTAGATGTATTTAAAAAAAATTAATTTAAACACTTGTTGTATATGATCTGAATTACCATGACTTGTGTATGTTTCTTCAAAACAAATGAACAAATCTCTATAGTTACAACCGTTATTGATGATTAGTCGTAAACTTAACACTTTTTCCTTAGCGATTCATTACACTTGTTGGGTCATACAAACATTTATTCTGATTTGGAGGATGGATAGAATGGATCATCCGGAATCATCTTTGACATTGACCAGTTGTCAAACTGGCTGTGGCTCGCTCGCGCGCTGCACGTCTCTGGCTCAGTTCGCCTCCGAATAGTCTCCGCTCTTGGTCGCGCTCGCCCCTGCAGCCATGTTGACCTGCATGGGAATACGCGCACGGTTTCGCGCCGCCTCCTGCTAGACCTGCACCAGCACGCGCCCGCGTGTCGCCACCTCCGCCAGCATGCCCAAGTGCGACGTGAAGACGCGCTACATCCCGGCGACGTTCGCGTGGATCCTGCTGCTCGTCGCCACATCGTCGTTCTTCTACTTCCCGTGAGTGCCATCGCGTTCACCTTTGGTGCCATCGAGCGCGTGCTCACATCATTCTTGTTTTAGTGCCGAGTACTACATCCACAACTACCCCTGGGTGCCAGCATGTCAGGGCGTCATCACATTCTTTGTGCTCGCCAACTTCACACTCGCCACCTTCATGGATCCCGGCGTCATCCCGAAGGGTAATGAGAGGGAAGCACATGCTTCCATTCATCTCGCCGTGTTTATATTTAGATTTATATTTATATAAGTGGATGTTCATCAAGTGCTCTGGGCCATCATCTTCTTTGATTTTTCCTGCTGCTGCAGAGTGAAAGCAGTGTTAATAAGTGCGTTTATTTTTAGCGCCACCTGATGAAGATCGCGAGGATGACTTCAGGGCGCCGTTGTATCGTAATGTGGACATCAATGGTATAACCGTGCGGATGAAATGGTGTGTTACTTGTAAATTTTATCGACCACCAAGATGTTCACATTGTAGTGTTTGCAATCATTGTATTGAGGTAAGAATTATAACCTAAGTTAACATAAGAAAAAAAAGTTAGGTTAGTTTACGTAAATTACGGTTATGTTAATATCACAACCTTGAACAACGAGAGAAATTTAGATAAGAATGGCGTGAATCATCTTAGAAAACACTTGTTTCATGTCGCGCTGCTCTAGTATTTTTAGTTGCCAGAGCATAATCAAGGCCTCGCACGAATAAATATTGACTCAATCCGTGCCGACTGCAAGTCTCCGGCCGAAAACATGTGTATACGGAGAAATTAATCGCCACGCCGGCGCAATGATAAACATTTGTCGACGTTAATTCGGGGAAATCACTTCTAACATTACGTATGCGTTCATTTTACAGACATTTGATCATCACTGCCCGTGGGTAAACAATTGCATCGGGAGGAGAAACTATCGCTTCTTTTTCTTCTTTTTGATTTCGCTGAGTCTGCACATGATCAGCATATTCTCACTGAGTTTAATCTTCGTCCTACAGAAGAAAGATAGACTCACTGATGTTGAACCAATCGTCGCGTATCCTTTTTCACAAACAAACAAAAAAAAAGATGAATTAATTTTTATTTTTATTGAAATTTCCTTAATAAATAATCAGTATGGTATTGATGGGGTTGGTAACACTGTTAGCCATACCGATATTCGGTTTGACAGCATTTCACATGGTGTTGGTGTCCCGAGGGCGCACGACCAACGAGCAAGTGACGGGGAAATTTAAGGGCGGATTCAATCCGTTCTCAAGGGGATGCTGGAATAACTGCTGTTACACGCAGTTCGGACCGCAGTTTCCCAGGTAAATTATTGTAGCTGATTATTTGATTATTTTATTACAATCGCGACGCATAATTGGTTAATGTTAACTTTGACTCAATGATTGTTTGTTTTTATTCGTCCAGGATGTGTAGTCTCTTCGTGGCGTTGAGTTTAATGAGTTAACAAGTTAACAAGAAGTTGCAATAACATGGTTGTATAAATATGTTTTGTAAACGTCAGCGGAAGTTGAGCTGAACTCAACGAGTTGATTGTGTGTTTTGCAGCTTGATGCGGGCGAAAAAATACGTCGTGAAGAATCATGCCCTCCATGGCCCGATTGCGACCATCACAAATGATAGTCAGGTGAAGACTTATATGGATAACAGTAATGGCGTGCGGAGTCTCAATTCAAATGCGTATAATAAGGTAAAATTAATTTTTTTTTCCAAAAATTTTAAATTTTTGTAATTTTTTTGTGATTTGTAGTTGTCACCTGGAAGAGACGGAATGGACTTGGATTTGGAACCATCCGCGTCGCAATCGCAAGACTGTGAGCCCACCCCCCCTTTACAGAGACATGGCTCTAAGAATAATTTCTTCCTACCACCCGTAGATGGGGAGTCGCCGCGACACCCGCCACCGCCACAACAGCAGCGCATGCAGTATGCCCGTCACAGTCCACATCCGCGACCGCGTGGAATGGATGCCAATCGTAGTGGTACACCGGATAGTCTTGGTCCACAACGTCCCTCGCCAACTATGCAGCAGCGAATCAAGAGTCTAGGCGTACCCACTCCGATTGCCATGTCCAGCCCTGTCAGAAGGTAGGTGCTGTAATAATCCGCTCGCTGAAAAATAATAATACACAGAGGTAAACATGCTCTCCTCGTTGTGCGTCTCAGAGTAAGTTTGATGCTTTTCTAGGTGGTCGTGACTGCAGGCGCGGAGCTTTTACCTGATTCTGTGTCGCTATTTGCTAGAAATGTAGTTGCTTCCTCTCCGCAGATCTAATCCCAGCACCCCCACGCAGCCACGTCGGCCCGACTTCATAGGCGTGCCCTCCAACCACGCCTCTGGGATGCCGGGCGGAATGGGTGGCGGTATGGGCGCGCCATACTATGACTTCCAGCCGGCGGCTACCTGCCAACGCCCACCACCTGCCCCCATGGCTGTGTATGGTGGCAGTCCACAACGACGTTTCATGTCCGAAGGGGAACTCGCTCGACAGATGGATCTTGCCGCGCATCAACATCCGCGCACGAACAACACCGTGGATAATATTCGTGAGTTGGCTAATTCTCCGCAGCGTGGCGTTTATATGTGGAAGGATACTTCGCCTGGATATCCGCCACCAACCGCACAGCATCCGGACTTTTATCGCTCTAATCCTACTAGTCCTACACAGCAAGCAGGTGGTGGTGGCGGCGGTGGAGTTGGTTATGGCGCACCACGATCCTATCATCCGGCGTTACGCGGTGGTGTGTCGGTGTATCCACAGCAACCGCCACCGCAATCTCCACAGGTGCATCGGCGCGCTGCGCAAATGGCCGCCAGCACGCCCACGATCGCAGCGGACGCACGACGACGGCCAATGTCGTTCGTGCGCGCGCTTGAGATGACCGATACGGTGGAGTTGAGCGCAGCGGGCGCGGGCGTGACGAGCGGCGGAGGCGTGCATCAGGGCCGGCCGTCCACGCCCGATCGGAACAGTGTGTATGACATGAACTACGAGATATCCGTATAGGGAAGGTGTTGGCACTCGCGCTACGCCGACTGAGTGCAAGTGAGCTTCGCGTGACTTATATCGAAGCGTACTTATGACTGACGCAAGACGATGGGCGGGATGATTTAAAAGTTTAGTGTGTGTACAACTCTATATGTTATCTGTTGTTATTCTCTACGATATTCAAAGAGGACCCTTTTCTATTTTAACATAATCGGTGTGACGGGGGCGGCGTGAGTAGACTTGTTTTATACTCAGGAGAGCGGGGCCGGGGCGTGGAACATGTGGCGCTATACACTAACAAACGTCCAATGCCAGAAACACAAAAGAAAATCGCTTATTTTAACATAGTTTTTAACTTTCGATGATTCTTGATTTTAATTAACGCTAGGAGTCCTCGATTCTCTAGATGAGTTTACTCTAGAGTGTCTAGAGCACTCGATCTGCGAACGTGCAATGTGCGTGTCAGCTTTAATTAAGCAGTTAATGTACTTGTAATTGTATGATGATTGTAATGGAGATGGGACGAGCTCAAGTCAAGTTGCACCCGATTCGTACCCGAGTCGAACCTCCAGGCTTCCAGATTTAAAAAAAAAAACGACCAAAGTAAATTATTTTGGGATGAGATTTCGTAGTCTTAGCGCGCACCTCCTCTGCTCGATGGGCTGTAAATTTTAACTTTAACTCTTTGTGCTTGTAAACTATTTTTGGCGATTTAACTAAAAATGAAAATGATAGCGCCACATGGCCATAAGTGGAGTAAATGCAAATGCAGTAAGGTGACTTATATAATTCATAAAATATTGTTGATTTTAAATGTTTATTAATTATGTGCATATAATACGACGATATGTATTGATTTTTTATTTAATTTTATTTTTTAACTCTGCACTCTGTTAACTGCACCCTCATCAGCGCAACAAACAATTATTTATTATTTTTTTGTAGATGAATTTACTTGTTTGTTGATTTGCTGAGGGTGCATGAATAATTATTTTACATTATCCTCTTTCATGTGATTTTTGTTTTTGTTTGTAACTTTTCCTGACATGTGAAGGCGGATGAATGAAAAGTTTAACTTTTGGCAACTGCTCATTATAAGACTGTGTTAGTTCGGTGTGATTAGAGCATTAATAACTAACTGGAAACTAAAAAAAAAAAGAAAACATAAAACTTTGCAAACTGACGACGATGAAAAACTGTGTGTGTGTTTTAATATTCGATTTATTACTACTATTAGTGAACGTACTAACTAAATTACAGTTAACAAAAACAAGCAAAACAATTAACGAAACATGTAAAAAATTATATTATTGAATGGGGTGATGATAAGAAGAAGGTAACGAATGAAGAATGTTATATTTCATGTATACAAACAGACATATTTGCACATTGGCTCTCAGGCATATCCAATTATTATATAACGACGGCCATTTTGTCCGCGATTGTGAATCGGCAAGAATGGCCGACGCATGTGACTAAATTTATAAATGTAAACGCAAAACAAAGAACACAAAACGAAATCAATTAACTATAGGAGAATGATTTACGATATGAATTTCTAGCATTTAACACTGCGCCATTTATCCAACACGATGAATTATTTGTTGAATGTATAAAATATCAAGAGAGTTTATAATGTACTTATAACGCGATTGTTGTTGGATTGTGGATTATTTGTCCCCTTGATTTACTGTATACAACCAAACACACTCTCAACACAACTGAAACCAAAAGAACTGAACGTACCGATGCCGAACGTTTCGTTTGAACACACTGATTGAATTGAATTGAATTGTACATGGTATTACCTCACAGTTTACAATATGCACGGAATTCAAACTTATTGTGATTCGGAGCGTACGAAATAAACAATCAAGACTAACGTAGACGTGCGGAAAGGCAATTGGAAACAATCATCATCATCTAGTGGCAAGAATTTCGTACATCGATTATACAAGCGGAACGTTTTCCTGGTTTTTGTGGGAGAACTCTTCGACACACGCAGCATTACACGATACATCCATTACATTTACATTCAGGATCCTTTATGAAGAATGATTTAATAAAAAAGAAATATAAATTATACAAAATAATGGGATGTTTTATTTGTATTTGTTGGGGATATTATCAAATCGGGCTTAAGTAGTGTGAATAAAGTTAATTGTTGGTGGTAGTGAGTGCACTGTGTCCCTGTGCGTTCACGCGCATCATGTTACATACCACGAAGTATACTTCGTGTTACATACTTATCTTTGCATATAACTCTATGAGGTGAGCGTAGATGTCGCTAGGATGCAGTTATTTGCATTAAATATTATTTCATTGCATGTTCAAACATGTTCAAGGTCTGCACAACGAAGATTTGCGTGCTGTGTATACTGCAACCGCTACGTGCGTAGCAAATATAAGATAAAGAAGATAGAAACATGACAAAAAACAATAACAAAGCAAAATACAAACATTCTCAATATTCTAGTATCACTTTTCTGTATATATAGTCTATTTTATGAATAAATAAAGTTTAATGACACAAGAGTAACAAAATTGTCATTTAATTACAGATGTTGCTGTAATATTCACTTCGACAAAATAATTACCTAATTATTTGCCGGATTGGCTTGAGAATGTATATTTGGGCATATTTAAGACCTATACTTTGTTATTATCTAAATTAATAGTTAATTTAATAATATAATAAATCATAAGGCCGAGCGCACGCATACTATTGTGTATTTTATATATAATTCTAGACGTGACGCTAGATGTCGCTAGGATGTAGTTATTTGCATTAAATATGATTTGTTATTGTTAGTGTCGGTGAATTTGCAAGGTCTGCACAACGAAAACACGCGTGTCGGTGTGTATTCTCGCGTCTACGAACACAGGTAATAAGAGATATAAACCTGATATAAATGAACAACAAGCAACAACTTGTACAAATAATCAGAATATTCTATTTCTAAGCGCACTGTCTAATATAATATTATATTTTAACTTAAACAGTGCAAACAGTACTGTTTATAATGTTTTGCGAAATTGTCTTTTGATTGTTTATAATAATTTGTGAATTAATCACAATTCCAAATTACTTATTTAGAAACACCATTTAATATTGAATATTTGACAAAATGATATTTATAGTTTGCAAATAGTAAAATAATGAATCAGTTAAATAAGAGAATAATAAGAAAAGTTTTTGGATGAATAGTTTGTTTGTTCATCCAACGCAAGGCCGCGTGCCGCATTTAACTTATCTATATGTAACTCTATGAAGTGACTGTAGATGTCGCTACCATGTACTTATTAGCATTAAATATTTCTTTGCATCGGTGAGTGTGCTGTGCATACTGGAACCGCTACGTGCGTTGCAAACGGAAGATAAAGAAGATATACACATGACAAAAAAAACAATAACAAACCAATATACAAACATTCTCAATATTTTAGTGGCAAGCGTACTTTTCAATATACCTAGGCTATTGTATAAATAAATGAGGTTTAAACTAAGTACATATAACAATATAATCATTTAATTGATTATAATAACTGCTGTAGTATTCACTCCAACAAAATAATTACTTAATTAGTTGCAGCATTTTATTAAAAATGTATATTTGCATTAAATTAAAATTTATAGTTTGTTAGTATCTATTTAAATAGTTAACGTAACAATATAATAAAACATAAGACTGAGGGAACGCATAGCATTGCGTAATTTATACATAACTCTAGAAAGTGGCGCTAGATGTCTCTTGGATGCAGTTATTTGCATTAAATATGATTTGTTATTGTTACTATTGTTGCATTTACAAGGTCTGCACAACGAAAACACGCGTGCCGGCGTGTATTCAGGTAACAAGAGATAAAGAAGGTAAAAACCCAAAACAAGTGTAAACAACATGTAAAGACTTGTATAAATATTTAGAATATTCTGTTCCTAAGCGCATTGTTTATTATAATATACAATTATAAATAAAACACTAAAAACAATTTATAATGTTTTACGAAATTGTCTATTAATTGTTTATAATTATTTGTGAATTAATCACAATTAGAAAATTACTTATTTAGATGCACCATTTAAAGAGTCTTTATTAGAAGGAATGATATTTATAGTTTGTAAGTAGTTAAAAAACAAACAAGAGAATAACTAAAGTCTTTGGGTGCATTATGTATTTGTTCAGCATGCGCAGCAAGGCCGCGTGCCGCATTGCTTATCTATATGTACATAACTCTATAATGTGACTGTAGATGTCGCTACGATGCACTTATTTGCACTAAATTCAGGCGGAACTCTCGCAGCAAGTTTTGTGTGTTATCAGATGTTGTTTGTTGGAGTGTGTGCATGCCGCGTGAGATCACGCGATTCCATGCGATGCAAATATCTTGTGTCGCGTTCACACAACTTGCACCTCATGATAGAGACGTAAACAAACAAATAAAATACAAATTTATTATTTATTCATCATTTTACTTTGCAGCAAACTTCTTATTTGCAACTATAGTAAAGTAATTTGTAAAATAATAAAAAAGATGAATAATTAATGGGAAATATAACTGGCACATTAATAAATGGAGATGCATCGTTATTTATTTTAATTTTATTTTTTCATCATCTTCATTGAAGCTAATTATCAAACAATCAAATTTCAATCGTCATAGAATCAGTTAGAAAACCTACTTATGTGTACATTTTTTACGTTTTTTTTTGTTTGTTTTGTTTGTGTGTTTGTATTTTTGAATGTTAGAGTTTCTAATGTACAAATCCACTTGTATTTCTGCTCACGTTTCTCAAGTTTTAAACAAAATCTTCACCGTAAACCACTCTCTAAATACACAAATAATAATACAATTCTTCATACATTGAGATAATTCATACATAAATTACATAAATAGACCACAAATAAGGTTAGGGTACAGCAAGACAAATAAATTTACATTAATTTAAAAATCATAAACAAATAATTTCATAAAATGACAATTTTTGCCTAATATAAATTGTTTATTCATTTTCTCTCACCATAAGCTGTTCGAGTTTAAGTTTTCTTGTTCTCTGCGATTTGCTTTTGTCGTTTTTAGTTTAAATTTTTATCTTTTTTCAAAAATTCAACTTGAAATGAGAACGAATTCGTGAATGAATGTTTTTGGTATCATTATTTGTAATTGAAATTCATTAATATTAATATTTATATATAATAATAACGAGGATATTTTTTGTTTATAATTAATTAATAGTCATATTGTTATTTTAATATTTACAATGTACTTACGCGTTAAACTCTTTATCAGCTAGATATAAGTATTTAGAGGTTCACGAATCGTCAGAAACAAATCAAATCAAATCAAAATCATCAAAAACATCATAATCATTATCTAGACGCGGTGGAAATCTCGCCAAGTGTTTTGAGCTAACAATTTTCCACAAATAACAAACAAAATTGTAATGCAAACAAGTGCATTTAGTTTCTTAGGTGCATATTTGGTTGCCTACTGCAAATCATATCCTTTGATTTCCACTGTCATCAATTTATTACAATAAATGTAAAGATTATTCACCACGATATGGAATCAATTGTTTTATTATATTCTTGTTGTTTTTTTCATAAACAATTTCGCACGAAAACATCATAACCTCCAAATCTTTACATGTTAACCATTTTTTAATATCGTTTGCGCAGAATTTTGAGGTTATAAACGTGCAACTTTCGAAATCAACTACAATTATCAAAAAGATACGAGCGATGATGAGTTTCGTAGTTTTGTTGCTGAAACACGCGTTTTGCCTTCTTCTTCTTCTTTAAATTTGTTAATAACCTAATTTAATAATTTAATTAATTACCTATATGTATATGTATGTATAGTGTATGTATAAGTTTACTTATAACGTATATTCTTTATTCATTTTCTTTGCATTTATATGTTTTTCGCATCGTCATTATATAAAGTCAAGAATTCGTCGTGTGTAGCATGGAATATTTAGAGTTTCAAGGTATTTAAGTGCTCATCAAATGAAAACATTTAAATTTAAATCAACTGAAATAAATTTAAATGTTTTTCATTGATTTTTTTTTGTTTTTTGCGCAGCAGGATGAATCTTAGTGTGGAGATGTGAGATGTTTTGCTATCAACTTTGAATATTTATACATTACTTCAATATGTAAAGCTATATTTGTTTCATCTTCACTAAAAGTTATTTGATTAATTAAGAGTATCGAATAGAGAGCGCGCCGAGCGGCGACCATGACACCGACACGCGCCATTTTGAAACTCACACTGTCCCAACGAATTTAATTTCGAGTAGTATATCATAGATTTCGTTTTGCACGCCTACGTCTACAAGCATCCTTATCGATAATGATATAATTTTAATGGGTGAATACGTGTATCGTTTAATAATTTGTTTTGCATTGTTTTTTTGTTCTCTTTGGTTTCCTATCGGAAATTTCCCGCTCGCTTCTTGAGATGGTAATACTCGTGAGTGGAAATTTCACAATGTTTAAAAATCGTCGTAATGAACACAATGTTGCGTATAGTATTGTCATGGTTTTTGTCTCACTCCCGACGACTTTGCTACGACTAGATTTTCGTTTGTGTTTTTTTTTTTAATTTAATTTATAATTTGGTGATGATTGCCGATGGCCGCCGCTCGGTGTGTGTGGTTGGATGCAATTTGCAAATTTTGTTCACACTGTACAAGAGTTTCTGCTCGAAATGAATTGGGTATCAACTCTCCGACTAACGAACGAACGTGTCTCGAATGTCGTAACTCTGATTAGGTAAATATTTTGTATTATAGTTTATGTTTGTTAGCTATATTTATATATCAGGTGCGCGTTAGAAATGTGAATGTTAAAGATTTTCTTAGGTTTTCTTCCATCTTCCATCATATGTCATCATTGTGAGTGTGTGTGCTTAGTTTATTTATTGTAATTTAAGCTACAAAACAAGATTCGCTTGGTTTTGTTTTGTAGAATGCTTGTTTTGTTATGTTTTTCATGTTTGTTTTTTTGTAAGGTGTCAATGTGTGTTTGTGTGTTTGTCGTCCATTTTGACGTCTCACGACCCACGTCCACGGCAAGTTAAACGTTAAATTTGAGCTATAATAATATCACCTTACGATATCTCATTATACTTATGGCAGAAGTCTGAAGAAAAGGCGTCCAAAAATACGATAGATTCGATAGAGTAGCCTTAACCTTAGAATAAAAGATGACGTCGATGGCGGCTGATGAGGGGATTGCGGGAGTCATGCAGCGGCGGTGGCGGTGGCGGCGATGATGGCGGTGCGAGACGGCGAGCGCCCACACGAGCATCAGCAGCAGCAGGCGGGGCGGCGGTGCGCGGCGGCGGGTCATGAGCCGTCCATCCTCATGGGTCGTCGCCCGGATTCCAAACGGCCATGAGGACGCGGCCCTGGATCAGTCCATCTCGTTGGTGTCCAGGAAGTGGGAGCGCACCTCGAGGTGGGCGGCCAGGTCGAGCACGAGGTGCTGGAGGGATGGGTGCTCCAGCAGCTCGGCCTCGGGCAGCGGCGGCTGGCAGCGGGGACGGTACTGGCGGCCCTTGAAACCGCGGTGCAGGTGCAGCACCACATCACAGAACACGTAGCGCAGCAGCAGGAGGCGCAGGAAGTCGTCGCCGAAGAATTGCAAATACGATGGTTCTACCCATACAACAAAAAAAATCAATAAACATTCAAAAAACTTTAAAAACCAAAAACAAATAGATGCGGGAGCAGTGGTTCCATGTTTGAATCATTTTTATGTATATGATCTGAATGTGTATGTGTGTGAGTGTGACAACATCAAGAGCAAGAAAGTGTACATGTAGAGAAAAGTTGAGAGATCAGATAGAAGAGGAACCACCACATCGCCGCACCTACCTTCATCGTACTCACCGACGCGCGAACGCGTGAAGAGGCGCGACGCCTCCGTGACGAAGCGATCGACAAAGCTCTGACACCGCTCCCAGTGGTGAATCGGAATGCTCGTCAGGTTGCAGCAGTAGCAGAAGGCAGTTAAGGGCGAGTGCAAAAACAACGTGAACAACGAACCATTGTGTTGTTGATCTAAAAATATCACATCAATGTCACAATATCATCAGTTAATCAAATCTTCTTTCAATCAACCATACAACAACACAAAAAACACAAAAACGCAAAAAATAAAAATAAAACGTTTTCTACCTTGGAAAGCGGGCGGCGTGTCCTGTGGCGACATCAGCGTCACCAGCGGCTGGCCAAAGTACCGCGGGATGTGTTGGAAAACGAAACTATTATCAGAGTCAACAATAACAAAGAGCGGCCGACGTGTGAACGGATACAGGTCGCCCGGGTACAGACAGTGCGTCTCCTTTGACTTCTTGTGCTCGTTGTCGCGCTTCGCGCTTGTCAGCACACCTCCCAGATCATAACCCACTACAAAAATAGAGATTAAATTAGGTTATGTTCAAATTTAACCTTAAAAACACTAAAAAACAAACAACATACTGTCTTCGGGATGTTTCGTAGTCGAGAAGCAGCCGTCAGCAGACAGGTAGAGCAGTAGGGCACCGTTGGTGGGCAATTCCTTGAAACCACTAGCGAGGAACACCAACACCTGACTCAGCGTTGGTTTATACAACAAATATTTATGCGGGTTCTCCCTACGTGGTCTTTCACCATTTTCTATATATCTATAACAAAAACAACCAAAAATAGAAAAATTTTGAGGTTAGAAAAACGAAACATACCCTTTACTACCAGGTACACCATATGGTGCCCTCCCGGGTGCAGGACTTGCATCATAAATGTGATTATAATCCTCTTGAGGTTCCCTCTCCAAGGTCTGTATCATTCTGAACATATCCATCGTCAACTCGGAGAACTTAACCTGCTCCGATGAGCTACCCACAATAAGAATCTCCTGAAGTGTGAGCGTCATATACTGTGATTTCTCTACGGGTGGTGTTGTCAATGGACTTAACCTAAAACCAAACCAATGATGTGTTTATTATCTGCTCACAAATTTGGTTATGTTCGTTTTAGTTACCTATGCGAGAGCACGATCGGATTGGTATCGGCGTGCAACACCGACACTAACGAGTCGGCCGTGATGAAGCCTTTGATCTCTTCGAGGACCAAACTCCACTCGATCTGGTCGTCCGGCTCGTAGGTGCTCGTATAGTCGGAGATATGTCTGTCTAATTCTATTATTAACTCTCTAACTAACTTCATGCGGCGCAGCAGCAGGCAGACGACGATGAAGCGCGCATAGTAGCGCAGCTTTTTCACCATCAGCTCGGACCTAGGACGCCGGCATACCGAAAAAGGGTGGTAATTAGTACGCTGGTACGGAAGGATGCACAAATTTCGTCGCAGATTATTCCAGAGATACGATTTTCTAAAGAGAAAATTTCATCTCGGGAATAATGTGTGATTTATTGCAGGTACCTGTCCTCCTTTGCAGCGCGCGAATAATAAGCTCGGCCTCGGATTGCAGCGTAGAACGAGTACGCTTCATTTAAGTAATTTGTTTCACTCGTTCGTAAACTACAATGGAAAATATTGAATTGTAGAGGTTTTGATTGAATTGGTTGAATGTTAAACTTACTAGTAGTGATAGTAGAGCTGTCCGATCTTGGAGGCGATCTCACCGATCTGCCAACGTTTGAGTCCGTACTTGGTGTCCAATATTTGTCGGTGCTGCTGTTGAAACTTCCAGAGTTTCGTGTAAATATCGAAAGTTCGGCCGAAGTACGCCTGCCACTGCTTGTGGCCATACTGGGGCAGATCCCTGACAAACACACGCAGAAAATTCAATATTTTTTCTTTCAAAACTCAAAAAACGCTTGAATTAATACAAAACTAAGGAATTAAAGAAAAGTGAAGTTTTGATTGATTGTAAGCGCACGTGCTTGTTAATTGTATAAACGTGTTGCTGTCGAAACTGCTTGGGTCTTTGACTTGCGTGCCAGCACGTGAAATATTCGTGTCGGCCGTGAATAAATAAAACCCACGAGTATTTTACTACCGTAGATACGAGAACATCAAACAAAATCAAAATAATAACAAACTTTTTATTTTTTATTTGATTTTCAACGTAAATTTTAATTTTTTGATGATTTTCATACCGAAGTCCATTGAAGAGCTGCTTGGACTTCTCCAGCAAGTGGCAGAACTCCATGATCACCTTCCGTTCGTGCTCCTCCATGTTCGCCATGCCTACCATGGTGGTCCGCTGCGCGCTGATGCCGCGATGGCGGTGGCGCGCGCCGCCGTGGGGGTGGTGGTCGTGGTGGTGGTGCACGTTGGCGGCTGCTGCCGAAGGTGTCGGCTTTGCGGCTTACGTGCTGGCGGCGGTGGCGGCGGCGGCGGCGGCGGCCATCGCGACGACGCGCACAACACGAACGAAGGGCGAGCGGCTACACATTATCATCATCATCATCAGCACAGTCTCACACCGCGAGGCCACCTCCGCCCGGTGGCGATCGGAGAACGCGCGCGGAGCGCACCACGACACCGAGAACTTCGCTGGCGGGTTTACGCGCGACGACGGCGGCGGAAAATCGAAGCGGCGAGAACGAGTCCGGACATCATGGCCGAAGTGAGCGCCGCGGCGCTTCTGACGTCATTTATTACGGCACATGGCTTACGAGTTCGATTCGTGGCGAGTCGCGCGCGCCCGAATACAAATACATCCACCCACGTATTCACCCACACACTGGCTGATACCGAACGCAATTACACCTTGTGCGGTTTCCGCGTTTCCGCAAAACTTATTTGACCAAGTTGATCGGCTTTGATTTTTCCGTGTTAGGGAAATGCACCGATTTGCAATGTGGATTTATTTCGACGTTTGCAGTTGTTTTACTGATGTGGGCGCGTTTTGGCCGCGTGAAAGTTGGCGTGACTAAACTACGAGTTGTTCGCGGCGCTCGGGAAAGTTTCGGTTTGTTGGGGTGTGAATTGGTGTGGGTGGACGTGGACGGCGTGTAGCGTGTGGCGGGGGCGCATGATTCAGACCGTACGGCCGCGACTCATGCTCGCGGGAGTCGCGCACGCAAAAAGGGAAAATCAATAGTCCGCCAGTTTTACGCAGGATTTACGCTGGTGCCATCTGTATGCCACCCTCGCTTATTCTACCCACGCAATCCTGCATGAATCAATTTTAACTAGGGGAGAAATCCTTGCTAAACTCTTGAAAATAAAGAAATCAATACATTTTTTCGCCACTATTTAACACCAGATGGCGCTGCGATGAAATAAATTAAAGTTTTATATATTTTTTAATAAAAATAATTATTTAGCGTAGAAAATGATTTATTTAATTAAAAAATATATTTTTAATGTTTTTCTTTAACTTTTTAGTAGTTTTTAAAGATTATCTTAATTTAAACAATAATTTAAAGCTAAGTGAAAAAGTAATTATCATTATTTTGTTTGTTTTTTTTTCACTCTGCGCTTGGAAATCCCAAAAAATAGAGTTTTTAAAAGTGTGTTTTAAAAGTGCCCGCAGAGTGCTATCTCATTAATTAGCGGCAAAGAGGCGAGCGTTAAATGCACGCGGGGGCGGCGAGAAAAAGGCCACGGAAATGGGTCGACGATGCGATAATGGCCGGCGCTTAATTAAAAGGGAGCGCGCTTTTTCACGCGCGGCGAAATTTCTACATTAGTTATATACAAAGTGTACAAATAAAAAATTCTCCACATTTTACAAAACCTAATAAAACTAAAAATCACTTTTGTTATGTAAATTTGACGTAAATATTTTTATGAAATGTAATTTGAGGGGGTGAATCAAAGAAATTATCCCACAATGAAAAGATCACAATGGAATCGAGTGAAATAAAGCCTTGTGATGATAACAAAAGAAAAAAGGAACGGCGTAAATGCAAAGGGCGCACGCCGAGAAAAAATTCTTAATGATACAAGGGCGGGTCGTCGGCAATACGACAAAATAAAGCGCAAAGAATGGCGGGAATAATAAAGGGATGGAAATGCAAAACGTTGCGCAAAAAAAACACACAAGCGCGCACCCGCCCGCTCGAGGCGAAGAACGCCAAAAGAACAACGGCACAACGGGAATAAAAATGAAGGAAAAAATCATCGCTAAGAAGAATATGAAAATAGGGTGGAAGGGAACAAAAAAATGGCTAAAGAAAGGAGGAGATGCAATAAGTGAAGCAATAAGTCATGTCTCGTTTGCGTTGTTTGCATAATTTCAGGATTTTATCGTGTTCTGGAAGACAAAACAATCATTACATAAAAAATCATTGTTTTCTTTTGTCAGAAATTTATAAAGCAACAGAGAATAATTAAAAAATTCATTATCACACTTAAAAACACATTTTTAATGGTTTTTTTGAGGTTATAATGATTTAAAATTGAATTTCCTGCGTTTGACAACCCTCTATACACCTGGAAATGACGTCAATGTGTTGTTTTTTGCTAACCTCAATGTGTTTAGTAAATTTTATTAATATTTTGCGAATTCTCACACTTAAAACACGTTTTTTAATGTTTTTTGAGGTTAAAAAGGTTTAAAATTGAATTTCTCGCGTTTGACACCTCCCACCACACCTGGAAGTGACGTCAGTGTTGAGTCTTTTGCTAACCTCAATGTTTTTAGTAAATTTTAATAATATTTTGCAAATACTCACACTTAAAACACGTTTTTAATGGCTTTTTGAGGTTAAAATGGTTTACATTTGTATTTCCCGCGTTTGACAACTCTCTATACACCTGAAAGTGACGTCAGTGTTGAGTTTTTCGCCGATCTTAAAGATTTTTAGTGGATTTTATTAACATTATGCCAATTTTCACACTTAAAAACACATTTTAAAATCTTTTTTGAGGTTAAAATGGTTTACAATTGAATTTCCCTTGTTTGGCACCCATCCCCACGCCTGGAAGTGACGTCAGTCTTGTCTAATCAGTAACCTATAAAATTTTACGCATTTAAAACAAAAATAAACGCTATTAAGCAAATTTTAATTATACTATACATTTTCTCACGTTTATTCGATAATATTCATTAATATCTCCCAGCTGATAAAAATAATTACCCCATATCATGATGTCGGTCACTCTTTACTGTCATAAATAAATTGCATTGTCAGCCATTCACAGTCACACTCGCATGAAGATGAATTTGCGTGCGCCGATTGCATTTCAATGCTTCAATGCTACAAATGATACTCTACACAAATACAACTCACGCCCGTGCGCATGATGTGTGCGATGATAAAAAGATATCACCAAACATACATTATCCAAACGCGGCGCGCATGAATCACGCGTTGTAATGCACACATAGTAATGTGATGTAGATGTGATCCAGATAAAACACATTTGGGATTCACACGTATTCAAAATTTCACTTTTCAAGCAAAAATCAAAAAAATTTTTTGAATTTTTCAAGTTAATTTAGTTTATTTGTTAGTGGAGTGTGCAGAAGGACTTTATCTAAATCAGATCTAGAGGCGTGCAAGGCGCGCCACCCCCGCAATGATCATTTACTCCTTTGCAGTCTATATCTATATCCATATCACAGTTTCACGACATGCATGCTCCACATATACTATGGATATATCTACTGATTGTACATGTAGATACTGGTAACCAAGCAACAATTTACATTTTGGCATCTCGTATTTTGTCTTTGTATCAGCATACACAAATTGTGCTGGTTGGTGGTTGCGTTGCGTAGTGTTGGTGTCATTGGTGTTGGTCCTGTGGTGATGCACGAGCTTCGGGGAGATAGTGATAGCGTATCCACTGCTGGGTTTTGAGGGTGCTCTCTGTGTGTGTGTGGGGCTGCAGCCGTGCGTAGAGCGTCAGTCAATTGTCACCGCGCCGGATGTTGCATTGTGCACTCTGCGCCGGAAACGAGCGCCATGCAGCCAGAATTCAAATGTTTTCGTCCTTCCCCCACGTTTAATGCGATGCCACCAGTAGGGGGCGTCCTTCGCTGGGATCCACGATGTTCTTTTCTCGATTTGCCTATTTGCAACTCGCTACAAATCAAATCAAAACTAAAATATATTTATTTTGAGGTTAGAAAAATACGAGTAACAAAATGAACACATGTTTTGCATACAAAGCGGAATAAATTAACGCGTATACATATCATGTGTGTTTTACACGCATATGCATTCGAAAATGAATTAGGAACACAAAAAAAGCGCTAAAGCACCTTTGCAGGCAGCTTTTCAACACCTGGCCGCCACCCTCTCACCTCGGCACACGCACGCAACGACATTGCGTTCATTTAAAAAGTATAATGAGGAAAAGGTGAAAACCGAAACACACAAAGCGTGTCCGTCGACACGACCGCTAATTGTTTTCTTTTTTTCTCTCAAAAATAAACAAAAAACACTCAGCTCGTTAAAATATCAACAGATTTCCAGTGGTGATTACCTAAGATTTATTACTACTTTAAATAAAACACAACAGAAAAAGGTGATAAATCTAAACATACTGTATATGTGGGTATTTAAGTGGTGATGTTTTTTATTTGTTTGTTTTGGGCTGATTATGCGAAAAGGAAATATTAAAACACGACACATTCGCGTACAATTTGTAAATCAAGCAAATGAAACAAATGCAGGGGCACAAAGCGACGAACGCGAACGGATGGAGTGCGATTAGCCGACTTGGCGACACTTGATAAACATTCAAATTGCATCCGTTTTCTAGTGCAGCGCGTAAAACGTGTTTAACTTTTAGTTGATTTTTTTGTGTGTGAAGAAATGTGGCGCGTATGTAATAATAAAATACAAGGATTCAAGAAAAACGAAATGAATTTGCTTTGAAATTCAAATTTTTATATTGTTTTAACGTAAATTTTAATTTTATCTTCTTTTTACTGAATAATAATTTAGTTTTTTATTAATAACTTTTAAATAAATTAATATAAATTAATAATTCTTTTAGCATACAATGTGGAATTAAATTTTTGATCTATTAATGTGAAAATTTATTAAAAATTATTATTTTATCAAAAGTTATTGTCAAATTTCTGAAATTTTTTGATTTTTATATTAAAGTGAACTTTAAATGTGAATAACAATTTAAACAATAATCATAACATTATAATATTCATGGATTAAATGTACAATTTAATTCTAAATCTAATTCTGAAAGAATTTTTAATTTATCTCAAATAGTTTTTGAGTAAATAATTAAAAACCTTGAACATTTTTATTTTTTAGGTTATAACTTTATGATTTAACTTTTTCTTGCTCCATAGACGATGTTTTCATAAAATATTAGTTCGTAAAACGAAAAAAGCATTGGTTACCTAAAAGTCGTGTTATTGGAAGAAAATCTAGAAAGATGGAAAACTGGAAAGTTAGAAAGTTGAAAGCTCCTAGCTCCCAGGCAGCGCATATTGCGAACGGGGAGAAAGAAAAGTTGTGCGAAGACGCCATTAGTCATGTCCTAACAACCGTCTTTAACTATTATAAATCTATCTGTTAACGGAAGCGGCGCATATATCTTGCCTTTAATGAACGTTTATTAATCATTTTTCTTTTCGGGGCGAAGCATACCTCATTCACATTTTTGGAAAATCAAATTCCATCAAAATATTACCCAACCACTCTTACACATATTCTACATTAAACCAGTATTTAGTATAATATTTTCCCAATGAATAAATACGCAATTAAATAATATTCAAACAGAAATGAATTCGCAACGCCCCTTGAAAACAAAATTCTCCCATGACAAACACAGTGATTGTGTATGCAGTGTGTAGTTACTAGTCATACTCGCTCAATTAACGGCTTAGTGTAAGTATAAATGTAGTTGTTAAGGGATGCATCCCCTAGGATTTATACTCGCGTTCGCACAATTGCAACACCCTCGGGGAATAAATATGCAAGAGTGCTGTAGAGCGAGACCAGTGAAAAGCACCCCTTCGGTGGTTTTTGGTAATCGTGTTAGGCGCGTTAGTCGCGCACTGGTTTAGTGTCGATTTGGGCTGGTATTATGGCGGATTAGTTAAAGTGTGATAATAGAGTCATCATAACAACACACACCACCCATGGGAGTTGTCTTTGGCAACAAATTGAACAAGGTTTGATGTTTTGAGGGTGGATTAGTTATGTATTAAATTAAGGGATGTTTATTTTTGGTGATTTTATGAAGTTCCGAATCTAATTTTTACGCGAAAAGACATTTTTTTCATTTTCATCTTTAAAAAGTCGGTTTTGAGACACAAAAAGTGTTTTTTTAAACACGGATGGTCATGGTCGTGACTAAAGTACTTTAGCCACGGGTGGAGCTTTCGCCTGAGCATTTGCCTTCAAATACAAAAACTAAACATGAAAATAAAGTAAAAGTAAGAAAAATATCGTAAACATTTTATCGTTAAACGTGGTTAAAGTGCCACTTAGTGCACTTGATACTTAATATACTATATAACTTATAATTTTCAAAAATCCGCAATTTTTATTTTGTTGTATTTTGTACCAAAGATGAAACTACGATTAAGCAACGATTAAACTATTTTTCCAAACGATTAACCGCAATGAAAACGCTGCAGTACGCCTTGAACCTTGCAAACCCACCACTTCCACATCCCTCGTCGGCTATTTGATACGCTCACTCCTACACTCTTTACTTCTTCGCATGGATGGGCAAAGGGAGTGTACAATGTACAATGAGTACATTTTATGCTCTTTTCATTCTTTCTGGGCAAGCATCTCGACTTCCCATCGCGTCCTTTTGCGCGCTTTTTGTATCATTTCTAGCGTATTCTAATCGTTAATGATCCTTGCGAGCTTTGCAGCTTTTGCTTCAACAGAAAAAAAAATTAGTTATGTACTACCACAGCCAGAAATATATCTGTATACCAACACAGCATTCAGAAGTTTTGTGTTTTGTATATTTGTCATGTTATTTGAGTGTTTAAAGTAGAATATTGGAAAACTAGTGCAAAAAATGAGTTTTTTGTCATTGATTTTGATGAAAATACCGAAAAACAAGCTTAATAACCTCAAATTTATTAGAGGTTAGGTGTTTATTATGCTACTTAACCTAAAAATGCGTTTTAAAACAATTTTTAACAAATTTCGCAAATTTAACCTCAAATATCGTTTACCGTGTATAAAATACAGTATTCTATTACTTTAAAACAACCCCTTAATCTTAATTTCTCTAAAAATATCCAATTTGTAATTTTTACACATTAATCCCCATCAGAAAGATTAATTTACCTTTTCAACTTGTAAATTACCAACTCAACACGTTGTACAACGCTGAGATTCGCATAAAATCACAATCGAACAATAATCTACGGTCATTTATAATAACGGCGAACGATGACTGCATCGCCCATCGACTCCCATCGCCGCCATGCTTGGTTGTTTAGTATTTATGTTCGCGCTGATATTTAGCGTTTAATACATTCGCGGCGGAACGACCCCGAGCGCCGGCGAGTGCGCCCCGTGCCGAACTACTAAATATGTGCATACGTAATACCAATACCCATAAAGATTTATCCGCCTGATATTATATGAATTATTAATACTTATACCAGGGTGCTGCACTGCACATGCATAAAATAATACAATAAATATCAACAAATATCAAATTATTTTCTTCTACAATGATTAATTAGATTATAGTCTCAGGTTGAAACAAAATTGATTTGTAATCAAACACGAATTTTGTCTCGTTTTCTTGTTTTCGCGTTTTTTCTAGTTTTTTGTGTCATCAGTCAACGTCGGTAAGCGCGAAACGTGCAATCTTGTAGTTTGCCCCCTAACACCAACCATTACCACTTTTTCTAAACATCCACATCAACATCAGCGCGCCAATCGTTACATAACCAAACTTCTACGCCGCTGCCCACACGCGCACGCTCACATAAAGTGGTAATTTTGACATTATATGCATGACACGAGCACGCCGCGAAACGATTGGAACGTCCGTTGTAATGACCAGGCAGAACAAATTTCTACTGCAATGAATTTTCATGTTTTATAAATAGACCTCAACAAAAAAAAATGCACAAAATGCACGTGGCGGGTAATTTAAAGAATGTTGTTTTATTATTTCAGTCTCCCAAAGAATGACTATGATTGATTTCTTTATTATTATGAATATTTTCATGTCAAAAGTCAGAAAATCAACCGAAACACATTTCAACAAGATGGCGTAATGTCAAATGTCAGAATATCTCTTATCGCGCCTGGAATTCGATGCTTTTCGGAAGTTATACGTGACATATGCGAAACTTTATCGCTAATGTCCTTTTTCACTCGATTTACACAACGCATCATCACATTTTCAATTCGTAAACATACTGTATATAAATATGTGCTTCTCGTATGTGATCTCCTTGGGTTGTCATTAAGAGCAGATTGGGGTCGCACATTATCGTCAGACAGGAAGGCGTGATGATCCCAACTGCCAACCCCCATGGTCCCCCGGGGGTGGTGGTGGTTAACGACACCGCGTTTGCTTTGATCAATCCGCCATCGCCGCCAATTATCTCTTCTAAGCGTCCGCATTACGCCGCGAAAAGCAATCTTCATCGATTCGGAAGAGGTTGGCGGGGTGTTGTGGCGGTCTTATCCTTTTAATGTGACTTGTTATGAGTTCCACAAGACCGGCAAGTTTCGACGAAAGTTTTACTCGCTCCGATAATGGCGGCGCAGACATCTTGCAACTTGGAGCATCTTAATTGGTTCCAGCTTCCGCGATTTCCTCGATCCAGCGGGAATTAACCATTAAGATATCCTCTTTGATAATTTCCTCTTGCAAATTGTCTTGTACAGGATAGTTTTTAGCATTTTTTTTGGTTAAAAATTTATTTTTGGGGGTTGCGTGTTAAAGTTGACTTCCAACTGCGTGTAATTTTGCGTATGCGAATATATCAGCAGGAGGGTTGAAAGGTCGAAGGGTTAGATGCAAGTCCGGCACGCGATCTAGGTAAGTAGTGCCGTACCATAACTTTCAGCTCATTTTATTTTAAATTTCGTAAATATCATTGATTATTTTTCAGGTTATTGAAGTATGATTGTAATGTGGGTTGCATACGTTTGTGTATTCAACAGGTAAAAGCGTGATTGAGCTTTCGTGAGATAAAGCATCTAAAATATTTTCGTTGTTTGCCATTACCGTTACCGGCGGCGGCAACAACGGGGCGGCAGTTGTTTTTGTCACATTCCTGTTTAATGTATTTCTATGCCTAACGAGTAAAAATTAATTTTTTTTATACGATTTTAATAAAATTGATTTTAATGAATTTTTTAATAAAATTTTTGTGAGTTTGAAGTTTTATCACTTTTGGTTTGGAATAATTCTCCCTGCCAGTGCGCTGTTTCGGGGATGTTGAGCCACGCGCACGGGGATGTCCGCCGGTGGCATGGTGGGGGTGGCGGCGTGGCCACGCCCACGAAGGAACCGCCACTTGCGATATTGCTTCCTGCCCCATTCCTGCCGGCGCTCCGGGTTCCGCAGGACCTGTACACTTCCTGTCTTCCTGCTATCATCGGCCGATTCTTTGCTTCGGACGGACGTCAACAACTAACCGGCCATCCAAGCCCACAACAACACAGCACTCGATCGCCGGCCGAAAAGTTGCACCTTTCAACGCCGCGCAACAATCGCAAACTTTGAACTTTTCAATTCTTCACGCTTCACTCGTCGATATCGTCCACACGCGTTGGTACTTTGTAAGGTGTAAGCGATTGTAAACTTGGTTGCTGGCGTGTGACAAAGGTGACAGGTACAAGTACAACGCAGGACTTTGTTGTTTTTGTCGCGCCTAAAGTGTGGTGTGCGTGTCGTGTACTCGTGGTTGCTAATTAGCTCACTAAACGCCTTCATTAGTGAGGTGTTTGTTGTTCGTTCAGTGTGCGTGCGGTTTTTCTTCGGCCAGCTTTTCATGTGACGATCAATTATTAACATTCCGTTGCTAATTGCTTCCTAGGTAAGTCATACACAATACAAATTACAATAATCACTGTTACATTAATTAAAAAGGGATTTTTTCATCAAAAATTAGTAAAAATTACATGAAATTTCTGGAGTTTTCAACTTTAAATGTCAATATCTTTGTTAATAATAATTATATCAACAAAATCTTTTCACAAAAAGGTGTAGAATTTAATTAAAAATATATGTTTTGAAATTCGTTTGAAAATCAGAATTTGTTTTTATGATATTAATTAATTAACCAATATTTTGCACGTAAGATGTTATTTCAATAAATTTTTTGGATTTTCAACTTTAAATGTTAATATCTTTGTTTATAATAAAGATATCAACAAAATCATTTTACACACAGGTGCAGAATTTAAGAAGGAATATATCTATTAAAATTCGTTTGTTTATCGTTGATAGTTTTTAAGATATTAACAAATTAATGATTATTTTCCGCTAAGAAATTATTTCAATAAATTTTTAGAATTTTCCACTTTAAACGTGAATATCTTTGTTAATAATAATCATATCAACAAAATCTTTTCACACAAAGCTGTAAAATCAAACAAAGAATATTCCTTTCAAAATTTGTTGATTTATCAGGTGTAGTTTTTAAGATATTGATCAATTAACAAATATGTTCTGATAAGAAGTTTTTGGCGATAGCACCAAGTGCGTAATGCATTATTCGTGACCGACATCAATCTAAAAATAAAATTTCTAAAACAGTGCATAATGAGATGAGGGAGCTCTTCCTGTGTCATAATTGAAACGGAAGCGGCCAATTCGAGCGACAGACGCGAACGCGTGGTCCGCTGCGCCTACCGTCGCTTGTCTTTGATAACGTGCGACGCGCGGCCAAGCCTGATAACAGTTCCGTGTGCCCGTCGCATCGTACAAGCAAAACACACCTGCGAACCACATTCCACAAACAAACAAATCAAAATATATAAAACCCACAAATGTAACAAAACTTTCAATTCAGTCACAAGTCAACACTCGTCACAATGAGGTGCATATTTAATAATCAAATCATTTTTGTTGAAAAATCTTTAAATTAACCTGTGATTTATGTGTTTGTTTATAGAAAAAAGTGTCCACTGCGTAGGAAGATGTACGAAAGTTCGTGTTCGTACCAAGGTGCATTGGAGTTGAAACGCGGCAGCGGCGGCGGCGGTGCGACGGCGGCGACATGTCCGCTCGGCATCAAGAGCGAGGAGTTCGCCACATCCGATTGGCCCGCGTATCGATTCTGCAATCCGAGTACCTTTGAACAACTCAAGCAAAGTGTAGAAAAAGCTAAAGCAGCTCTACAGGTAACAAAAACAAAAATTTAAACAAAAAAAAAAAAAATAAAAATAAATAAATTTAGGACCGAAGTGGATTTCTTGGTGCCGGTAGCGCATTCAGTGATCTCTATGGTGGAGTGGCATCCACAACAAGGGCACAGGATTCAATCCAGGATACTACCAATCGACTTAGGGATAGTGACACGCATGATTTGAAAAGATCTTCTCAAGGTACAAATTTTACTTTATTAGTATATTAGTATATTAGTAGTTTTGAGAGAAATGTTGGTGAGAGAGGAAATCGCGCAGCTTCGTGGCTTTGCGCACGGTGGTGGCGGCGGCTCGAGAGAAACACTGCCGTCGCGAGCCAATGAGGCCTCCCCCGATGCCGTCCCCATAGCAACGCGCCCTATCTCGCTCTGCGATCCGTCGCGCCTCCATCACATACATCTTAAAATTTTTACATCACACTAGATATTCCAAAAGTAAAAATTTCATTTTTAAACAAAAATCATAAAAATTTCGAGATTCTCACAGTGTGATTGTTGGGGTGGTTGTGCGTTGTCTCATGCTATTGTTATTTCGGTAACCATCGGGGCGTGGCGAGCGTTAGTGATGCGCGAGGTCGCGACCTCCTCTCTGGATGCATCCCTTGTGTGCAGCACTCGATGAGCCACAATAAACACCGCACACCGTATCGATATATAGCCACCCTTCAAACCACCAAAGCGTGTAGTCGCACACACCCTCTCGATATGCGATACGATGATACCCGCTATGATATCACGACGGCCGTATCAATCAATTACGACGCTCTCGACGCAATAATAGACCGTGACTAAATTTATAACTCCATGGTCGTCATGGGAGAATATCTCTACTCCAAAATATTCAACAATAGATATATTTACAAACAATCACAAAATTCACATTTAAAATCATTTTTATGCATTTTTTGATTTTTTTTTGAAAAAAAAAATTTTTTTTTACTTTTGGACACCCTAAAGCGTCCTGCTGGTTTTATGACACTTCTCCTCCTCACTAGGGCTGCTTTTTGCCGCCGTCGGTCTTCGCACATTATCACCATGATGTCATGACTCGGCATTCTTCGCGCCGAAAGCCCTCCTTTTATTTGCCACCCGCTCTATCTTCTAAGGACACTTGAATTAAAAAAAGCCAAAGGCAATTATTGTCCTCCAACATTTCGTCGACCATACACAATGGAATTCTTGATAAGCGATAGCAACCAGCAATTTTTGCATGTTTTACGCCCTGAAAGGAAACACGCAGGACCAAGATACAACCCGACGGATGTTACACGTTACATTTTTCTTCACCACGCTGACAAAATGTAATTTCTTATCAAATTTATGTCGCGAGTGAAAAAAATTATTAGTCACCATTTAGTTAATTGAATTATTACGCACGAAACTGAAGGGTTTTTTTGGATTTCGAGGTGAAATTTATGAATTTGACAATTTTGACAATTAATGCTGGCGATAACAAAGAATTGAAATTTTCGGACGCGTCGTCGGCGAGCCGCCAAACATGGCCGCCCGGAAACGCGGCATCAATCACCGGGCGCACGTCAATTAGACCTCCGGATGCACGTCACTATCAATTTGGCCGCGCGCGCCACGATCGCATAACCAATATTGATTTCCATCCCAAAACCAACACAGCAACACACAAAACATATATATTTAATCAAATATTTTGAGGTTAGGTTAATAACATATTACATCATTAACAATTCTAACCTCAAAAATTCTATTTTCTCATGATATAAATAATAATAGATAATATAACAATCAAAAATTAATTGTATTGTTTGTTTAATGACCACGGACGTTCGCTGGTCCTCGTGGGAATCGCTAGTTTGACATCGCGACCCTTTTGGCGCGCGCCCTAATTCGTTAAATGGCTTGAAACATATGCCCCCTGATCTAGCTACACACAACACACGATCAAGTCAATCGTCCGTACACATACAGCCGCACAAAAGCTAAAAATAAATGTACACAGTTCGAAATTTACCCTCCGGGGAGTATTTTTTGGCTGGTGGCCGAGGAGGGTCCGAATGATATATATTACAACTTGCGACTTACCTATTGCTGACGATCGCGTTTTGTTGCTTTAAATATAGGGGTGGATAGCGCGCTGTTCGCTTGTCAACATGCATTTGTTCCGAATTATCGTTACGTGTTCATCAAACTAATCACATTCATGTTTTGATTACCAGATTACATCATCAATTATGATTAAGTCCACATGCATAATAATAAAGTAGATTAACTATCATTGATTTTGATTTAAGATTTGATGTTGGATGTAATGGTAAAAATATTACAGAAAACTGTAATTTTTAAAGTTGAATTTTTGTGTTTTTGAAGATAATATATAATGCAATGTGTAGTAAAATGAGTTTTTCAACCCGGGTTGGTGTTTTCGCCGTCTGCAACCCCTTTTTATCGCTTTAGCAGCCCTCCGCCAAGCTGGCTTTGATTAATAGAGTACAAGTTGGCCATTTAGCAGTCGGTAACTAACCTCGGCCCGCAGCGCCACCCCGGGGGGAAGGATAATCTGATAAGGAGCGGCGTGACCGCCGCGTTCGCCACTTTGCACGCCGAAAATGTACGCTCATCGTGTGTGGAAATCCGAAATCAGCTGCGCCAACGCGATAATACCGCACAGCGTAATTTAATTTACTGTAGTAATTTAATTTTTACACCTGCGTGTAAACTAGAATAGAAATCATGCGAGGTTATGTTGCAGGTTTGGATAGAAATGAGAAATCCAGCAGTCACGGACATCTATCATCCCCCAAATCATACAACAGCATCACCGAGAGTATTTCGGGACGGACGAAATGCGGTGAGTAGTTTTCCATATATCTAATATTATAATCCGAGTCAATGCATAATCAATTTCTATTCGAATGCTTGCAAAACTATCCAAAATGGCTGCCAGTGTTGTTATTTATATCTTCATGTTTATACAATATTTATTAGGGTTGAAACGCATAAATTTCATAGGCATAGACATAGACAATAATTTATTGATGAAATAGCAGAAAACAACGCGCGATAGTTTTAAGGTTAGAATAGAATTACTAACCTTGTTGGTATAGTAGGAATCTTGATGATTCTTCTGAATTTGTTTTGTTATCATGTGGCACGCGATGCGCATACAATCTTCCAACGCTGTGGCATCCCCAAAGCATCTTTGCGCGCTCGTAGATTTTCCTAACTATGACTAATACCCTGTATTTCCGGGCTGGAATGGTGGAGCCACACGTCCCGGCCGTTTCCGGCCGCCCCCTTTCGCCGCGCGCACGCCGCCACGCACCCGGGGAAACAACCATTTTCGTAACAAATACACGCGCACGGCGGAGAATAATGTCGGGATGGAGCAGCAGTGAGCAGAACGTTATAGTCTGAACTGAACCAACCACCCTGCACCCTTCTATATTTCATTTAGTTATTATAGTTATTTCTTCTTTGAAACGCGAAGAAAATTACGACTTAACGATGCACAACGCATACGTAAACAAAAAATTATTGACAAAAATATTTTATTACCGCAGAAAAATATAAAAATATAAAATTTGAGCAACAAACAGTAATTTAATCCGCCCGTGCATAAACTCGTTTGATATGCAAATTTAATAAGCTAACTTTGCGCATACATCAAAGTTTATTGTCGTACACCATTAACCTACGCGTATTCCGCGTTTTAATTACGGTAATATATCAAAATTTTGTTGCAATTTGTGCAGACTCACCCGTTTTATCCGCTAAATACGTAAATATATTATAGTGTATGAAAACAATCAACAGATGCCACTAAAGTCGGTTTGTAGGCTCACTAGCTCACAAATTCAATATTTTCTTTGTGTGTGGTGGTAGCGAGGAGTGAAAATACAGGATTGTGTAATTCGAGAGCGCAACTCGCACCGCCCTGCTGTTCGGCGCCCTGCAATCCTGCTGCGCGCTGCTTTGGTTCGCACTCCAGCTGCGCGCGCGTGTGATTTATCCAACCCTCGAAACTTACTCCGTTGTTTCACAGAGGGCGATGAACCTTCACATTTACAGTCGTTACAGTTTTTACCCTCACACGCAACTAAAACTTTTGCACATAGAAAATATTTATTGGTTAATTTTAAATGTTTCATATCGCAAAACATAACATAACCGTATTTCAAAACAGTCTGAAAAGTTTTATTCGTTTTCGTTTTTTTTCTATTTGCGTTGTTGTAGATGTAATTTTTAACATGGAAATATGTTATTGTGTATTTGGTGGTGACAGGCAAACAAAGCGCACAATGTGAACGTGGTGAGCGTGTAAGCTGGAAAGTTTACGTACGGAAAGTTGAACTCCGCCGCCATCCACAAGAACTTATTTTGCGTGGCACGTAGCGCGTGAAAGCGGCGGTACTCAACCGAAGTGACTAATGAATAGGACGCCTGATTGAATCCGTCCTGTCGATGTCGTCGGCATTTGCTCAATTTCACAATGGCGCAAATTTCAGTAAAGTTCATCATCGGTTTGCTTCCATCAAACTTTATTTCCTGAAAATTTAGTTTTTTATAGCGAAAATAAGTATAAAATTAGATATTACGTAATACTAGGGTAATAGGCTTGTGAAAACGCCCCCTGTTGAGTTTTTTTGAACAAAACTTTTCTTCTTGTTCACAAATTCACATTTTACACGCGTCGTAGGCATGTAAGAATATAATGATAGTAATTTTAAAACTTTCCTTCAATGCACTTTCACAAAACATGTCAATATATTATTCACTTGCGTAGATTAATGGAATATTTTATTTTTTATTTTTGTGTGAAATGTTTTACACGTATTCAAAGTGTCTATTAACATTTTCCAAGCCATTATCCGCGAGTAATTTTACAACTAGTAGTTTCACTGCAAGTGGCTGTAAGAATAATGCATTTTTAATTGCCACACTTGAAATGCCTCGCATGCATAAACTCGCAATAAAAATTGCATTTTCCCGCACAACGTATGCAACACACACAACACATTTAAGCATCAATATGTTCCACGTCCACGCTGACGAATAAAAAGTGAACATCGAAACTATTATATAACTACTCCCCGCTGATGTGAACCCGCCGGCGTAATCATATCCCACGTGGCGATGATAATTAACGACTTGCTGTTGGGGTGTGCAAACCCATCGCATTATGCAATTATCATCTACTCGTATGATGTAAAAGTATAAAAGTCAAAAGTGAAACGTACATTAGAAGATAGTAGAGGGGTGAATATTTATGTGTGTGTGTGTGTTCATTGATACACCCTGTAAATCCCTCGTCGAACGCATCAACACGCTATTATCCCTTCGACGTTTTGATTGTGCACTTTATTAGGCGCGTATCGGGTGGTCTCGCTTCGGCACGTGCGCGCTGCACGGTGGGTTGCAGCGCGCGAGAGTGACGCTGCACAATCGCTGCACTAACGACACACGATTGATGCGCATTTTAATGTTAACGCCAAATCGTGCGTGAGGCGGAGAATCAACAGCGCACGTGAACGCCGAGAGTCAGCCACTTAGCTTTTATTACTGTTTGGATGCGTTCGCAAAATCAAATCAAAACATTTTTATTCCAACGCTATAAAAAACTTTTTATGTCATACAAGCAAAAATTTAATTTTAATCGTAAAAGTTAAGCAAACACAGAAAAAAAACTTTTAATGGCTTCCGCTTTTCTTGTTTTCGTAAGTTTAATATTCGTCGACTACAGTATCATTAGGCAGTTATTCTGTTTTCATAACGTTTTATTTCGGCTGAAATCGGCAATAATATCGTGTAATATAATAGTTGTAATAGTTTGTGATTCATCGAACGTGAGCATATAGTGAGTGCGCATGCGTGTTAGGTTTGTGTGTGTGGGGATGTGTGCATGTTGACAAAACATCTTCCACGTCATAAAGTCACAACTCGCCACTCATGCCGGCAAATAAAGGGATGTGAAAAAACGAAAGCACGCGCTCACCGGCACGAGAGACATTAACTTACGCAGTCGGAAGCAGGCGAGGGAAAGGTGGAAAAACTATGGCGATACAAATCGTCGGTGTAATTCTCCCACGCGCCTCGTAACTGTCGTAAAACAATCAGGAGATAATTGATATGGAGGTAAAACTTGATTTGTTACAAATATAAATTACTATAAGCAGAATTTTATGTCACGGTGCATAAAATACAAGTTTTTAGATGATAATTGAGTGTTTAAAGTTGTGTTTAGTAACACTAGTGCGCAAAAAGGTATTTTAAACATTTAAAATTCATAAAAATGTTTATTAATGAGTAAAATAGGGCCAACATTAACCCTTCAGAACTATCGTGTAGAGAGAATCTCTCACACCTCTCTTAAAACTTTTTTTTTTCTAATTTCAAATGGAATGATCCCTTGAAAATTTTTTTACATTCCTAAAATTTAATTTTTTACAAAATACTGAAAAAATAGTTTTTTTTAACTTAAAAAATTAAGGAAAAAAATTATTTATTTATCGTCTGTGAGAGTTTCTCATCGCGTAAGTAAAGTTAGGCACAAAAAAATCCGCTATTCGGATGGCTTCGTTTTATTTCGGATGGCTTCGTTTTATTTCGGCTGTCTCCGTAGTTTCCACCCGCCATTTGGAATATATATAAATATATAAATAGATAATATTCTAAAAATCTAAATAGAAAATTTCATATTTATTTTGTCCTCGTCAGAATTATATAATTTTTACTTTAATAACATTAATATTTAATTTATATTATTCAAAACCCAATTTTTTATTTTGTATTTTACTTGATGTGTAACCTACAACTATTTTAGTAGGTTTGAAATTTCGCGCTTGGCGCTTGCGCAATAGGCGTGAGATTTTCTCTCATCACGATATTAATGACTATGGTACGGGAGACGTATAGTCTGAAGGGTTAAGAAAAAGTTAATTTGGAACCAAAATAAATTAAAATAAGCAGAGTTTTATGTGATAGTGCGTAAAATGCTACATTTTAGATGCCTGAAGAGTGATTAAAGTTATTTTTTGTGGTACTAGTGTGTAAAAATGTATTTTTGTATTTAAAATACACGAAAATATTTTTTAAGGATGAAAAAAGATTAAATTTATGAAAAACGAAATTTGCAACAAAAAATAAATAAAAATAAACAAATTTTTATGTAATAATGCGTAAAATACTACTTTTTAGAGGTTATGAGAGTGTTTAAAGTGGTACTTTGTAACACAAGTGCGTAAAAATGTATTTTACGCATTTAATACTCTTTAAAATCTTCAAAAATGTTTTTTAATGAGTGAAAAAAAAAGAACAATGTCCACTTTAATGCCCCTCATAAAACCGTATTGAAAATCAATCGAAATTACTCTCAAAACCAAAACAAAAGCCCATTTAACTCATTTTTAAAATCAAACAATACCTCCAAAATGAGTAATAATAACCATTTTGAATCATTAAGGCACCCCTTCGCCGGCACCATGCAAAACGCTGAAAACGTTCGAAATTTTCGACGGCGGCACAGGTCAGGGGGTCGCGTGCACAGCCACGTGGCGGCCACTCAGCGGAACACTTATCATATTCATGCGCGTGCGATCAGGGCGCTAGTGCAAGGGGACGTCCTGTAACACGTTACGCTGATATTATATTATTCTTACAACGGAATAAATTCTAAACTCATTTTGTATTTTTTGTTTTTTGTTTTTTTTTTTTTGCTTTGTTTTGTGAAAATGAAGATAGCGCTGGTCTGATATCTCGGTGGGTGGGTTGTTGGGTAGTTGGCGAGCGCGGAATAAATGGTGGTGAAGTGGCCGGAGCCGGTAGCGGGTGTTGGCGGATACCGCTGTCTCCGGGACACTTCCTCCCCGGGGCGGCCAATTTCACCCGGAGCGAGCGCTTTCCGCATTCCGTTCGCGCACTCGCTCTTCTCCTCCGTCGTCGCCACAAACTATTCACGCGACTTGTACACTAGAAAATAGTGCAACACTTTTACTACAATAATTTTGTATTTTTATACAAATTAAAAGTTTTTAAAAAGTTTTTAGTGAAATTAATAGGAAATCTTAAGATATTTACTCTGAATGTGGTTAAATATCAAATATTACCACTGACAATGTAGGCTTGTACACCGGCATGTGACGTGTATTAATAAATTCGCCCGCGAGCTGCGAAACTCACCTCACCCCCGCGTTTTAACCGCCGCCACCCGCGTATTTCACTTTGTGTGGGGTGGCGTTTTGCACCAGTCGCTTCTCTCTTAAGTTGTGATGGTGGCGGCAGCGGCAGAAACTCCGTCGGAGCCCCTAAAGCTCATTTCCGGGCCCCGCCGCCTGCGCTATATTAATTTTAAATTAAAGCCGGATAGCGGCGCCCGTGCGCCGGATTATCTAATGCACTGCTATCGCGCAGGAAATAACCGGGCCTCCTGCTAGATTGCCATTAATATTACCATTACGAACGCTCTGAAGCGTACACGTACACACATTCCCTTCGAGTGTTGCTAGAAATGGTTGAGAACTACTAGAACTGGAGATATTTCACTGTTGCATTTGCAATTCCGACACATTATCAACGCAGTTATACAAATAGTAACAGAAATACGCGTGTCTAGATTAACTGCAATATATGCAACCAAATATACACTTGAAATAACCACGAATTGAAGTAAAGATTAGTTCACACTCATCTTGTGATCACGTGAATCATCTCCCTACCAACATGAACTTTTTCTGACTTCAAACTACGTGTTTCTCTAATAACTGCAATATATGCAACCAAATATACACTAGAAATAACCTCGTCTTGAAGTAAGCATTAGTTCACACTCATCTTGTGACAAGTGATCATGTGAATCATCACCCCACTAACATAAACTTTTTCTGACTTCAAACTTATGCGTAGAAATAGTTGAAAACTGCTAAAACTAAAGATATTTTACTCCTACATTTGTAATTCCGAAACATTTTCAACTTAGTTACACAAATAATACGTGTTTCTATAATACCTGCAACATAGGCAACCAAATATACACTTAAAATAATCCCATATTAAATTAAACATTATCCCACACTCATCTCGTGATCCATGACCACTTGAAACATCCCACCCCACCAACACGAATTTTATCTGACATCAAACATATGCGTGGCTCCTGTGTTGTTCTGGTGGTAATGGTGTGTGTCTCTCACGAGTGGCACCACAATGGCTTTATTTAGGGATGACAATCGGCGTACGCTGACAATTTGGCGCGTACAATGCGCGCTCACCTCTCTACCTCATCACGACTTTTTCTGTGTTTGGTCCGAGGGGTGCCGCGCCGTCGAGGTGATTCCTGTGTTTATACACAAACACTATACTTGTGGGGACGGTGTGTGGGAAAGCGAAACGCAACCCGACACCATGAAAGAAATTGAGCAATTGAGTTTTTTTGAGGTTAGGTGTGATCACGCTCGCGTTTTTTACAGGGTTTAGGGTATTGTGGACTAATTTGTAGGTTAGAGTGTGAGTGTATGGTGTTAAATGTGGTAAGTCGATGCTTTTGTTAGTTAAACAACAAGGGTGTGACCAAACACAAAAAGTATACAAAATAAAGCAAATAAAATTAGTCAACTCGTTTTTTTTTCGCTTGTTTTGCTTGGAATGACGAGAAAAAGAAAATGAAAAGAAACCGGAAGTAATCATATGTCCACACTTAATTAAATATGAGTTGTTTTGAAATAATGTTGATTTTTGTTTGGAGATTTTGAAATTTTTCGGGGATAAAAGATTAATGCTCGAATAAAAATTGAGAAGGATATGTTGAACACAGCGATTTGCCGTCCGGAGAGTCCGTTCAGCTCCGGTGCGACGGAGCGCGCGAGGAAAAGCGCCCCGGCAGTAGGCAATCGATGTGGCTGCCGGTTGCCATGGCGGCGTTTCCGGTTGCGTTCAGCGCCTCCTAGTCCGCGTCGACAGCCGTGTTCCTTCAAATTATTTACTGGGTATTTAGATAAATATCTTCTACAGCTAATTTCACAGTGAAACATAAAATTTTAGACACAAACTCAATAAATATTTCAAAAACAAATTTTAAAAACCAAAAATATTTAAAATTAATAGTTTTTTAAAACATATTTTATTATTATATCACACTGTATTAAAAAGACAAGACAATCTTGTTAATTATCCTTTTTTAATCAAGTACCTTCAGCTAATTAGTAAATAACTAATTTTTTACCCAAAAAATCAAAAAAAAATTAATAAAAATTCAAAATTTTACTAAATAATCATTAAATAATTAATAATAATACTAAAAATTATTACTCTTCAAAATTTTAAGGATCTAGCATGAAGATTCTTTGAGTTTTCTCTCAAAAATCCTACAAAACCCTCGTACACTAAGTTAAACTCACCCCCACTATATCATCCCTCCCCCTCTATAACCCTCCACACGACTGAAATTTATGCGAGTGGGGTTGGTTTATTTACGTGCGCCGCACGCTGATTGGCGCGTGCGTGCGCTCGAAGACAACCCCTTGGCGCTAAGGGTGGTAGCGCGCGCGCCACCCCCGCCTTCGCGAGGTATCGCATCCGCTGCGCCGATGAAAAACTTCCAGTTGATCGTAAATGCGCCCGATATTCGGACAGATTTGACAAATTGGAGCTGCTCCGCACACACCGCACACAACTCGATCACGAGCGAGGCGCACTTTCTAGTAACGACAGTATTAGTGTACAATATTACAATATTACAAAAATAATAACAATATACAACAATAATAGTGACCGTATAGTAGAAACAGAGTGATTTATCGGTGAAGTGATAGTTAAGTAGTTTTACGCACATGAACGACGGCAGCACACATTTGTAATTCATAATTCGCGATTTAAAATCGGAAATATGTTGGATATTAAACCATCGGCGGACTACTTGAGCAGCAGGGGTTCAACGTTCAGCAACTTTTCTATGTTGTTTGCAGGTAGAGATTTAGAGGTTTATTTATTAGTAAACAAAAACATTGATGGGAAACTTTGATAATAGAAACTAATTTGTTGTGTTTTTGGTTTCAGACACTTCATATAAGGGTTCATGGGGGTCACATGCTACATCACAATCACAAGGTAAGTCATTTTATTTTATTTTTGAGGTTATAACATGCAAAAATCTTCTAAAAATTGATTTTATACCAAAAGAAAAATTTTTCTTCATAATTTTCAATTTGTGATGAAATTTTCTTTAAAACTTATTAATTTTTATTGAGTTTTTAAGGTTAATGCATAAATTTTCACTTTTAAAGATGTGTAAAATCATAGTTTTGCACACTAGTGCGTAAAAATGCATTTTAAACACTGTAAATCGTACAAAACAAGAAAAAACACTTTGTTTTTATTTTTTAAATTAAATTATTTAAAGAAAATGCATTTTTGTTATTTTGAGGTTAAATTTGCTTTCAGTTTACTTGTAAAACTGCGTTTTATACATTAATTTGTCAGAAAACAAAGTAAAATTGTCTATTTTAGCATTTTTCGCCACTATGCGTGTTTAAAACTTGTATTTTACGCACTAAATACCAAAAACACCACTTTAAAACCTTCAAATCATAAAATAACGCCTAAAATCACAAAATTTCTTAAATTAACCTAAAATATCAACATAAATCTTAACCTAACCTAAAACTTGTTTGTAATTTTCGCCCAAGAAATAAAATCTAGTAAATTGAGGAAAGCGCCTCATCCTGTCGCCGCCCCGCCGACAGGAAATAAGAACTCGGCACCAGCTTCCTCTGCCAAAGCAACAATCGCCCAATGATTATTTTTTATTTGTCCCTAACCTCAAATTTACTCTACTAACAAACCAAAATCCAAATAGATTTAAGCCTATTTAAGCGCTTACAACGGTTTAAAATTTAAGCGCGCGCGCGCTTGCTGTAATCATTGGCAAGTAATTAGGCTTTGTACGCCCGTGGGGCTGCGAAAAAGCGTCGCGGCCCGTGAAATGGAACCCCGGCACCGCTGAGAGTGTGTGGGTGGTGTGTGGCTTTCATCATCATGCGGCGCTTTCGGGATCATCGCCTTCTGCGCTCCGGCGCGCTTTGTGAAAACGCTCCAAGCATCTCCAGATTCACTTTACAGTTACGCGGTAGTGGTGGTGGTGGTGTGTGAGTGTTTTGTTGAAGCTTTGGTGCGATGCGCTCCCGGCCATCCCTCTGATGCTGATCAGCGGGCCGTGAAGGCGTCGCAATCAGCGCCACGCTCCGGCTGCCGCGACGCTTTGACTGCCATTATTAAGTTTGGATAGCAAACTAAACGCTCGCGGGCTCGTATCGGGATTTCGCCGCAGCCGCTGCCGCCGCCAGGCGCACGGCCCATTGTGATGGCGGCTGCGTTTATTATATTTTGTATTTTGTGCGCCGCGCCGTCAGCGGCAGACTTTTGCTTTGAATTGCGAAAACTTTTTCAACAAAAAGATTTAATTAATATTTTATCTTACATTAAATTATATTTAATCGTGTATAAAGTATAGTATTATTCATTACAAGTGGTTAGAGATTATTTTTGGGATTTATTAGATTTTTTATGAAAAAAACAAAAAGAAAATTGAAATTTTACATTTTTTCCTGTTTTGTTTGTTGTTTTTTTAATGTTTAATGGCTTTCTTTTGGAAATTTTTTATTTTTACAACATATGATCGTGCATAAAGTATAGTATTATATATAATAAGTTATTATAGGGTATTTTTTGGATTTATTGGAGTTTTATTTAATTTTTTGATGACAAAACAAAAAGAAAATTGAAATTTTACATTTTTTCTTGTTTTTTTCGTTGGTTTTGAAATTTTGACGGTATTCACTTTAAATTTTTCCTTTTTACATGATATTATCGTGTATAAAGTATAGTATTAGTCATAATATCATTCAAAATTAATTAAAAATTATTTTTTTATGATTTTTCTTTGTTTTTCTATAAGAAAGAAGTAAATTAACGTTTCAATCACAATTTTCTCAGTTTTCTCACTATTTTCTAGTCTTTTTTGTATTTTCCGACGTTTTCTTCTTGAATTTTCAACTTTTTAAATACTATAGTCGTGTATAAAGTGTAGTATTATTCATAATAATATTCAAAATTGATTTTAACTCATTATTTTCCAAATTATTCATGTTTTTGATAGAAAAACAAAAAGACAAAAAGTTAATTATTATTCCATTGGTGTTTTCTACACTTTCCTTCCTTTTTTCTCATCGTTTTTGTATTTTCGGACGTTCCCTCCTCGAATTTTCACTTTTTCCATGCCCGTTTATTAAAAGAGGGCAAATCCATTTAGTAGCGATTCTTAAAAATAAAAAAGAAGACGCCAGAGTCTAAAGCGCGGTGTTGAATATAGTGAAAACGGGAAACCGGCGAGGGGGTGAGCGCAAAAGGAAAGAAAAGCGACGGCGGGCGGCGAAAAAAGGCGAAAAAATAATGGAGACCCGTTCGAGCGTGTCGATAGAGAGGACGTCGAAATCGGAAAAGGACATTTGGTCCGGGAGTCCGGGAAGGAAGGACTCTTTCCTTTTCCGGGCACCCAATCAGCTAGTCGGGATTAACTATATAGCGAAATGTCGAAAACGTCGAACAACTAATGTCAAAAACTGTTTATTTTTTATTTTTTTCAAAAAAAAAAAATATTTTTAACATTTTTACACATAAACGTAAAATCCTGATGTGTGTTACACTTTCACGCAAAAACTACTTAACCGATCATCATGAAAATTTGTACACATATTCTTAGTGGTCCCCGAATGGTTATAGGCTACTTTTTATTTAATAAAAAAAATTATTTTTTAAATAAAATAAAGAAATTGTTTAGCCAATAATACCTCTGCATCTGGCTATTTGACTACTTTAACGCCATCTAGCATTCCAGCAATGAAGCTCAAACCTAAATACTATAGTACCATCACACTGTATTATCACACTGTATTACCGACAGCTACGTCAACATCAAATCCAATTGACTACACTATGGAGACTGTACACTATACTTCCATAGACTATACTTTCAGCCATTTTAAACTTCTCGTCATCCTACTTCTTTGTTACTTTTTCTGTGACTACAGTGCGTACGGAATAACTTCATTATTTTAGATATTCGCGAGCAAAGCCGCGGGTTAAAGCTAGTATTCTTATAATCATATTATTATACACACATGATAGTTTTCTCTCTGCTTTTCTTTTATTCTTTTGATTTTTTGACAACTTGTTATTGTCCTGCCACTCATGCGCTTCAGAAGTCGAAAAGGAAAAACTCGGACACACGTCGGCGATAACACGCACAAAACAACGATATTTGCCGTTTGATAACAGCGAAATTCCATTAAACACCCTTGTGATGGAGCCACGGCGCGTCCATTCGGGCGTTCTGTGTTCGTTTTAGTTTAAGCGCGTGCACAATAGAAGTGTCAATCATACAGTTAAGATAATTTCGCGACGGCGCGCGTATGCTGCGTGCCCAAAAAATATCATCAACCCCCATGTAACTTTTCATAATAGCCAAATATTCAAAGAGAGGGTTTCACACTCTACTCCACTCCACAACTCCGCAAATAACACTATCTTGATAACTATGTGATTTTCGCTTAGAGAATTTTATTAATTCTAGATTTTCATTGTGATTGTGATATTTTTTCGAGTCTCAGGTTTGCTCAAAGGTGTCGGGAGGGTTGGGTGTGTTGGTTTGCGCGTTCCACTCTGTTTGCCGAGCACGCAATCCGATTGTTATTCACGACACAAATTCGTCCTATCGAACATTTTTACGAAACGTTTTCGTGTCGGGGACTTGCGCGCCCCGTGATTGTAACAACTCCCTTGATGCGTGTTAGTTCGCAACCCCCAGGCGAGACCGAAAGATCAAAGGCTACTTGTCTAAATTTCCAAACACCAACTCATCCTATTATCCTGTATTAGACGACATGTGTCAAACAAATAGAAAATAAATTTTTACTGCCAAAAAGTGAATTTAGGTCAAAATATTTAAATTTTAAATTTTTTATTTAAAAATAAAGATTTTGTTTCTTTATTTTTATTTCGGCGTTTTGCGGAAAGGATTCTCTTGTCGATTTCCGCGTGGCTGCCCTCAAAGCGAAAAATAAAGCCGTTTTTCAAGGGATGCGCACACGCTGTGTGTAAACCAATGTTTTGGCCCTCTATCTACGCTTATATTTTATATCTTCAGCCCGAAATAAAATATCGTTCTGTTTGGCTGCGCGCACAAAACGAATGTTTATTTATTGTTTCGTTTCTGTTGCAGGCTACGGCTCGAACACACTCAGCGGCATGACGAAAGCCTCCTTGGATCCACACGGCCACCTTCGGCAACCAGGTATACACTACAAAAATCTCCAACATAACCTAAACTCTATATTATCGCTTTTACGCTTGATGATGTATGATGTTGACGTCTTGGAAGGCGTCGATGCAAGACGACACATAATATTCATCCATTCGGGGTGCTATTGTCCGCGTTGTCAGCACACCACAACCACCACCACCCCTCTTGTGAGCAAGTCGATGTTTCATCCCTCGATTCGCGTTTTTTTTTTCCGCCGATTTCTTTTCGTGCTTGTGAGAGGCATATGCGTCGATATCGTAATATACTGCTTGACTGCGCGGGGAGTAGCTGCCCTCAAACCACCCCAGTGATGATAGCTACTGATTTGCAGCAGTGCGGCGGTATTGAGTTCAAGTCAAGCAGAGACGTCAAACATATAGCTTTACATCCCTGACGACATCAGCAAGATCACTCAAGGAATATAAAAAAATTCAGTATTTTCGTAAAAAAACGTTTTTTAACCTTAAAAAACCAAACAAAAAAAAAGTACAAAACTTATTAGTGCAGTAAACTTTAAAAACTATTGCGGGTTGTTTTGCTGGTGTAGGTTGGATTTCTTATCTGGGTAAAAACATCTAGCGTGCAGTCGACTGTCTGACTGGAGGAGACTTCTTGGATTCTAATCTATCGAGCGGGAACGCCGAGGGCAAACTCGACGTTCGCACGCTCGCTCGCGCGCCCACGGTCACGGCGTACATGTGTACTTGGTTGCGTGACCAAGACACCCCTTTCTTATACTCGACTCGGCTTATATAAAACCTCACTTCTTACAATTCGTACCTATTTCACCCCCGCATGCGAGTGAAAACGCCTCGGATTTATATTTCTCCACGTCGCTTGTTTGGTTATTTGGCTATTTGGCTATTTCGACACACAATGCGCTGCGTTTACGAATTCTATTCCCGGACGAAAAACGCAATAATAGGTTATAGTAATGGGTCAACCCGATGTGAATAATAGCTGTAATAATAACACTACACTATGAGTCATTTTTCAAACGCTCGTAAATGTTTAATAATACCCGCCGAGCATTTATTCACCAAACGCAATAACAAAAGAAAAACATAAATATAAATTAGTTTTGAGGTTAGGTTTGCAAGAAACCTAATAGAAACACAAACTGAAGTATAATCTAAAGTGAAAGGATGGAAATTGCGAATTGTAATTTAAACTACGCCTGAAATGAATGCTTTTTTATTTGATGACGTGTTAGTTGAGTTGTCTACCTCACACAATCAAATAAAAATCAAATAAAACAAATTTAATATCAAATATTTGCGTGTTGAACTGAAAATATTGCATTTATTTATTGTATACGTGGTGTTCCTGTGCTAATAGTGCCCTCGTCTGCTATTAGGTAGCAACGAGGTGCTTGAGAAAAGCACCGCTCGAAGCTAAGAACTAAATTGGCGTATTGTGCAGCGCGCGCGCCCCCATTATCCGTGTGGTGATTTTCGCGCTCGCCTCGCTAACCCTTACACACTCCAACCCGCCTGGTGCTTCGGGGCGTCTTTGATTGACCCGAAGTACACCACCAACGGCTTTTCTCGCGTCTAATTGCTTTTCATTTGCCACTACACAATTCCAGCCATTCTTTTTCGATGCACTACTTGTAGGTCTGTTACACGCTGCAATAAATCCACAATGTGTTGGTCCACTTCGATAAATTTGTTTCGTTTAATTGTTACAGATCCCTACCAGATGTTTGGACCAACAAGTAGTCGACTTGCTAGTTCTGGTAATTATTTAATTTATTTTTTATTTAAAAATGCGAGTTTTTGTTTGTTTTGTGTTTTATGCTTTGTGGGTTAATGTAAATCAAATTATGCAAAAGAAAAAACAAACAAAATTGATGAACCTGAACGATTTACGATTTGGTTACGCCACCGGGGTCAAATCGAGGGTGTGGCAGATTTACAACGCAAAGAGAAGCCTAGTTTGATGCCTGATGGAAGGCACAGTACAAAAAAGTCGAATTAATCGACACTAAATCATTATTTTACCAGCTAATGTCGATTTAATGATAGCCCAAGCGCATAATTCACCCTTGTTCGGACGTTATCGAGGCGTAATTCATTTTCGCAGACGATAAATATTTGTTTGTAGAGTGCAGGCAACTCTGTATGCATGCAGGTACATTTGTCTGCGATTTATGCGCGCGTGACAAGATAAACCAAGTGAATGTCGGCAACACACATTACACCAATGAACGCGTCACCAGTGAATTCATAAACAAACGTAACATGCGATTGTTTTACAATTGCATAACTTAACGCTAATTGCAACTGTTTATTTTTGGTTTTACAGTTGAAAATAAGCAGGTTTTTTAGTGTTACGCTCAAGAGGGTTGAAAATACACGTTGATTAACGCGAATGTTATGCTAATTGTAGGCGACACGTGTTTCTTTAAAATCCAGGTGTCGGGCAGCCGTGAAACGGGCGCAAATTATAAAATCATAACGTCAGCTGTTACGCCCTTGGTGAATCAACAACCCCCGCGCATGCATTAACCCCATGAATGCGTTTTGAATGCTAATGTTTACGTAATGTTTGTTTTAATGACGAAAACGATCAAAATCACGAAATTTAAATTCGACGCAGATACAAACACGTAAATTTATTCCATTTGTGTGTAAAATTATCACTTTACACACGCGAAAATCTCGAATTTTTGTTTTTTGGAATTTAATTATAAGTTTTGATGATTATCTTTCGCTTTTATTTTATTCCCATGGTTTTCGGCTATCTCTTTATCTGTAATACGTGTTTAACCCTTAAAGTACGCGCTGGCTTATCGCGTTGCTGAATCATAAAGATGCTTATCGCGCATGTGATTTTCCTCCATAACCTCGTGAGTTCATAACTTCCATGTTTGTTATTCGGCCTTATGCTTTTCTAATAGCCGAAAGTCTGGTTTTATTATTGCGCCGCCACGTGGGCAGCTACATTACCGGCCACGATTTACTGGCTTTAATTAAAATATCGCATGGAGAATGAATTTCGGGCTCGAAAATGTACATTTAACTTCTTCGATACGCTTCAGCCCCCCGACTTGTAATGAACAGTAGGGTTATACATCGGACGAGATTGTTAAGTCGTGAAATTACAACAAAATTACACGCAAATTACAGGAAAGAGTTTCATTTAATTTAGTCTTAAGTGCGGTCGTAATCTTACCTCGAGCGGAACACGTTGAAAACGCCATGAGTGAATTAGCCAACGCGAATCATAACCTCAATACGAGCACAATACAGCTAATTGTTTTTTTTAGTATTTTATAAAGGTGTAATTTGGGTTGCCTATGTTATGTAATAAAGTGATTATTGTGTTATAGGTTCGGGACAAATCCAACTGTGGCAGTTCCTCTTAGAATTATTAAGTGACTCTTCAAATGCCGCATGCATCACCTGGGAGGGCACCAACGGCGAGTTTAAACTCACAGATCCTGATGAAGTTGCGCGTCGCTGGGGTGAACGCAAATCCAAACCGAATATGAACTACGACAAATTGTCCAGAGCACTAAGGTACGTCAACATAACTCAACATAACCTTAAAAATTTTATATGTGGTATATACTCGTATATTGAAAGTTGTTATACAATTGCTATCACGACGGAAAATCCTCGTACACATACACAGTGAGCGCAAGTTTGCACTCCCCGCCGGGGTAAAGACGGACGTTCACAATTTCCGGATCGCAGCCCAGCAGATATAATTGCGAAATCAATAAGAACGTCGAGCGGCGGTGGCGGCGGCGACGACGTCGGAATCCGGCGAATCCGGGGAGGATGTGGCAGTCTCCGGGCGCACTCACCGCCCGGAACCGCCGGGCACGTCCCGCGCGCGCACGCCGCCGCGCCGGACGCGCTAATATGCTGCTTCTGGCACACACACCCACACATATACCTCCTTTATTCACGGGGCACTTCGTCCAGCGTGCAGATGTCCGGTTTGCATATCATTATGCTCCAGCGCTACAAACACGTAAACATGCTATCACAATTGTGGACAATGTGCACGACGCTTTCAATGGACGCAAACATACGCAAACGGATCTTTTGTTAACCCAACATGTCAACTAACCTACAACAGTGTGATAGGAATCTACATTACCGACTTTCAAATCAAAAACATCAAAATTTTGTTTTTTATCGTTTTTTTTCGTAATTTGCTATCAAAAAACTCATTTCGATGCATTGGAAAAACACACGAGCATACACGGATTCGATTATCTTCACTAATTGCTGCAAATGAACGTCGCAATAGAATTACCCAACCCTAAAATTCCCCTCTGCAGCACGGAATGTTCACGCTTTCTATTCCAATAAAAGAAATCGAAATAGATTCATCCCCTCGTTACAGTCGCATCATGCTGTGGATGATGTTTCCTTTGTTTGCCAAACGAGCAATAAATAAAATCAAGAATTGAATTTCCCCGCCCCCAAAGCAACCAACTACTAATGTTTTTCGGCCTTTGATAAAATAGGTTTTTGATTTTGTTTGTGTGTAGGTACTACTACGACAAGAACATCATGACAAAAGTGCACGGCAAGCGGTACGCCTACAAATTCGACTTCCAGGGCCTCGCCGCCGCCACCCAACCCGCCACCAGTGATCCAGGCAGCTACAAGTACCAGAGCGAGCTGTTTATGAGTTCTTATCATCACAGCGCCAAGCTCGGTGGCTTCATGAGTCCACACGCTACTATTCCTAGTTCAGCTGGTGAGTTTTGCATTAATTTCGAGGTTATGTAGGGTTATGTTAAATCAGCGCATTGATGATTTACAGTTTTGACACTTTGCGTTCCACTTAATGACGTAATGCGTTGATTGAGCGCATTGTTCGCTCTCTCGATCTCTGTCGAATGGGGAGCAGTTACCCCGTCATTTAACCGCCCCCACATTGCGTCCCCCAAGCATATTATGGCAAACTAATGGACATTTTGTACACTCTATTCATAGTGCGCGCTCGGACGAGCAGGAAGACGCAGCTAGGGGTAGCGGCTAATGTGTCATCATTACGCCGGCGCGGGGGTAAATATCAAAAGAATTATTGCCCGCGCGGACAATAGAAATTAAGATTTAGACGTGTTTAGTAGTCGTCCTACTAATTTATTACTCCCCGGAGAGTGAAAATATCACCAACATGAATACAAATCGTTTTAAACAATATTTTTCTGATTTAGGTTATATCCTCAAGTTAGGTTAGGTTTTCAAGTAGTAGGAGTATTGAAATATATCCATTTAATGAATTCAATATTCACGCGACATCTCGAGTCTCGAGTGCATTGCAAATGCTACACCCTAGCCTCTCTAGCTTTCGAGCTGTCACTCAAAGGTTATTATCAACACTATCGCCGGCGGGTTCCAGCGCTTGGTGCTGGCAACATTCACGCATTCAGATGAAATTGGCATGGCGTTTGGAGTGTGTGATGAGTTTGGAATATCAGGCAAATCGCGCCAGTGGAGGGATGTGCGTGGCACCCGAGTGTATTTGAATTAGCAAAGTTGCACACGCTGTGTGTACGTGTTCGCTTTGAATTGCGAACAGAAGCGAGCAACAGGGGATGATGACGGAAACTGTTCTGCAAGCATTTGAATAAACATGCGTTACTTGAGGCTGAACACCCTGTAGCTGTTGAGTTGGAAGTTTCTCACTTTATGGAGTGGCTGTAAAGTGCGAAATGCGAATCGTGAAATGTCACTGCATCAGATAGAAGCATTTTAAGTTATATTCTGTGCAGGAATTAAAAATGTGTAAAACTGGTTGCCTATATTGAATATAACACAATAACTGCATCTTTTTACTTTTTGAATATCGTCATATTCTGCGCAGGAATTAAAAATGTGTAAAACTGGTTGCCTATGTTGTATGTAACACAATAACTGCATCTTTTTGCTCTTTGGATATTGTCATATTCTGCGCAGGAATTAAAAATGTGTTAAACTGGTTGCCTATAGTGAATGAAACACACTAACTGCATCTTTTTACTTTTTGAATATCGTCATATTCTGCGCAAGAATTAAAAATGTGTAAATCTGGTTGCCTATATTGAATGTAACACAATAAATGCATCTTTTTGATTTTGGAATATCGTCGATGCAGACAATGGAACAATACGAAATTATAAATCAATTGTTCAATTATGGCCACCAAAATGGTATTCACTTGTTGTAGATTTCGCCGGTTCACACATGACTTGACTCGATAAAGCAATTTTTTTCGGCGTGTCGCCGTGAATGATGGAAATTTTTATATTTCTTTGTTTGATTGTTCCAGCCGCTTCAATATTCCCATCGCCTGGATCGTATTGGAGCAACCCGAGCGCGAACCTCTACTCGAACATTGCCGCCAGCACACACTCGATAGGCCACCATGCCGGGCCGCACCTGGGCGCGCCGCCGCTCAGCTCGTACCCGCATTACGCCTGACCTGCCGCGGCGGCGAACCACGGCATCGGGGAGACGCACCACGAACTCTCCACCGCCCACACACCACCCACTTCGGTGGCGGCTGCGGCGGCCGCCGACGAGTGGTCGCGACGTCTGACTGGCAGCATCATCAACTAGCAGGTGTGCTTTTCTTTCGATGTCAGTATGTAACTAATTTTAAACGTAAACATATATCGTGTGTGATTTATCAGAACCTTGGAAAAAATGTATGTTGGGTTGCATAAATGTCACACGATATAGATTGTAGTAATAAGACTAATTGGTTGTAAATATTTGAAAACTAAACTCAACAGAACATGAATAGACATTAATAATTTGCCAATGGTAGAAGGAAACGTCGATTTCTAGTCACTAATAAACATTTTTATGGTGCAATTTTTAAAATATCAAGCGTAATCTAAATTTTAGACACAGTTTTAAACACGGTTTTATTGTAAAAATGACAAAACTGCATCATAAAAATCCAGCGTTAAATTTCGTGCAATTTTTGTTTCACTTTTTCTTTTAAATAAGAACACTCTGTATTTATTTATTTAATTATACTTATTTATTCGATTAGTATCTAACAGAAGTAACCGTAAAATGGTGGCCTGTGATATAGAGAATTATTTATTTAAAAACTAACAAAAAATTAACATGTAGAAGCGGTGCGACTGATTGACAAAGCAAAACAACAAAAAACAAAAGGAAAATCTTAAACTCTTAACACTTTTAAATCAAGAACATAGTAGAAAAACGTTTTGTTTCTCATATCTTTCTATAAGATGACAAACTAATTAACTAAATGAATGTGTATGTAAAATGTAAAATAATAGTCTGTAAGAAATTGTTGTACTAATGGCTTTCTAGTTAAAAAAAAACCAACAGACAAAACAAAACAAGATTCAAACGAAAATCATGTAATTGTAGTTGTTTAGAGTGTATCCATACATGATATTTGATGAAACTAATGTTAGTAGAGTCATAATGATAAAATTGAAACCAAAGTCAACGTCAAAGTCAAACCAAAGCAAAGAAAAATATCATAAGCAACTATGAAACTAAGTAACACAACTAAGTACTAAATGCTAGTCATGTAAAATTACTAAATGTCAAACCAAGTGTAAGATTTACGATTAATTGAAACCTAACCTATTTATAGACCGTTTTGTTATGCGCGTGCGCGCGCATTGAGCATTGACAAACAGAGGCGACGCGCAGATGAATGAATATTGATAACAAACAAAGGTATAAATGTTATGTATTTATTATACAAAAAACTGAAAAAATGGATTAGATGACAAAACAAATCTTTTTATTCTACAATACATTATATTACAGGTTTATAAATACTTGGAATTTTGTAGGTTAACAATGTAAAATCACAACGTTTTGAATTCGTGAACATATAATAATATACTGCAAGGGTGGTTGTATAAGCTAGAGGGGTGTTCTGTTACAACATCCAATACATCATTACATCATTAGAGGACGCGTGGCGGTCGACAGGCATACGTTTCACGCACGATTGCGCCCGAACACGAATACGGGCCTGCAGGGTGCACAGAGTGCAGGGCGGTGGAACGAAAGTTAACTTTACGATCGTTTCACAACTTTATTGCCCTCTTCAACGAGAAAAATCGTGAAAATCGTTTTAAAAACGAAAGTGCTGCGTAAATCTCTACATAACCTCAAATTCTGCTTAGTCTGGAGATGAACCTCATAATAAAAATGGTAAGTTTTTTATTTTTAAACTGTTTTTTCTATTTTCGACCCTTGTGTGATGTTTTATAGCTCCTTGACGAATGCGTCCGTAAAATCCGACAGTTTCGCATTATTTACAACTCATAAACCGCATTCTTGCGTTTTGTGGTTTTAATTATCAGCGCCATATTATCCACCCCCTAACGCCCGCTGCCTTGTTCGCGAGTTAATGTGATGTGAGTTCCCGCTGTCCTAATAATAACACGTAACATCAACCGTGACGGCGCGCCCGAGACGAAGAAACAACGCGCGCGCATTGTTTGCGCTCGGCATTTTATTCAAATTGGCCTGCCCTTCAATAATAAAATGCAAATTACATGAAACAAGAGGGTAATTATTAATTCCTCTGTGTTGGCGCATGCTTTGAATATTCGTGTGTTCGTTAAGCTCAACACGCGTACGGATTTATTGCGCTTTGAAACAAAATTTTTAGAAAATCACGCTTTTTGATTCTCGAGGTTATTGCCAACACTATAGGCAACCCAAACAACTTTAATTACATTTCGGGTGCAATATTTAGATTCACCTTTAACTTTTCAACGTGATTTATTGAATAAAACGAATTTATTTACTGCGGAGTGTAGAGGGTTGAGTAATTTACGATTCTTGAACTTGAATCTTGTTAGTGGATGGTAATTAAATCTATTTTTATAGAAGTAATTAAAATTTTGTGGTTTTATGGGTGTTTATTTGTGTTGTGTGGAGTTGGTAGTTAATTGTAAGGTAAAAAGCAGTTGCTAGGTGACTGACATTGGCGGGTGGAAGCGTAGTTCTGTCGTATCGCGCTCGTGGTGCAGGAGATCGATGCGCCACGTCCTGCCAATCCAGTTCGGGCGGATGGATCCCGCGAAAAGCGCGTACAGCATTGGCCGGAAGTGCAATTCCGGAATCGGGCCCATCGCGCGCGCGTGTTGAACAGAAACGGAACATTACGCGGCAACAGTTTTCGATGCTGCCAATTAATCGAAAAAGGAATGTGACTACCAAATAGAGAATTACTATAGAGGTATGTGTGATAGGCAACTCTATTAACATGTTTACACAAATGATTTTTTTCTTATTTTTTAATGCGCTAAACAAGATTTTAGAGAGAGAAAAAAGCCTAAGAAAGTTTACTCATGTCCTGCTGTTGATTTTTGTGTATGTCAATTGTCAATGTCCATTTTCGCTTATGTCAAATGCAAACAAAGGGAACGTCCTTTCGACGCCAAATATTTGCGCTTCGGAAATATTACTGTTTGCACTAAATCGCCCTACGCGCTATTTTTTCTCGGCGCTGCTGGTTGACCCCCGGCCACCTCATACGAGTGACTCGAAAGTCACTCAATAGCCTCAGCGAAATATTAAATTTCATGCGATTTTTATCGCGCAAACAACCAAATCCACTAAAACTTTGCACAAAATCAATCAGAGTAAACAAATCCATCAAAACACGCAAACATAAAAACATAAATAAATCTTATAACTAATAATAGTCTACATCAAAATATTTTGGCAATGTTTATTTAGGTATTTAATATTTGGTTGTTAGTAATAAAAAACCAAAATGTCGATCCTGCCAGGATTCGAACCTGGAATCTTCTGATCCGTAGTCAGACGCGTTATCCGTTGCGCCACAGGACCGTTGAGGTACGCTTGTAGAAGTTACGCATTTCAATGTGAATTATAAAACCTATAGAAAATACACTGTAGATGGCAGCAGTATTGCATGTTTGAGTATTATTCACACATTTTGTAAACAGTTTTGAAAATATCTTCCATACCGCACGTAGCGTTACGGTAAACACTAGACTTTACATTAACGACATCATTATTAAACGTTAACAACACCGCGGTTGAGGTGTAATCAGTTTAAAGTGCAATTTGTGATGACTATGAGTATGCACCTAGTCAAAGGTAAATTTCACACCCATTTTTATATCTACTCGTATTTATTAGCACTACTAACATTCGACTAGCATAGTATTGATTTATAAACTATAGAATATTTTCAGTCGAGGTTACAGAAACCTTAGTTGTCGTAGGTATGATGTAGGCATGTTTGCGTTGCATTCGCTTGTTACATATTTTACTCATTTCTATTTTCGTATGAATGTTTGCATGTGCAGTTATGGATGTCATAAAGTCGGTGACTAATGTGAACGTCGATGACCTTACAATTGTTTTAATTTTTTGTTTTGGTTAAAGGGTCTAGATGTCCGCCTATTGATAAGGATAAGATTCGATTGTATTCGAATAAGTTTTGTCCGTATTCAGAGCGGGTACATTTAATTTTGGATGCGAAAGATATTCCGTAAGTAAATATTTACTATCGTGTGTTTACTAATGTTGATTGGATATAACAATTCATGTGCCGAAATAGCTCAGTTGGGAGAGCGTTAGACTGAAGATCTAAAGGTCCCTGGTTCGATCCCTGGTTTCGGCAATGCTTTTTATCGATTTTTAGTTTAATAAAATTTAAAATTTGCGTTCATTAATAGGATTTTTCAAACAAAGGGCTATAAAAAATAGTAAACTATATCAAAAACCAGGTTCCACCGAGACTTGAACTCGGATCGCTGGATTCAGAGTCCAGAGTGCTAACCATTACACCATGGAACCTTCGTGACCTCCCGAAAAATAATTTCAAAATTTAAGCCCCTTTGTAATCAGTTGCTAAAAATCGATATTTAAGACAATAGGATAATTTCAGCAACAATTTTCGCGTTTATAGCAACCAAACAAATGATATCAAAAAAATTACCGTAGAACAAAAATGTAAAAGCTAGGTTCCACCGAGATTTGAACTCGGATCGCTGGATTCAAAGTCCAGAGTGCTAACCATTACACCATGGAACCGGTTGAGACACCGAATCACACTACTTCATACCAACCACTATATACAAAAAAATGATCTCAATTTTTATAAAATTCTAAACATAATTATTCCTTTCACTATTTTAATATTTAATTAACACTTAATTAATGAATTTTAGCTATGATGTGGTATATATTAATATAAACAGTGTGCCAGATTGGTATACAAAGAAATGCATCACAGGAAAAGTTCCAGCAATTGAATTACCTGCAACAAATGAAGTTATTTTTGATAGCACTATCATCGCCCAATACTTAGATGACAAATTCCCATCTAAACGTCTTCTACCTAAAGACATCACAGAAAAATACAAAGATTTGATGTTTATTGAATACTTCAGCGAAGTTATAAGTGCATTGAATTCAAATTTAATTTCTTTCGGAAGACATTCGATTGATAAAGAAGAAACATTAAAACAAGGCCTGGATATGTTTGAGAAAGAATTAGAAAATCGTGGTGTTTTCTACGGTGGAAAACAACCCGGTTTAGTTGATTATTTCGTTTGGCCTTGGGTGGAAAGGTCTGATTTAATCAAACTATTCCGAACAAAACTGGATTTAAGAAAAGAAAATTTCCAGCATATTGTAAGTAAAGTTAATCATTGTTTCATGCGATTGGAATGTTGATTGGTTTTTTAGATGCAGTGGCATAAAAACATGATGGATAACCAAGCCGTAAAAAAACACATCATGAACATCGAAACGCATGCGAAGTTCCTGCAAACATACTGTTCGGGTGTTCCACTGTATGATTTCTGATGGGGGCATTTTCGACGTTTGCTGCGTTTTATTTATTCGAACATTCTTGAAAGCATTTATTGTCGCGCGTAGGTTGTCTACTGAGAATGTAAACGAGGAAAAATACATTTATGACATCAGCGTACACCGGCTTCACGGGTCAGGGCATGTTGCTCTTGATACTCTTTCTCCCATCCTGTCCCATCATAATAATTATAGAAAACGAGTTTGAATTCTTAAGTTTTTTCGTCATTTTGTCGCCAGTCGACGCCAGCCATCGGTGAAGCAATGAAAGTGTAATATTAGATCAACAAATTACATGGATTGCACCCCTGTAAGGTGTTTGTATTGTGAGTAAAGGGATTGTATATGATTTCTAACTGTATATGATCCAAGGTTACTTGCATGTCGCCTACGTACTTTGCACACTACTACACGTGCGTTTGACGTGATTAAATTACCATTGGGCTTGTGCAATTCGTGCGTCTTTGTTTACACGTTGAGCGCACCGCAGCACACATCTTACTCATCAGCATCTTGATTCACGTTTGTGCATTCGTGCGGGCAGCACCGGGGCGCGCACGGACTGGCAGGTGCACCGGTTTCACATCTCCATCGGTCGCGCTTCGTTTCGCCTAGATCGGTATTGTGGAATGTCAGTTATGAAAGTTCCGCGGCCGCATTCGCACCGGTGACCTCTTTCTTCACGTCTGTTTACACACGCACTCTTCACAATCCGGTAAATAACGATTGTTAACTCCGCAGCGACGGTGAAATTTGATTTCAGTCATTTACAATCATTTTGTTTTAGTGTGTTTCGCAGTCAACGAACGATGATGTGAACGTGCGGGTGCAGTAGCCTCCAGGCAACAAAACAATCAACAGGCATCTGAATAATTGCATTAATTGTACAATTAACCGCGTAGAAAATGAGTGACCTCAACCCAAGCCAGTATCTAAATGGAAATCATACAGCAATGGGCTCTAGTCAGCCACTAGATGAGCCCAGGTTCAGGTATGAGTCAGCCAGAGAGCAAGATATCATTCGAGCACACAGGCTGGATCCTGCTGTGATTCCAAAGAGTGGCAAAGTGAATGAAATGTGCAGGCAGTGGCTGGTGCATGAAGATGGTGCCTTAGCATATCAGTTACAAAACCAAGAGATTAATCAACATTTGTCAGGCAATAAGAATAGAAATGCTCAAATTCGAGAGGATCTACCTTGTGCTGTGGATGAACAGCTCAGGGAGCAACAACTTGCTGAGCAGGCAGCTGCAGTTTATCACAGAATGCTTCAGGAACAAGAAGAAGTGGACAAGCAGGTGGCGCAGCAATTAGCTGACAAAATTGAGAAAGATGAGAGGATAAAACGACGCGTTTTGGAACTGCATGATGAGGAGATTGCCAAGAGATTATTGGATAAGGAAAGAGGTAGGATCAAACAACCAATGCAGCCTGCACATATGCCTATGCAGGTGCATCATGCATCACCACATCGGCCTGACGCAAGTAATTACTTTGCAAATTTGCCGAAAAGACAAGCACCCGCTATGCCTATACCAGATGATTACAGTGATCTGTACACTGAGCCATACAAAGAGAAAGATAAACATCCTCCAGAGTTAACTCTAGTTGAAGACTTTGATAGGATTGATATTCAAGAAGTTGGACTACCGATTGATGAATATGAAGATAAATGGAGGCAAGAAGAGAAAGATGCTGCTCTAGCAAGACAATTACAAGCTGAATTGAGTAATTCAGAGGAATCTATCTTAGATCGTGATAGAATGTTGGCGATTGAAGCGCAGGATAAGGAACTTGCTAAGTTATTGCAAGAACGTGAAAGAGCGAAAGCCAAACGCGCCAAAGAAAGGGCCAAGCAAAAGGCGCTAGCAAAGAAACAAGCTCAACAACAATTAGAGCAAGAACAACAAATGCACCAGTTGATGCCAGATGATTCGTATTCAAGTCCGATTGATCTACTGCCACCGCCGCAACGAAATCCAGGACATAGTATGCAAAAACAATATGTTTCTCCAGAGGAAGACATGAATTATAGTTATCCAGTTGATGTGATACCGCCAGGAAAACATACTCAGCATTATACTCAGCATAACTTTCCGGGGAATTCGATTTTTGACAATAATGATGTGCCTCCTCCTGTTAGACCAACACAACTTGACTTAAAGTGAGTAAAATCAAATTTTCTGCTTATTTTTTACACAATATCAATGTTTTTTTTTTATTTGTTCAAGGTCACCGTTGACACAAAAAATTAACAAGCCACGGTTTCCGGATCCGGTGGATGATCCACCATCCCCGCATTCACCAGTGTCACCAGGTGATACTTATCAGTCTCCGTCCTCAAAGCATGCTAACTTGCAAAACATTGCCATGGCGATTGATCCCACTTATCCAAGACGCACCAAACAGTCACCGCCCAGTTATGACATATCATCGAGTACTGTGACCACTTCGACGTCGAGTAGTAGTCCGGGGATGATGCTCCCAACGCCAGATTTGCACGATGATGATCTTAGTCCGGTGCCGCCGTATATGCCTATACAGGGCCAGCGCCGTACTGCTTCCCTAGAGAAGAAGAAAAAGCGAAGTAAGGATGGTTGCAAACAGCAATAATTTACAATAATTGCTATATAAGCTGGTGAGAAACTTTACATATTGGTCATATATTCAACATAGTCATATATTTATTCAAGTTACACGTTAATATTCATTCCTTTGTTTGTAATACTTGTCATATCATGCATAGATAATCTTAAATGAAGGTTATCTAATCAGGTATCAAATTATGGAGTTTCAGTTATTGATATATATTGTGTTTAAAAGCAATGAACCAAAATTGATTGCTAAATTTATTGATTACATCGATTTTAGAAGCATTTTTTAATTGGTACTTTAGAATTATGGTAACAATTCGGTGATTTTACTTTGGACTGAAGGTTTTTTAATGATACATTTGTAAATCATTGCATTGAAAGGGACATTTTTAGATTGATATTTATAACTAATAATGAATGCATTTTTATACAATATTTTACCTATTATTATACAACAGTGCTGTATAATAAACATATTTTTATACCAAAATCTTTGTCAGTTTTTATAGGGCTACAGGATCGCCAGGATTAATTACTTTTTAATTCTTTTTTAATTAAATATTTTATAACATGAAACGTTTAGGCCTTATTTGCATCTTTATCGAAATATTTGTATTTCGCACCATAAACAGACAGGTTCTGACGAGTGTTCTGCACTACCACACTGGTAGTATCGGTGTGTACAAACAAACAAGTTTTTCTTTTCTCGTGCAATTTTTGTGCGGTCGCCACGCGGTTGGTTTGCGTACGGTGTTAGTCTCATTTTCGGCGTCAGGTGATCTGCACGCTCATTGCCTTCATAGTCATTCTTTAATTCCTTAATTTTTTTTTTGTGTTATTATGTAATATTTCTATTGCTCTGTTCGACTGTGCGCGAGTGATGTGCGGTGTTTGTTTAAAGCGGATTGTACATAGATTTCTCGTTCGAAGAAGTAAAGCGTGAGTGATGTTCCGCCGTCGGATACTTTGTTAGTATTACACGCGTATTTCATCGATGCTACAATGTGCATAATTAAGGTCCATACAACTTATTGGATATCCCGAAAGCAAATAAATCATTTTGCATCCAGGTATGTTCTCGCATTTTTTCAGCCATATATAACCAAATCTACTTTGTACCGTATTGATTTTCACTTCAACCGCGTGGTCTTACATCACTTTAATTAAAATATTCTTTATTACAATACTTTTCTATGATTTGCATTATTCGATACATTGGCATTTATCAATTTTCACAATAATCGCGTTTGATGTCAAATGAATTACAATTTAAGATTGTCGCGTGCCGTCGGCAGCGTTCTCGGTCTTCGCTTCAGTTTGTGGCTTTTTTCTTTCTCCTTGCTAGTTGTTTTACATGGTTTAAAATATAATTAGATGTTATGCTTTATTTTTGTAATAACCATCCCATCTCCTTTCTATGTTCTACGTTGTGTCAGTCTTTCTTCACTCTACTCTACAGTTGTGTATTTTATTGTACATTGTTTTTGTCTTATATTATCTTGTTAATTATTTCCCGGTATATACATTTTTCTTAGTTTCAAGTTAAAAATGCATTATATTTATTTGTGTGTGGATCTTTTTCTTTTAAACTTATGATTTTTCTTACACTCTGTTTGTTAATTTCCCGAGTCAAGTTTGTAATACCACGTCAATTAGAAGAAAATATATGTAATTCCATTTCAATTTTCTTTTAAAATAATCTCAGTTTCTTTTTACAACACCCTGTATATTAATTTTCCGTGGTTTATTGTCAAAAGTAATCTAGATATATGTGTTATACTAGAATTTTGCTTTATTCACTGAAAATGTCATTTTCTTTTGCTACACCCTGTATATTTATTTCCAGTGATGACCTGTGAAATCTACTTTAAACTTATGTTACCTTGCTCGAACTTTGCATTTCCTGGAAAAATTGTATTTTCTTTTTGTGACACCCTGTACATTATTTTCTTGTGATATTACGGGAAAAGTGGTTTGGATATATGTATTCCTACGTAAACTTTGCATGCGAACGCGGTCTTACTGTAAGTTCGGAATAATTTTCTTAGATGCGGAATTTACTTCTGTATCTCCCTGTATCAAAATTTATTGCTAGAAAATTCCGTAAAGCGAGTTATATTGATAGTTGTGTGTATACGCACTTGTACTCGTTGCGCTAGGGTATGTAGTATTTTTGTTATAACACGTGAACGCGATCTAATTCTAAGTCTGGAATAATTTCATAAGATGCGGAATTTAATTCTGTATCACCCTGTATCGAAATGTATTGCGAGAAAATTCCGTAACGCGAGTTATATTGATAGTTGTGTGTATACGCAATTGTACTCGTTGCGGTAGGGTATGTAGTATTTTTGTTATAACACGTGAATGCGGTCTAATTCTAAGTCCGGAGTAATTTTGTTAGATGCGGAATTTAATTCTGTATCTCCCTGTGTCGAAATTTATTGCTACAAAATTTTTTTACGCGAGTTATATTGATAGTTGTGTATATACGCAATTGTACTCGTTGCGCTAGGGTATGTAGTTTTCTTGTTATAACACGTGAACGCGGTCTAATTCTAAGTCGGGAATAATTTTATTAGATGCATAATTTAATTTTGTATCTCCCTGTATCGAAATTTATTGCTAGAAAATTTTTTTACGCGAGTTATATTGATAGTTGTGTGTATACGCAATTGTACTCGTTGCGCTAGGGTATGTAGTTTTTTTGTTATAACACGTGAACGCGGTCTAATTCTAAGTCGGGAATAATTTTATTAGATGCATAATTTAATTTTGTATCTCCCTGTATCGAAATTTATTGCTAGAAAATTTTTTTACGCGAGTTATATTGATAGTTGTGTGTATACGCAATTGTACTCGTTGCGCTAGGGTATGTAGTTTTCTTGCTATAACACGTGAACGCGGTCTAATTCTAAGTCGGGAATAATTTTATTTGATGCATAATTTAATTTTGTATCTCCCTGTATCGAAATTTATTGCTAGAAAATTTTTTTACGCGAGTTATATTGATAGTTGTGTGTATACGCAATTGTACTCGTTGCGCTAGGGTATGTAGTTTTTTTGTTATAACACGTGAACGCGGTCTAATTCTAAATCGGGAATAATTTTATTTGATGCATAATTTAATTTTGTATCTCCCTGTATCGAAATTTATTGCTAGAAAATTTTTTTACGCGAGTTATATTGATAGTTGTGTGTATACGCAATTGTACTCGTTGCGCTAGGGTATGTAGTTTTTTTGTTATAACACGTGAACGCGGTCTAATTCTAAGTCGGGAATAATTTTATTTGATGCATAATTTAATTTTGTATCTCCCTGTATCGAAATTTATTGCTAGAAAATTTTTTTACGCGAGTTATATTGATAGTTGTGTGTATACGCAATTGTACTCGTTGCGCTAGGGTATGTAGTTTTCTTGTTATAACACGTGAACGCGGTCTAATTCTAAGTCGGGAATAATTTTATTTGATGCATAATTTAATTTTGTATCTCCCTGTATCGAAATTTATTGCTAGAAAATTTTTTTACGCGAGTTATATTGATAGTTGTGTGTATACGCAATTGTACTCGTTGCGCTAGGGTATGTAGTTTTTTTGTTTTTTTTTTGTTATAACACGTGAACGCGGTCTAATTCTAAGTCGGGAATAATTTTATTAGATGCATAATTTAATTTTGTATCTCCCTGTATCGAAATTTATTGCTAGAAAATTTTTTTACGCGAGTTATATTGATAGTTGTGTGTATACGCAATTGTACTCGTTGCGCTAGGGTATGTAGTTTTCTTGTTATAGCACGTGAACGCGGTCTAATTCTAAGTCGGGAATAATTTTATTTGATGCATAATTTAATTTTGTATCTCCCTGTATCGAAATTTATTGCTAGAAAATTTTTTTACGCGAGTTATATTGATAGTTGTGTGTATACGCAATTGTACTCGTTGCGCTAGGGTATGTAGTTTTCTTGTTATAACACGTGAACGCGGTCTAATTCTAAGTCGGGAATAATTTTATTAGATGCATAATTTAATTTTGTATCTCCCTGTATCGAAATTTATTGCTAGAAAATTTTTTTACGCGAGTTATATTGATAGTTGTGTGTATACGCAATTGTACTCGTTGCGCTAGGGTATGTAGTTTTCTTGTTATAACACGTGAACGCGGTCTAATTCTAAGTCGGGAATAATTTTATTAGATGCGTAATTTAATTTTGTATCTCCCTGTATCGAAATTTATTGCTAGAAAATTTTTTTACGCGAGTTATATTGATAGTTGTGTGTATACGCAATTGTACTCGTTGCGCTAGGGTATGTAGTTTTTTTGTTATAACACGTGAACGCGGTCTAATTCTAAGTCGGGAATAATTTTATTAGATGCGTAATTTAATTTTGTATCTCCCTGTATCGAAATTTATTGCTAGAAAATTTTTTTACGCGAGTTATATTGATAGTTGTGTGTATACGCAATTGTACTCGTTGCGCTAGGGTATGTAGTTTTTTGTTATAACACGTGAACGCGGTCTAATTCTAAGTCGGGAATAATTTTATTTGATGCATAATTTAATTTTGTATCTCCCTGTATCGAAATTTATTGCTAGAAAATTTTTTTACGCGAGTTATATTGATAGTTGTGTGTATACGCAATTGTACTCGTTGCGCTAGGGTATGTAGTTTTTTTTTTGTTATAACACGTGAACGCGGTCTAATTCTAAGTCGGGAATAATTTTATTAGATGCATAATTTAATTTTGTATCTCCCTGTATCGAAATTTATTGCTAGAAAATTTTTTTACGCGAGTTATATTGATAGTTGTGTGTATACGCAATTGTACTCGTTGCGCTAGGGTATGTAGTTTTTTGTTATAACACGTGAACGCGGTCTAATTCTAAGTCGGGAATAATTTTATTAGATGCATAATTTAATTTTGTATCTCCCTGTATCGAAATTTATTGCTAGAAAATTTTTTACGCGAGTTATATTGATAGTTGTGTGTATACGCAATTGTACTCGTTGCGCTAGGGTATGTAGTTTTTTGTTATAACACGTGAACGCGGTCTAATTCTAAGTCGGGAATAATTTTATTAGATGCGTAATTTAATTTTGTATCTCCCTGTATCGAAATTTATTGCTAGAAAATTTTTTTACGCGAGTTATATTGATAGTTGTGTGTATACGCAATTGTACTCGTTGCGCTAGGGTATGTAGTTTTTTGTTATAACACGTGAACGCGGTCTAATTCTAAGTCGGGAATAATTTTATTAGATGCATAATTTAATTTTGTATCTCCCTGTATCGAAATTTATTGCTAGAAAATTTTTTTACGCGAGTTATATTGATAGTTGTGTGTATACGCAATTGTACTCGTTGCGCTAGGGTATGTAGTTTTTTTTTTTTGTTATAACACGTGAACGCGGTCTAATTCTAAGTCGGGAATAATTTTATTAGATGCATAATTTAATTTTGTATCTCCCTGTATTGAAATTTATTGCTA